ATTTTCCCATTTCTCATCACAACCAAACATCTTTCCACCTGTGGGATGAATTGGCCAGCAAAGGGGGGAGGGGGGTAAAAACACGAGAGAGAGGGGATATAAATAACCCCCCCAAACAAGCGGGGCTCGTGCGCGTCCTGCGCTTTACCAGTGGTGACAAGAAAGACAAGGCTCAGCGCCTCCAACAAACGAGCGAACTAACTTCTCACTGCACCACGCCGCCGCCGCTGTACGTAAGGGGGAGGGGACGGCTATGCACCCGCAACCCTGGGGATCTGGGTGGTGGTACAGAAGGGTGGGTAGGGTAGCAGTTAATCCGCGGAGCGATCGCGCCGAGTTTAACCGTGGCGGAAGGGAGATGGATGAGAGACATCAATGTAACGAGGTACTGGATCTGGGGAGGGAGTTTCAGGCGGCCTGCAGCTGGTTTTGGGGTTGTACTGCGTTTGGGGGGTGTCTTAGATGGATGGATGGGGGGAGGTGATGTGATGTGCTGTCACTCACTCATATTCACTAAGATTCACGAATCTGAGACTTGGGGGATGCCTGTTGGTGGTGGTGAGTTGTGTGCTGTGTGGTGCTGTGTGGTGTGCCACGTAAATGAGGCGTTGTCCATCCAGGTCGTTGCGTGCGTGGGGGGAGTGGTGGTGATTGCAACCCCCGGGTTCCCAGGCGTTCTCCGCCAGCGAGTGAGAACAGTAAGACAGTGACAGGCAGGCAGGCAAGGCTCTCCGCGCCGCCATCCATCCTCGTCGTCGTTACTGTTTCGTGCACTGCTGCAGAAGCAACTTGGCGGTGCCAGTAACCCACCCACACATCGCCATTATCCCCCCATCTTGCGCGAGGCAAACGCCATCCGCGACAATTTCAGCCAGCCAGCTCCGTCCGCATTAGGCTAAACCGGCGTATGCTGTGCGACCGGCGGCCGCCGGCGTCGGGTCGGTGCGATTGGCGGGTTCTGGGGAAGGAGATGATGCGAGACATGGTGTGGGATGGGTACTTGCAGTAGACTGTGGATTTTTTTTGGTTATGTACGCTGGGTGTTTTTTGATCGATTGGGAACGAGTACGCCAGGGAGGGATGTAGCTATCCGCGAACCTCGCTCGCTCGCGAACGAGCGAGCAATAATGTTCGATAACGCAAACAGTACCTGATTTCCCCGCAGCTTTCCCCGCACGGATGCCAGTATCCGGGTATCTCTTCCGTTCACCCAGCCCGCGGAGCGTCGTACGCACCGCCTCAGCGAGCAGGAGGGGAGGAGCAAGAGGAGCAAACGCACGGCTGATCCGAGCACACACAACACAGCCAGAATCAAATCTCATATCTCCCCCTCATCTCGGATCTCCTCCGGTCCTCCTTCCTTTCTCTGCCAAGCCCCAACCAGCACTCTATTGACGCCACCAACGACTGATAAGCGCGGGTTGGAAGGTACAGGGTGTGTGGAGGCCGGCTTGGCGGTGGCGCGGCGGCTGATAGGGGTGTGCGTCCCCGCAAAATTGGCGGCGCTGACGGTGCAGCGGGGGCCTTATCTAATGCAGTGGGAGAGCGCCCGGAGATGCAGCGAGCGTAGGGCAACACTGGGATGATTGGGGTGATGGGGTACATAGGGGCCTTGGCTTGTTGAGGCGCGTGTCTCGCCGGTTGGCGGTGCGAGGTTGCAGCACTGTCACCTTGGTGGTGTTGGGAATCCCCTCCCTACCTTTCCCCCACGATCTGCCCAGCCAGCTGTGCCCCCACGGTCTACTGGAACCACTGGTGTGATGGGGATGCGACGCGCTGTGATGTGCTGAGACACCGCGGACAAGCGGGCCAGAGATCTCACTCTAGAGATTGCGGGGGGGGACAAATCTCCGAGAGAATCCGATCAGATACCTCGTAGCACACCAAGTCAGCGCTCCCTCGATCCGTCTATCCCCGAGCGCTGAGCACGGCACAGAGGGAGCGCTGGGCACGATGTTCGGTGGAGCGCAGCGACTGGATCGGCCGGAGCCAGTAACCCTCATTTTGACCATTTTTGTGGGCTTTTCCTTCGCGGATGGGGGAGGCCAAGTGGGCGCCGGATGGTGATTAATCCGAGTGATTCCTTTCCCTCGATTTACCCAAAGCGGCACGATCGATAAATTGCTTTTGCCCTTGCCTAGCTTCTGTACTTTCAGCACCAAAAAACACTTCCCCACACTTATCTCTCCTTCCCAATGCATAAAATCTGAGAAGGATGCGGCTGCGTTTTTTTGCATAACAGCTTAGTAAGCTAAAACACGTGTTCCCACATATTTCTGATGTGGCTTTTTTGTGCATTGAGAGAGGGAGTCCCTTTTTTCGCCACCAACCCACCGTGCACGCAAAATATCCAGTCGGCCCGCAACGCCGGCCATACCACGGACTCTCTCAGGTCTGACCTCAGCAATTGAAGATTTTCATGATACCCTCTTATCTGTCCCTCCACGCCGCTTCTCCGCCCATCGTAAGCCCGCCCCGTCTCTCCCTTTGCCTAAACTCACACGGGGGGTCGCGATCCGAAGTTCTCCGGCGGGGGCAGCCTCTGCCGTGAACGAAGAGCACCTACGTATCGCAGGTCGCTATCGTAGCCCCCCTTCTTCCCTTCTCCGCCCTCAGCTGCATACTTGCACGGTGGCACTGCGGAAACCGTTGGGGAGGGTGGAGATGGTAATCTCGAACGGCTCTTTCCATTGCGGCGTCGCCGCCGTGCAACGTCCCACTGCGCGCAGCCGTGCCGATGACGAGTTTACAAGTAGCAACCCCGTGCTTGTGCCCTTATCTCCCCAGGTTGTACCACCCCTCACCCCTTTTTTCCCTCAGCTTTCTAGCATGTGAAAGTGTAACCCTCCTTTTCTCTCTTCCTGCTATTTAAGGCAATCGCGAAGAATTTGGAGATTTCTCCAAATAAAAATGGGTTACCCCCTTACTATTTCCCCATTTTCGCATGTGACAAATCGTCATCTGTAAAAAATAGTCAACTTCTCCACATATCGTAGGTACGAAGAGAAAAAAAGCTATGGCCGCTCCACAAATCCAACTAAATTTTTTGGAGAAATACTCCAACAAAACCCGGCTCCACCGGAAACTTGGCAGGGTGGTGGGTGTGGTGCCCGCTCGGCATTCAAAGCCGGGGCTTGTTCGATTTCTGATTTTTGCTCCTTCCTTCGCCACGTTCTGGAAGCCCTGGCTCCGGATGAGAAGCCGAGGCGTACCTGCAGTTGGTGCCAGATTGGGGTGATGGCAGGGTATGGCGTCGAGATGGTCGATTGAGCTTTTGACACGGGGTTGAGCATCAGGTCTGTCACATGCGAATTGGGATACACGTGTAAGTGAGAGAAAGATGATGTCGCTGTATACTACACGTATTCATACCGTGTCTCCGATGCATAGAGACGTCCGATGTAATAGGGGCGTCCGATGCATGAGGATGTCGGTATTCCTCAAGGTTTGCTGTTCCATCTCCCCCTGTCCAGCGTACCACCCGGGGTTCTCCTCTTCATCCATCTTCGCCTACATGGCATCTTCCGTCCCTATTCCTCTATTTCCTGCGGTATCTATTCTCCGTTCCAGAGAGCGTTGTAGCGGCCCTTTCGTGCCGTTTCAACTCGTATTCCTGGGGCTCTTCGGATCCTGCCCAGATTCGTCCTATATTATATCGATACCGCATACCTGTTCGTACACGTCGCTGTCGCTATCGCTGCAGGAATGCTGGTGACCGTTGTGTGGTGCATGAGGCGCATTACTGTGTTGGGCGGTGGCTGCATTTCTGTACCGGGTTCTTGAGTGCATCGGGGGTCCTTGCGATGCCAGATCTTGCATGAAGGTGTCTAGGCAGGTAGGTCTAGATCTCGTTGTCTATCTCGTCTGTTTCATATTACTCTATTCTGCTTTACCTTCCTTTAGTTGACCTTGCTCCGGCGGGGTTATGCATATATCTCATCGTTGTTCACATGTTGCGGGGTTGGTTCATGCGGTTCTTCAATATACATACTCTATACTCTGGTTGTCGGGGTCGGCGGCGTTGATTTCTACGCCATGTTATGCGCAATATATTGCTGTCGTTCATGTCCCTTATATTGGGTTCTATATGTGTTCTATGTGTTCTATATGTGGTATGCATATATCTCCTCATTCACATGTTCGGGATTGACTTCTACGGGCCGTTGATATACTCTAGTCCTCGGGGTGGCCAATGTCGGTCTCTACATATTATGCGCAATATATTGATGTCGTTCATGTCTCCTGCCTTAGGTTCCACAGCATTATCCTCAATCTATCTAGTTATTCGAGCCTCAACGGTGTAATCCTACAAAACTTCTCGCTCGGTCCTGCCACGGCCCTGCCCCGGCCCCGCTCCAGTGCTCTCCTGTGAGCTCATTGCCAGGATATCTGCCATGTTTACTTCGGTAAAACATGTCTCTGAGGCGGCCCGATGTGAGGGTCTCGATCGGTTATCGATGACAGGTATCAGATTGAGCTTTCAGTCTCAAAGTCTCTGACTCTGCATATTATCATGCCGAGAAGTACCAGTACGAGAGGTTCGAGGTCGTGTCAGTGAATGCGTCACAAGAAACTTAACCGATTGATAGAAGCACGAAGACGAAAGCGTCACGGCAACAGCCATAAGATGCATCTAGATTACACGTAGTTGAACAATATCTTGCACAACTGAGGGAATTATCGTGATGTTATGAGGCTGACTCGGCTTCAGCGACTCGTCAAACGCTCGATCGCCGCAGGGGATATGTTCTGGCCCAGCCAGAATAAATCAACTTCTCGAATAGCAGTAGACTATACAACGCCAATATCGCTTTTAGTTGCCATTATCGTAGGTTTTAGAGCCTGAAATTTGTCTTATGGTAGATAGAGCTGCTTAGTAGGCTGCTTCGTGGTATATTGATATCACGTGACATCCTCTAACAATACTCGAGTATACTCGTATACCGTATTTGTACCCCTCACAATCCAATAACACCCCGCCAGCTCATTGTTCCTAAACACGGCCACGACGCGTTCAAAGATGTAAATAAGGTTGCAGACGTGGTTTCGCATGGCGCTGCAGAGTTACGTTGTATCAGGTTGGACAAAAACTTAGATTTCTGAATTTTCTGTAACTCAGCTCTCCTCAGCCCTTCTCAGCCTATCGATGCTATGTTTGGGATTCGGCTTGTAACCGCCCGGGATCAGAGCTGAATATAGTTTATGGGCTGTAAGCGCTCGACTGGTCAGGGCTGAGTACCGCCTGGCAACCACCAGGAATCAGGCTGGCCTATCATCTTCCGATGCTGCCAATTCTTCCACGCATCATCCTCTAGAACGGTACACCATCGACGTGCTAGACACAGTCAGGAACGGTCAGGGTCGCCCAGGGACGGCCAGGAACCACCAGATGCTGTTTTTATCCAGGCGTTAGAGACATTTAGAGACAACTCTAATCTCACGAGAGGCTGGTATGGGCGAATGAGAGTCGCCATGATTTCAATAAGCCTCCCGATTCCAAATGCTGGATCAGGAGGGTGTGATGATTCTCATTCGCCGCTCATTCCCTACTTTCTTTAAACTCTAGGCATGTCCCATCGTGCGCTTTTCCCTTATCACATATTACTGCCTACCGTGCTTCATTTTCTTCGTGCTCAGTAAGAGGGGCTTCTGTGAAGCATTTGCAATGCGCTGCGCGCAATCATGAGTCTGTTGAGCAGATACCTAGACGATGCGTATAATGCCTGGATGGGCTCGGTGATGGGCTGCTGCAGTGCACGGCCGAGGGATCCAGACCGAACTTCGATCCGAGGTAATGAAGCTTCACACATATCCGTCGGCATCTTCAAGATCTCAGACCACTGACGGTTACACAGGTTTCGAGAGCCACAACCCCCGCACCATCTATCACCACCAACCTCAACTCATCCCCGGGCCCTCCGTGCCTCTCCCCGAGAGCCGTCCGCATACCCGCTCCTCATCTCAAGAATGGATAACCCGCACCCGGAGCTTTGCCTCTCGCGCCTCCAGCAGGGGCAGCTACTCCCTCAAGCGCAAGCTGAACATGTACAACGGCAGCACCACCAGCACAAAGCGTCCCTACATCAGCGCGCCCTCCGACTTCCGCCACGTCCAGCCCTCGCCCTCACCCCCACCACACCTACCCCGCCGCAGCTTCCGCCCGCTAGAACTGAGCATCTACCTCCCCACAAACCAGCTCTCCCCCATTCTCCCACACTTCGATGACGACGCCGCTACCCCACCCCGGCAAACGCACACCCGCAGCGTCTCGGCTCTGTCGAACTTCTCTATCCCCCGCAAGGCAGTCCCGTCATACTACCAGCGCCCCTCCTACGACGCCGAGTACTCAAGCGCTGACACAACTCCCGAGTCAGTCGCGGGGTCATTCACGCACCCACTCCGCCCACGCCCCAGTCTCCCAGGAAGCCTGAGCACGCAACAGCTCCTCGCAGCTCTCGACGACGAGCCGCTCAACTACCCACCCCCCGCACGCCTGCGCTCAAACACCGCAACCACCCTCCCCATCCTCAGCGAGCAAGTCGAGCGCGTGAAATCCGTTCTTCTTGAGCGCGAAGCCCTCGACAAGCGCATACGCGATGTAGACGGCCTGATCGAAGAGCGCAGAAGCATGTCTCTCAAAAGCCGGCCAGCAAGCATCTACACCTCTTCTGAAGGTTCGTCCCCCCGAATCTCCACCATCCCGCACCAAACTAACAACGTTCCAGAACCAATGCCCCACCTCACATCTTCGGAAATCGAGCGTCTCCGCCCTCGCACCACCACCCCCCTCCACTCCCCCTCCTCAACAACATCCTACACCTCTATCCCCCCTCCCCCCCTCCCACTCCTCCTCCCGCGCCCACCTCTCAGAAAGAAAAAATCCTTCTCCCGCGTCTCAACCTGGCTCTCCGGCGGACACAGCCGCCACCTCTCTCTCGATAGCGTGACGAACGCGCCCGTCCCCGTGACAGCACGTGATGGCTTCTACCAGTGCGTTGATGCGAGGCTGGGTCGGGGGAGTTTGAGTAGTATCGGGTCTGCGTCCGGGGAGGATCTGACGGGGCCGACGAGCTGGACGAGTGTGTCGGAGGTGGGGACGTTGGTTAAGGGGGTGGAGGGGGAGGCGGAACGGTTGGGGTTGAGGGCTTCGAGGGTGGGGGTTGCTTTTTGATTTGATACCCGGGGGTTGTAATGGTAATGGTAGATTTTGACGGGAGGGGGTTGGTTTTTGGCGCGCTGGACGATGTCGATACCCCTTGAAGTGAGTTAAAATGGGAGGATTTGTGTATAGCTGCGATGGCTTCGCAGGTTTGGTTGGACCGGCTGTGGCCCGGGTTTGGATACCATATATTATTATAATAATACTCCGTCTGTACAACACAAAGGATGTTTTTTCTTACTTCTATATATCCTTCCATTTCTGGTTCCATCCCGCCTTTGACCTTGAGAAGTACAGCCCTGAGAAACTTCATTTTCTCGATACTACCGGGGCTCTTATTGTCTTCCTCTTTTGAGAATTTCTTCCTCCGTCTGTGGGCGATCCTTCTCCACTATCTATAAACTCCTCAGCGTCGAACTTCTTTGATGCTGCCCATTTATAGCTGGAACTAGAGCTAGAACTAGCTATCCGACCTGCATGCTAGAGTCTGCTGTATCTGAGAGCAGCCGGGCTTTAAGCCGTGATGCAAAGATATGGCTAGAGCACAGGGGTTCGCACGTAACACAAGTTATCACAGTGAAGATTTGCCGGTGGCCAGATATCGTGCTTACAGCCTCTTCTTTGCCGTCGTCAAACTTCTGTCACCGTCGAACCTCTATCACCACCGAACCTCTATCGCCACCGAACCTCTGTCATCACCGTAGCCTCTCACCACGATAAACATTTCTCACCGCCGCCTGTGCCCCGTTCTTGGTTGTGATATGTCTTCGCCGTCGTGTCTACAATCGACTGTGGCAATAATTGTGTAGAAACATTTGACGGCTTAGCCATAATTACTCCTCATCATCGCTAACTTCGTCGTCTTCATTTCCCCTACTGGTCTCTGCAGTTTGGTAACAGTCGAGGATCGTCCCTAATCTCTCGCCCTCTTCCAAAGGTCACCAAACCGCTCTACGTGAACGTTGAACTCACCCCCGACGTTAAACTCACCCCAACGTTTCCGCCTCGTCTTGGAAGGGTTTATTAATTCAGCGTTGAAATTTAAATTATTAAGAATCGATTCAGGTGACAAAATATATTGGTTCTGCTGTTAGTTGGCTGCCGAACGTGGTTGCGTTAAGGAAAGGAATGTGGAAAGTGCCTCGATGGGAACCAGTGTTCGTTTATATTCCTAATTACGTACAGACAAGACCCAGATAGTTCAGGACTCTTCCTCTCTGAACCCCTTGCATCCCCTACCTACTGCCCTATAATTAAGGAGACAGTGGCAGGCCAACCCGTTCACCCATTGCCTCCTCGCCACGCGCATCCCCATCCTCCCCCCCACCCCGAGGTGTCTCCCCTCCACTTCCTTCTCCTTCCCCCTCCCACCCTTCTTCCTCCTCCGTCTCCGTCTCCTCCTCCGGAACAACAAGCACATCCTCACTCCCCTGGGTCTGCGGTCCCAACAACGGCATCCCAACTTCATCTCCCTCATCCCATCCATAATCATCATCTCCCAGCCGCACTCCCCCTTCCAGAATCTCTTCTGCTTTGCGTTTTCGGCCGCTTACGAGCTCCCGGTCGCCCTCCATGATTGGCGCGTCTTCAATGCCATTCTACACTCCGTCAGCACCAGGCCACCACCAAAGTAAATAGAAGAAAAGAGGAAAGAGTGGAGGGAAATGAAAGAAAAATAATCACATACCGCCGTAACAACAAACCCCCCAACCCTCCCCTCAACCCCCCTCCCCCCTCTCCTAACAACCCTCACAAACCTCCCCCCTCCCTCCCTCCAAAGCACCACCCGTCCCCCCACACCCCCCTCCCAAGCCGCCCCCCCAATCGCCGGTACCAACGCCGCCGGTCCATGTGGTTGCAGCTGCGTAACCGTCTGTGAGAGGACCAGCAGGGCGATATGTGAGGTTGCTGCGAGGCGGCGGAGGGCATTGATTAGGGGGGTTATAGGGTTAGATGTGGATGTGGAGGGGGTGTGTTGACGGATGGGGGGTGGGGGGAGAAGGGAGGAGGGGGAGGAGAGGATTAGCAGGCTTGTGCGTGGGGGGAGAGGGTGGGCGAGGAGAGCGAGGAGGTGCGGGAGGGTGGGGGGGGTGAAGGTTGTTAAGTTTTTGAGGAGGGTGGAGGCGGTGGGGGGTGGGGAGGGTGATGGGTGGGGTGGTTGTGATGGTGGTTGTGATGCTGCTTCAGAAGTTGTAGTGGCGAAGGAAGCGGCGAGGACAGCTTCAAGCCGTGGACCCGGAAGGGGATGGCCCGCATCTGCGGATGTTAGCTTAATATCAAAAAGGGAATGTAGATGGAGAAGAGCGTTGCTGAGAGTAGTAAGCCGCCCGCCCCAGCTTAACAGGCTACAACCAAGAACCGCCAAGCTCATTCTCGGTCTCCAAGCACAAAAAGAACCAACTCACCAACCCACACAACCCCCTCCCCCCTCCTCAACGCCGCAACAGCAAATTGCAATCTACCCCCAAAAACCATCAGCATTTCATCCTCAACTCCCTTTCCTCCCTTCCCCAAGAAGAAGACCACGGAAAGAAACCCACTCACCCAAACCCCCTCTTCCCCACCCCCGGCGCCCCAAAAACCTCCATCACCTCCCCCCTCCTAACCCCCAACAGCGCATCCAACCCTTCCACCCCCATCTTCACATCCTCCTCCGCTCTCTGCGCCGCGAGTGCTTGGGCTGCCGTTTGCGTTGGGAGGCGGTCTGGGTTCTTTGTCAGCACTTGTCCAATCCTGCAGCGGGGGGGAGACAGTGGGGAGGTGCGGAAAGGGGGGGGGAATGGGAAGGTGGGACAAACGCGTGCTTGGTGGTGGGGGTGAGGGGTTAGGCGCCGTGGCGGCGGCGGAGGCAGATGCCATGTGGCGGCGGGGCGCACGTGTTGTGGAGAGTTGTGGCGAGTTGTTGTTTGGGATGGGTGATTGGGGAGGTTTTGCGGGGAGTTGTGGTTCTTGGGTTTAGAGTTGATGTTTGGGGGTGGTGGGGATAGATGGGGTGGATGGGTATTGTGGATGATGGGGTTATAAGTTTTGGGGATCGGGACGCGTCTTGGGGTTTGGGGAAAATTATTATGATATTGGGGTATTGGGGAAAATCAACATCTTCACGCAACCACGGGAACTTTTCCCTTCATTTATTTGATCAGAATGCACTTTATAAAAACGATATAACGGAACCAGTATTTTAATTATGCACAATTTTTGGATTTTAGTCTAATCATTTCGAGGGACATAAACAATCATCTCTATCTATAAACCCCCACCAACCAAAGCCAGAAGAGCCACCGAGGCCCCCCAAAAACAAAAACCACACAAACCAAGCAAGCAACAATGCTAATCTACAGGACGACACACATTAACAAAAAATATGCCCTCCCAAGTCTCTTTATCCCCTCCCAATCTTTTGCCCAAAGTTCTTTGTTTTTTTGTGGTATACACGAGAAGGAGAGTCTAAATGAAGTCTAAGTTGGAGAGGTTGCCGTATATGGGCATAGAGCCCCGTCCGTTCGCCATCGATCCCATCTCCTCGCTAGCAGGCTGCTGCTGCTGCTGTTGCTGCTGTTGTTGCTGTTGCTGCTGCTGTTGCTGCTGCTGCATGGAGCTGCCATTACCCTGACCCGGGTATTCATAGTGCTGTCCGTAAGGAGGACCGCCGTGACCGTACTGGTGACCATTCTGGCCGCTTGGGGGTCCCTGGTGGCTGTACTGCTGCTGGCCGTTGTGGCCGTTGGAGATACCGCCGTGGTGACCGTTGGGGATAGGGTAGGCGGCGAGCTGCGGGTTCATGGACGCCATTGTGCTAGGGATCTCGCCCATGGTGCTGGGGATCTCGCCGTTGTAGTTCTGTTCGAAGCTAGTGCGACCGGAGCCGCTGCGCGAAGGACCGGCCATGGTGCGCCTGTCGCGCCCGTCATTGCTGCCGATTCTCTTGATGCTGCTGGCCCGGGAGAGGTGACCCTGAGACAGCTGGTCGTCTTGGGGGGTTGCCTGGCCATCGGGCATGCGTCCATCCGCCATGAGGTTGTATGGGTGGAGACCAGGGTCCGTGGGGACGCCGTTCAACACGTTCATGTTTCTCATCATATCTCCTTCAGTCGCGGCTGGGAGGGTATTTTTGTGGGCGGGCTGGTTCTTCTTCAAATGAGACTGCGCGTGGGACAAATGGCTGGCCCCGGTGGGGTTTCCACGGCGGATCGAGCATTTTTGGAAGTGGCGCTTGAGGATATCGGACCTGGAAAACGTATCGCGGCAAAGAACGCACATATATGGGCGGTCGCCGGTGTCTAATGGTGGAGTTAGCATCAATCAATCACACGTAAAACATTTTGTTTTGAAAACTTACGTCTGAGAAGATGGCGCTTTAGATGTTTCGCGTGCAGGTATGTCTTCACACAATGAGGGCAAGGGAACTTTCCATCGGCATCCTTGGCCGGGATTTGGGCATTCTTGCTCGCGCCTGGGCCGGTGGCAGTGACAGTAGGGCGTCCGGGAGCACTGGGAAGGATGCCTCTGCGACCTTGCGATCCAACAACGTGTGTGGGGACCTCTTCATGCGGAGGGCCCTGTTGCCCGTAGGGAGATCCCATACCCCCTTGCATCTGCTGATGCATCGGGTGCTGAGCGTGCAATGGTGTAGATGGGTTCATAGGACGCAATGGCACCAGACGGTTATGAGTTGGTCCCGGCGCAGGCGCAATTGCTTGCGGGTGCGGATGAGACATCGACATGGAGCCCTGGGGCATCATGCCCGAGGAATTGCTGCTGTATGGCTGAATGGGCTGCTGGTACGATGAGTTCGGCTGGAGGTGGTACTGGCGAGGAGCGGGCTGGCTGCTCATCTGCTGGAATCCCCCATTGCCCGTCGATCCAGGTGTGTTGGGCTGGGTCGAGGTCGGAGTGTGTGGCGCGCTCAGCGGCTGCCCATACATGGAGTGCATGGACAACGCGGCATGCTGAGCCTGCAACGGCGGCAGCGTCTGAGGTGGCAACGACGCGTTTTGTTGAAGCTGCTGGGGGGCTATCGAAGGCAGCGACGAGTATATCGAGGATGAGGTGGTCGGGAGGTTGCTGCTCGAAGACTTGTTGTTGTTGTTGTTGCTGCTACTATTGGCATATTGATCCATGATCGTCGATTGTTCGATGTACGTGAAGAGAAGTCCTTGGGACGTGTCTTTCAGTCGTAGAATAAAAGAGAGGTCTACTAATTGTTTGACCCCGCCTTGTGTTCGCGCCTGGGCTTGGAGCGATGTAAAAGATCAGAAAGTACTTGGCCCAACCGTCATGCTATTTCGCGTTTTCTCTGCGTTGAAGATTTTCCGAGGATTTTCTCCGGGAAGGCCGTTGTAGCACAAAGAGATTGTGCTGTGTGTGAGGCGATAACGGCGAAAACAACGTGTTTATGCGATAAACGCACGTCTAGAAAGGTAAAAGGTGGATCGAAAATGAGCGACAGCGAAGAACCACAGGGCGTCTATTAGGATCGGATTGAGGCTCAAAACGTGCACTGGAGCACTTTCAAGTTCTTTTTCGCGATTGTGTTGATGGATAGAGTTAAAGAGTGGAGACTCAAGGGGAGAAATGGGGATTGGGGGGGGCGCGTTGGGTTGTCAAGAGATTCAAAGAGGGCCCGGGTCACGACTATTAAGTTTTAGGAGAAAAAAAAGTATTGGGGGCGTTTCTTTTGGAGGGTAGGGAACGAGGGCGAAGGCGGATAGAATTCAATCTAAGAGAACTAGAGAGAACTAAGAGGACTAAGAAGACTGGGAGGACTAAATTGAACACATTCGCCCCCAGATGACAACGATTGGCGGCAGGCAAGACCAAGAAGAGAAAAAAAAATCTAACAGAGCAACGACGATGGGCCTATGGGAAGGGGGATAGGGAGTTTACTCGAGTAGCCAAGAGGCAAAATTGGGCAAGAAAGGGCAGATAAAGTACCAATTTTCCAATATTATGTTATTTAGGGGCATAGGTTCAGGGCAAAAGGGCAAGTAAGATACAAATACATACAGTACGAGAGTATCAGCACTTCCCTATTTCATATTTCTATTTCCTGTTTCCTACCTCTTCTCTACCTCTCTCACAGGCAGGACATATGCTGTATACCCTCCAAACTTTGAAGATATTGGTTCGCCAGGTAGCCCCTAAGTCATGCTACTTTCAACCACGCCGCAGGAAGCAGCAAGCAGTTGCATTTGCCAGTGCTTTTTGTAAGTACCGCGCCCGAAGAGCGGCGAATTTCCGAAGTTAGATGACGAATATCCCAGTCCGCATCCCCTAGTCTTCCTAGTGTCTCTCTTAGTCTCCGACAAGCCCTGGTCTGTAGACGAGATCGTTGGGAACTATTGCACTATTATTGCAACGCCGAGGGACTCTGGCCCTTCAGGGCTTAAACTACACGAGAAGAGAGGTATAATAAGCGGTAAATCGTGTAAATCGTGCGTGCGTTCGCGGCCGAAGAGGGAGTATTTACTCGAGCTCGAGTCCAGAGAGAGTCCAGAGCAGAGCACACACACGGAGTACGCCGTATATCAAAGCAACCTGATACGAGCTTACAGTACTGTATGATGCGATGCGTCGTTATGAGCGTACGAGTCTACCAGTCTACGGCCTATATTCGGGTGGCAGTGGCGATACAGCGAATGCACCGAGAACCATCAACATTCCCATTGTTCCCCCTATCCAATTTCCCCTTTCCGTGTCTGAGTGTCTAAGAACGCCCACACAGTCCCCAATCAGCCCTCACAAACAAAATAAAAAAGTCTCGGGAACTGAACGACGCGACTCAGACATTCGACTCGCGCAGCAAGTATGCAAATATGCAAAAATATGCCCATGAAACGTCCCTGCTGTGTACCGATTGTATGTATACTATACTATAGCAGTACACAAGCACTACATACCTTGGAGTACAGTACGCTCTTGGCTCTTGACTCGGTGCTAAATCTCTCTTGGACTTCGGCTGCGCCGTTCTACGCCCGTCTCCAACTACCGGTTCTTGCAAGGTCTGCGCAGACTATTCTAAATGGAGCATCGCAAAATGAGATTCACGAAGCTGTGCGTACCAATGTGCATACCAACCGTGCGCCCCTTAGTGTATGGGAAGGGTATCTGCGCCGGGTTCTACTCGCAAATCTGCCCCATACTCTTATTGGCAAGCCGAGGAGATATTGCACAGTAGTGAGCTAGTGAAGTAGTGAACAAGGAGTAAACAGTAGTGAATATCTTCCCGTGTACAAACTTGGCACTGTCCAGGTCAATCACTCTTTTATCAATCTCGGTATCCCAGGCTGATTGGAAGATAATCAACCCGTCTCAGCTTCAATGACGGCTCAATCCCTCAAATCTGTACTGTATTTCGCCGCCGGACGGATGGGATGGGCTATATCCTGACCCGAACACTTTCTCACAAACCTCGCCATTTACTTCACCACCGTTGCACATCTTGGTTTGTTTCAGAAGTGTTCTTATCAAAACATGCTCATGCTGCTGATCCTTTCTTCAACTCGCTGCAAGACTTCGCCTGGATGATCAATCGTATCCCAGTCTCGAAATGATGTCAGATTTAAGACCAGGGGTGCCACCGCGATCTCATTTCTCAAACCCTCCCGCTCGCCATTATCCAATTTCACACAGGTCAGTTGACCTTATTGCTTATGTCCGCAAAGGGAAAGCAACCGAATCCTATTGTTTTGGAAGTCTTGTCATGTCCCATTATCTTTCATATCTTCATATCAATCCTCCCGTATAACTTATAATTCGTGTGTGTCTGTCTGGTGTAGGGATTATAATTATCAATGGTCCCCAGCGATGTTACCTTGCCATATGCCGGGATCCGAAACAACCCGGCTCAGCGAGTCCGCCACTCGTAAACTTACCATGTCCCCGGCGCGAAGCCATCTAAAAACATGCATCCTGCAACCCTCGACGTCCAGCAACCATTGGCTCCTGATGCGCCATCTGGTCAAGCGTCCTTGGTTTCGAACAAGGGCCAAATCACCAGTTCGTCAAGGACTGCTCCAAACCTGCGCTACTACTGTACTCCCATGTCCGCGATGACCCCTGCTTTGTTACCGCTTTGCCAATGGCGGAAGATTCGCGCGGGCTTGCCTTGCCTGTTGCCATCCCACGTAATCCCACGTTCTTCAGCGAATTCACTAACAATGTCAATGTCAACTTGTGCTCCCGTAATTGTTCGCCACACCATCCACGGGCTTCAACGGCCAAACCAAAGGTGAAGAGACATTCGCCATGCACAACATATCCGCATGAAACGGACTCTCTGATCCGGTTCCGAGGGAATTAATTAGTGCGACAGAAGCCATCCTGTTCTCAAACCCGATGAGAACCGGTCGATGTTCGCGAGTCATTCAGATACGTCGCATCACATATCTGGAACTCCGACGAAGCAACCTTGGTCGATACCTGTACCATACCTGTCCATTGGCCGTGCACCACGTGCAGCGCAGTAATTTTCAGCTGCCCCTGCTCCCAATGTCCCCCTGCCCATATCCAGGGATTATTGCGCCCGATTATGTGCCCATGAGATGGCGTGGAAATCGTAAATCTCCAGCCAGCCCAAAACAAAAAGTACGCGTCGTCTCTCCGATATCGTCGATCCCTATATGTATGAAATTCAACCCACCCACCTACCTACCGTAGTACACCCGGCGCCTCGCTTGGATCGAAGAGAAAAATCGGCTCTAAAAAAGTGTGATGGGTGGGAAGGGAGGGGCGATGCAAAAGCTTGCCAATGGCGACCCTTCCCACCTCTCCAGCACAGAGCCACAAAAACGGCCGGCGCTGACATGGAGCCTTGAACGTTTGTATGGATCCCCTCCCACCACCCCCCTCCCAACAGCAAGCCCGACTTTTGTGTGAGTATCACCAGTAGAGGAGGGACTCCACCCGTAGAAGAGAAGAGGCTTCGATTTCGTCGCACAAGCCGGGAAATGGGTCCCTGCGCCTTTTTCGATTCTTGTAGATGCCCCAGTAGCTTATTACGACGTCTTCTGGATGCTATGGGTGACCCCACTGTAAACTTTTGAGGGATGTGGTTTGTGCGCGCTTTTGGTAGCTGTTGATGTATGTGAGGGTGAACGATAACTGTTAACAGGGAAAGGGGCGAATATTGGAAACCTGGCGGATTTGGTGGCGTAGGGTCAGCTTGGAAGTCAACGGGTAGAGGGATTTCTTGACTGATAGATCGTCGAGTGCGAGGACGGTTTTTCTTGGACTCCGATATCTCCCCGGGCACTGACAAAGAGTTTCGTTGGGTACATGATGTGACGATAACAGGCTCGTCGGCCCTTCGCTGCCAACGCACGAGACGTGTCAGCAAACGAGAGTTTGCTGGAGTCGACAGGCTGGCAGTAATCGAGGGTGACTGGGAAGAAAACTCTTCCGGCCTGCGGGTTCGTTTTGCCTAATATATTGGTGTAAGCATGGTGAAGGAAGTCGGTAGCATAGACAACTAGAGAGCAAGAAGGACAAAAAAAGCGAAATGCCTATTCAGGTCCGTTTTGCTAACGATCTAAATGTGTTGATGGGTGCCTATATAGCCGAACTGGACGCGTTTTCTTCTCGCTGTTGCTGTCGTGAGGTTCTCGTCACCGCCCCTTTTTTTATCACCCCTTTTCTCGTCACCACCCCGTCTTCCCACCAACACCACCCCTTTTTCTGTTTTCCCTAACCTCCGGACGGGTCGCTGTCCTGCCACTTCTGCAGTGATGCCAGCTGTCTCATTGGTGACCATGGCCATTTCGTACATATTAATGAACGTTCTCGATGCCCAAATCTGGACGGGCCGATCAGACGGGCAATAGGCCATTTATTGGGCGTCGCCCTTGACTTGGAACATTTCTCCCGCCTCGTTCTCAGACGCAATACACAATGAGTATCCAGTAATCGGGCTCACCAGGAGCCTGTCGCTGGGTCACCACCGAATGGACAAGTGGTTTCTTTTTGAGCGTTATGTATAGTACACCATTGGATTTGATCCGACGATGTAATGAGGTTGATATTCTTTGGTTATTTGTGGCTGGCATTGGCTTTGCTAGGTGTTGATTCTTTTATGGGAAATAATATCCGCTATTGGTCCTGTGCACAGATATAATTATGTATTGCTTTGGTCTAGGTGCCATTCTATAAAGTATGTGGAATTATTTGATACTGATATTTTTTAAAAATATAAAGATGACAATAATAATCACACGACTAACAGAAATATATGTACACCACAACCTCCACAAATTATACCAAATCCAGCCATGGTAACTGGTATTCCATATATTACCCATAATATTCAGATACCAAATGTTATATTTTAAGAAGTTCTTGTAGCCAAAATGATTATTTTAGTGAGCAGTACCTAGAACGGAGTGATAGCTGTGTGAGCGGTTATATGGTACTCGTTCTTTCCAAATCTACAGAAAAAAATATGGCCTTGAGTATAGAATTAAAAAGAGTATCACTCAAAAAATGGAATTTCCGAGTTTCAATTGAGAAAGGAATTCGTGTAAACATCATTCAAAATCAATGGTGCTGGTTCCTGCCAAGAAGCCAATTCGGCCACGTCACGTGAAAACCTTAAATAATTTCGCTAGCCGATTTATTGAAGATGCGCCTGGAGGGCATCCTGACTTCGAGCTGTAGGAAAGAGCGAAGCCAGTTCTCCCACAGAACAATTGGCTACTTCAGATCGAGATGTCAACATCTGCAGTAGTGCGGCCAGCCGCACAGCTTCTCTTGAAGCCCACACGAACCCACCATGTCTCCCTGACCTTCCTCACTCCCTCAATCGTCAAGACCCAAACCTCTCAATTCTCCACCTCGCGACAATCCTTCTTCCCCCGCGACTTCAACCGTGAAAGAGGTGTCAGCACAGTCAGGAGAACTGGCCCTCGCCAGCCCCTGAGTGTCTCCAATGACCCTCTTCCGGAGCCCGTCCTCGACCCCAAAAAGCGGAGCAAGCTCCGTGTCGACGAAAACCACGGCTTATATCAATTTTTCCACTCGAAAGAGAAGGCAATGAACACACCAGAGGAGGATAACAGCCACGGCCGCCCTTGGAGTGCGGAGGAGTTGAGGCACAAGAGCTGGGAAGACCTGCATTCGCTGTGGTGGGTTTGCTGCAAGGAGCGCAACAGGATTGCAACGGAGACACACGAGCGAGAGCGTCTCGATGCCGGTTACGGTGACTACGAGGCAAAGGCGAGGGATGTTGCTGTAAGAAACCATGCATTTGCTTGATATATTTACATCTACGGGGGCTTCATGCTGACATTATTTATCCAGGTCCGGAGAACTCAGCGGGCGATTAAGCAAGTACTTACCGAGCGATACTATTCATGGGAAGATGCGAGGAAGTTGGCAGCGGGCGATCCGGAGGTGGATCTCTCTGGAGAAGGACCAGCACATACACCAAGCCTGGATGCCTTTGAGTTAGAAGAGCCGACTGCGGAGGAGCTCGAGGCTGAAGCAGCCGAAGCGGCCGCGGCAGAGGGCACCGAAAAGGGTCAGCCGGTCAAGCCCCAAACGGTATAGTGAGCTCAATGGGATCTGTTGAGAATCCACAAGCCATTATAAGACAAAGGGGTCTATCTGAACATAGACTCACGCATGAGCTGGCAGGGAAATGACCGTCTTCGGTCAATGTTGTATTGGAGACTACGGAAGCGCATTTGGATGTAGGATAAAGCTGTATAAGATAGAGATCATCTTTGTGTAGGAGTATATAACAAATTACTGTTGATATAATGTCTTACCACTACGACCACCAAATGACATTTATGGCGGATAATTCCGGCCCGTTGCGACTCTATGTTGTAAGGGGAATAGTTGAAGCGAGTGGAGCAAGCCAGAGGTGACCGCTACTCTCTATCAGTAGCGCCGTAGCTTGTACAACAAAGTTGCAACTGTGTTCGCCGAAACTTGAGCCTATAGCTACTGTTGATTCTTTGACTACCTTCTTTGCACATAGCCAGGAGGAATATAGCTTGTCATTATGGACGAAATCGCCCCAGAGTACGATGTTGTGGTCCTTGGTACCGGTATGTAACCCCGCATTGAGGGGCACGTCAGACTCGATAGCTAACAACCTCCCCTTTGAAGGTCTGACCGAGTGTGTTCTGTCTGGGTAAGCATACAAGAGACCCTTGCGATGACAGTGAGCTAATATTTTTCAAAGAGTTCTCAGTGTGAAGGGCAAGAAGGTGCTGCACATTGACCGCAACGATTACTATGGCGGGTAAGTTCTCGACCACCCTGGGGTTTGTGGGCTAGACTAACGCAACACAGAGAGGCAGCTTCTGTCAACATCGAGACTGTTAGTGAGATTACAACTTTAACTACGAATTGTATTCTGACATGTAGCAGCTGTTCAAGAAGTACGGAAACTATAACGCGGGTGAGGAGCCATGGAAGAAGTACGGCCGTGCCAACGACTGGAACATCGATCTGGTATCCAAGCTGCTCATCTCAAGCGGAGAGCTTACCAACATTCTCGTTTCAACGGACGTAACAAGATACCTTGAGTTCAAGCAAATCGCTGGCAGCTATGTGCAGCAGAGCTCCGGACCAAAGGCGACTGTCGCCAAGGTTCCCTCTGATGCAAAGGAGGCCCTGACCTCCTCCCTAATGGGTATTTTCGAGAAGAGGCGCATGAAGTCGTTTATCGAGTGGGTTGGAACCTTCAACGAGGGCGATTCCGCTAGCCACAAGGGTATGTGGACTCTTAAATCTGGTTGGTGATGTCGCTGACCGCTATCTAGGCTTGAACATCCAAGCATGCACGATGAAGGAGGTCTACGACAAGTTCGGATTAGAAGCAACCACTCGCGACTTCATCGGACATGCCATGGCATTATACACAACTGACGACTACATTACCGCGGCAGGAGGAGCACCAGAGACTATCGAGCGTATCCGTCTCTACGGTAACTCTGTTGCCCGCTATGGAAAGTCCCCATACATCTACCCGCTCTACGGTCTTGGTGAGCTTCCTCAGGGATTCGCTCGTCTGTCCGCTATCTACGGTGGAACTTACATGCTCAACACCAACCTTGATGAGGTTACATACGACGGAGACAAGGCTGTTGGTATTAAGGCAACCATGAAGGAGCGTGGAGATGAGGGCGACGGAATGACCTTCAGCACCAAGGCCAAGAAGATTCTCGGAGACCCATCCTACTTCCCCGGCAAGGTCCAAGTTGTTGGCCACGTCCTAAAGGCGATTTGCATCTTGAACCACCCCATCCAGGGCACCGATAACAGCGACTCGTGCCAGCTTATCATTCCCCAATCGCAGGTCGGAAGGAAGAATGGTGAGTTTATTAATACTGCTATTTTTATAGACAAGCTAACCATATTATAGATATCTACATCGCCATGGTCTCTTCTGCACACAACGTATGCCCCAAGGGTTACTACATCGCCATCGTCTCCACAATGGCCGAGACCAACGCAAACCATCACCTTGAGCTCGCACCCGGCTTCGAGCGCCTCGGCAGGATCGAGGAGAAGTTCATGGTACGTGCCTACTACCCATTAACCTGACAAAGAAAAACAACTAACCTCCTCCCAGGGCCCACCAATCCCACTCTACGAGCCGCTCGAGAGCGGCGTCAATGACAACATCTTCATCTCCAAGAGCTACGATGCCACCAGCCACTTTGAGACCACCACCGACGATGTCAAGAACATTTACCTCAGGGCTGAGGGACACGAGTTGGTTGTTGAGGGACTGCGTGAGGGAACCAACTTGGTTGGTGAGGAGTAAGAGGGGGGAGGTGTGAATAGATGAACAAACTCGTTGGTGCCTATCATTGCTAATATCGGAATACCTCGTCGAAAAATATCTATGACATTATGCCAAATCTGCTGTTTTGAACTGGTATTGCGAGGCACGTGAAGGTCAAAGATATGTTTATGGAGACTTCCTGCAAGTATTTCCAGTGCACCATTTATGTTTGCCTCGTTTTCCCATTACAGGCGCTGCAAGCAAGTTTTCGTTTACTGTTCGCATCTCTTTGTATTTCTAGCAGGTGATATTTTGGAGCAAAATTTGTCCGACCATCCGCCAAATCCGGACTCCCATTCTACACCGAGTCTAAACAAAAGAATTAGCCAACCTCAACCAAAATGTCTTTATCTTCTTTCTTCCCATTAATGCTTTTGGAATGCCGAGAGACTCGGGCTCTGCACCCGATCCGTGGCATTTAGATCAACAAAGAACTGAAGGATTCGGTAAGCTGGTTCTTTCATCGTCGATGCATTCGGGCTCTCGATGATCAGAGATGCTGGTCGACACATAGACATACATAGGTAGACGAGGTAAGTTGCTTTGAATCTCTTAAACCCTTCATTTCCCTCTTTCGAGCTATTGTCCATCGCTTTTACAACGCCATACACAACACACATACATTCTCCTTATTGACCGGCAGGTCATAATTACAAGGCGATTCAACCGCACCACCCACAACCCCCTCATCCATCATGGCCTCAAATCCACCCAACCCCCCCCCAGGCGCAGGGAAGAGAACCAAAACCCCTCCCCCCACCACCGACGACTCCTTCACCATCGCGCTCACCCCGAGAAATGTCGCCATGCAGCGCCTCCGCGACCTCCAAGACCCCGAAACAGCAGCAATAAACGAGCATTACCGCCGCACCGGCCAGCTCCCCCGCGTCCTCGGCCAATCGCCGCTCGCGGGGTCGCTCGCGGCGCCAACCAGTGGGATCGCGGGGACGAGATTCACGCCCGTTAATCGCCCCGCTGCCAACGCCGGTGGGACGACATTCACACCCGTTAACCCCGCCGGCGCCGGCACTACTGGGGCGGGGACGAGACCGGGGGATACTAATATACCGGGTGTCACTATCAATAGAGCTACAAACGGCAGCGTAGCTCCGGGTGCGAATCCGCGTGCGAGAGGCCCGAGAGGTAGACTCCCGGCGCCGACACCCATGGGCCTGCCTCCGGGGGTAATAGTGCGGCAGCCTGGAGTGGAGCCGAGGAGGAATATGCAGCGGTATGGCGCTTTCATTGAGGATAGCCCTGAGCCGCCGCCGGCGTTGCGGCCGGACGTCCCGCCGCCTTCGGATGCGGAGTTGCGCGCCAGGCTGGCGATGCAGACGGGTCAGAAGGGGGTGATCAAGTATCCGATTCGGTATATGGGGATATTGCCCGATGAGCTGAGTGAGGATTTCGATGCGAGTACGGGGTATAATCCGCCGCCTCCGGGGCAGAGGGGGACGGATGCGGAGGAGAGGGCGTGGGAGAAGGTGAGGGTGGAGAGCCTTAGGGGGGTGAGGTTTGGGGAGTGGAATACGAGTTGGCTTATGAGGATGGCGCAGTTGAAGGGGGTTGGTGTGGAGCTGGAGGGGGGCGAGGCGGAGGTTCGTGAGGTGCTGGAGAGGGAGTTGACGGAGGTGAAGATGGCGGAGAAGGCTGTGGCAGTGCAAGAGGCTCTCGTGGGGACTGACGGGGGGCGCTGGGCTAAGGTGGTAGAGGCGGAGGTCGAGCAGGAGCGCTATATTTTAGTGGATGAGGACAAGGATGATATGGAGGTGATAAAGTCAAAGGTGGCGACGACGTGGCAGCAGCAGGCGAAGATGGATTTACCTGCTAGTGACGTGAGTTTGTGGTTGTCGGCCGTGACGTGGGGAACTAAGCCGTCGAGGATGGTGAGGTGGGCGGGGAGGAATGCAGAGATGGATGATGGGCATTGGTTGGGGATTTATGTGTATAGGTTGACGAGGAAGGGGAAGGCTGCAGAAGTTGAGAGGAATGAGCAGTATGAGAGGGAGGCGAGGCGCTCGGCCGCTGGGCGTTGATGATGGGATGCGGTTATGTGCTTTGCTGTTGTTGTTTGTGGCTTTTGCGTTGCTTGATTTCCTTTACTCATTTTGTCTAACTGATTATTGGTCATATATAAATCTGATCGAAATGGAATCTAAGCCTCTTATTATTTACCAAGAATTATTATCTCAAGTATATCTACCACTTGCTGAAATATAGAGCTTGTATTCATATATATCGTTCTAATTCTACTGAGAGTTCCGAATCTCTTTTAACATTAAAGTAAACGGAGCCTCAGTATTCAACACCTTTTATACCCTAACCGCTCAGTCGTCGTACATGGCCTGAAACAGCTATACCTAGCGCACCCCCAATTGACCAACACATCTGCACAAGCCTACCACTACACCCAAACCACCCAAACACTGATCCGCGTCGAGTCTAGTAACCAACGCCGAGCATCCTCTATTTCGGCTTCAAGGCCCGTCACGCGGCGTGCAAAACTCCCCTCCGGCAGATATCAATTTACCCGGCCATCACTCCATTTCCCCCTCCCATAAAAGCACCCCTCCATAGCTTCCAACTATAGAATATTTGCTGTAACACAACATTTTATTACCCCTCTATCACATTATTTACCCCTCCATCACGTTACAACCCCTCCATCAAACCTTAACCCCCACCACAGCTACCATGCCTACTTGGCTCATCACCGGCTCCAACCGCGGCCTCGGCCTCGAATTTGTCACCCAGCTCTCCCAGGACGCCGGGAACACCATAATCGCGACCTCGCGCTCTCTCTCCCCCTCCAACCTCGCTGGTCTCAAAGCGCTGGATGGCAATGCCGCCACTCTCCACATCTTGGAATGTGACACCAGTTCCCCCCCCTCCATCACAGCATTGGGGGATCAGGTAACAGCCTTAATCGGTGATACCAAAATTGACTACCTCCTCAACAACGCCGGTGTTAATGTCGCCTCTCAACAAACCGGCCTCACCGTCACTCCCGAGGCGATTTTGGAGAATATGCAAACTAACGTCATTGGTCCGGCCATGATTGTCCAGGTCTTGGAGAAGCATCTGGGAAGGGGGGGGGTGGTGATGAACATGACCTCGGGGCTGGGGAGTATGTCCGATGCGAAGGGGGCGGAAACGACGAAGTGCACGGCTTATTCGATTTCGAAGGCGGGGGTGAATATGTTGACTTTGCATCAGGCGAATGCGTTGGCGGAGAGGGGGGTGGTGGTTGTTTGTGTTGATCCTGGGGTGAGTAATTCTGCGCTTGTTTGGGTATTTGAAAGTGAGAGAGAGCTAACTGGTGCGTTGTGTAGTGGGTTAAGACGGCTTGTATGAGAACCCCCCCCCCAACCCCCCTTTTGAGGATTTTGGATAGTGAGAGCGGAAATGCTAACTTGAGTGTAGTGGGTGGTGAGGGAGCGGTTATGGAGAAGGAGGATAGTATTCGGGGGATGTTGGGGGTGTTGAGGGGGTTGAAGGCGGAGGATTCGGGGAAGTTCTTTGCGTATGATGGGAAGGAGAAGGCGTGGTAGATGGGGATTCATTGGCAGATTGGGGAGCATTGGATGGTATAGAAGTGGAGGATGATTTAGAGGAGATATTTATAAGGTGATATTATGACTATGTATATACCCTTGTATGGACTTTTTGGCAGTGTGAGTATTCGAATTGATAGGAGTATTTGCAGAATATCACGGTATATGGTATGCGGTTGAAGAAGGTATTTTGAAAAATATATTTTAACGAAAATTATGATTATATATACGCACCCCCTCTATCCAAAACCCCATAACAATTTTGCTGGATATCATCGCCGGCTGAGCTCAACTAGAGCTTTTCCCAAAAATCAAAACACCACGCAATGCCTCTGAAAAAAACAAAAAAAAATCCGTAAAGGAGTATGTAAGTAACCAACATCCCCATCCAAAGCCTACAGCTTCACCGGATACTTCGTGCGAATATTCTTTCCATACTTAAAAATAAGCGCCGGCACCGGAATCATCGCCAACGCAATGAACCCCAGCAGCGAGTTCCCCCACCCAAGACCAAGCTTATCATACATAGCCGGCGCAGCAAGCGGCAACACAGCCGCGAACACACTCCGACTCGCTGTCAATGCCGCGACGGCAGACGCTGCGTACTCGGGGAACGCATCAATCATGTATGTCTGAATCGGGATAAAGACACCCATCATACCGAAGCCGAAGGGGATGAGGCCGATGATGGGAACGATCCAGTGGACCTGCTTGTATGCAGTCCATCCGTACCAGAAGAAGGAGACGGGGATGAAGCAGGCGAACATGACGCAAGCTGGGAGACGCATCTCTGGCTCGCGGACGCCGCCGTTGGCGAGGGTCATGCGGACGACTGTTGCGTCGGAGATTTTGGCGACGACAGCGACGCCGGAGAAGAATCCGATGCCGACGCCGAGGTAAGCGAGTCCGGTGATCTCGGGGTCCCAGTGGTATTGCTTCTGGAAGACGCCGGTGATGGTGGTGAAGAGGAGGTAGAGGAGGCCGTAGACGACGGCCATGTAGAGGGACATGAGCGGGGTGATGACAGTCATGGTGAGCATCTTGAGTGGACGCATGAAGCCGTTCATGAGGACGGTGCGGGGAGGGAGAGGCGGGCCGGCGGAGTCGTAGCAGGAGCGGAGCTCGGGACGCGAGAGGGAGATGCGGAGGGCTTCGGTTTTGCGACGGATGAGAACGCGGTGGTTGGTTTCTTTGTTGAAGCATTCGATTCCGCAGGAGACGACGCCGGAGGCGATGAGGAGGACCCAGAAGACCCAGCGCCAGCCGGCGCGCTGGGCGATGAAACCGCCGGTGATGGGACCGACGACGGGGCCGAAGAGGGGCCCGAGGGAGAAGATGGCGGATGCGAAGCCGCGCTGCTCGGGTTGGAAGAGGTCGGCGATGACGCCGCCGCCGATGGTGATACAGGCTGATCCGCCGACGCCGGCGAAGAAGCGGAAGACGATCAGGGCGTTGAGGTTAGGTGCCAGAGCGCACCCGATCTGCCAGAGCACGAATGTGACGTTGGCGCAGGCGAGGACGGGGCGACGACCGTAGATCTCGGAGAGCGGGGAGAGGAGGAGCGGGCCGACGGCGTAGCCGAGGACGAAGACGGAGACGCAGAAGGCGGAGAGGATAGTGGAGGTGTTGTGGAATTCTTTGTTCATGAAGGAGACGCCGGGGGCGAACATGGAGGAAGCAAGGGGCGAGATGAAGGTGATGGCCGAGATGAGGAAGAGGAGGAGGAACTTCTTGCCGTCGGGAAAGTTGAGGGGCATATTTGGGTCGTCTTGCCCTTCCCATCCTACGACGCCTTCGTCGAGGTTTTGCTCGGGGATGGGGGAGGGCTCAAGCTTCTCTTTGGTCGTGGCGATGCGGGTTAGTACGCGTGTGATCCTGCTGCTCTTCGTCTCGGTCCTCTTGAGTGTGCCGGCCTCGGAAGCGGTCTTGACTAAGCCACGGGACATGACCTGGAGATCTTGTTAGTATATATATTCTAGCTTTGCAGCAGCAGTCTTTGGGAAACTTACTCTATCGATTGCCAAATCGGTCTGGCGCCCAGCATCCATGGCCTCGACTTCGCTATGTTCATAATCTGAGCTGGCGATGGAAGCGGCCTCGATCTTCTCGACCTCGAGATGAGTGTTGTTTGGTGCGGGGAGGGTGGTGGAGGAGGCGGTGGCCTGGGCCTCCAGGTCCGCCGCCGCTGTGGTCTTTTCGTCGGACATGGCGAAAGGGGGTGTTTGGGGTTCCTGGCTCGTCGCCAGTACCGTTAAAGATGGTCTCTGAAAGCTAGTAAAGGAGGTTTGAGTCTCTGTAGAGTAGTTTGAAGTCTATAAACGTTTCGAACTAGGCTGTTGTGTATTGCAATGAAAAGTAAGTGTATAGGATGTCTGCCCGTATGTATGAGGGTTATCACAATCTCAGCCTTTCGAACTGGATATTAAGATATATATCGAACTGTAGTAAAGTAAAGTAGTATGAGAAATAAGAGAAAAATCAAAACGAGAGAAGAGCACGTATATACTATATATGGCCCACCACACACAGACTACAGCGAAAAGAAAAACAGGAAGCTTCCAAACCTTCCTTCATCCTCGCCGATGGTGATAACTAATGTCCGAGGCTTTTGCAAGGCCTTCGCCACGGAAGCGGAACTTCTCATCCACAGTGGGGGCAGCCCTGGCGGCGACGCCGTTGGTTAATCACTGGGATAAGCGTGTATATGCTGAAGATATACACTGCATAACATTGCACAACTGTGGATAAGAATTGAGTATGCACAACTCACCCAGATCCGGGAATAAACCACCTTAGCCTAAGCTTAGGTAACCACTTTTCCTGCCGCTACTATACACTAGCGCCGAGTAGCGCCGACGGGGTCGGGTCCGAAGGTGTTGGGCTACAACTAACCTACCAAGTCGCTTCGGCGTACCCCTTTCACCAGATTCAACGAGGTTTTGTATGGCAGAGCTACTTAACAACGACTTCATCCGCCTGTCGGCCCACCTTTCTCGGCAGCTACTTGCCGATTTTATGACCCTTGTGCAGGATTTGTGTCGTCGCACAGAGAGAGAAATCTGCACGCCGGACACCGCACGCACACACACGCACACGCCGCTCCGCTCTCCCATATCCATCGGAGGGAGTGAGTCCACACAGCAACGCATGTCGATGCGGTGTCACTCCGCTCATGGGTTTCACAGCACTTTCGTGGTGGAGAGCGCACGTGGAAGTACTTGTGGTATACAAATATGGATCCTCCCATTCCTTCCCATCTCCCTTCCCTTCCCGCTGTTTCCCCTTTTCCTAATGAAGGAGGTGAGGTGGGACACTTATGTTATCTTATGTATAGCAGTTATACTATTATACCTGTGTATATACTCGGAGTTGGAGAAAGTGACAGAAGACCGGTGTCTCGGCCTCCCTTTCGCCGCGCCGTGGCCGCCAACGCACGCTTGCGATGGCTATCCCCGTGTCGTCGTCTGGTACTATAGCATCATGCCGTATAATACCTGTTCTATGTATAGTAATCCGTTAAGGTAGTACTATAGGGCTGGCTGGAATTCAGAGTTTTCGTAATCCCCTAGCTCGGGGTTGTCGGGTTGAAGGGGGAATGGTTGCATTGACGTCACCCTGCATTCTTCTCGGTGTTCGGGGTTGATTATTAATTGCGATGTCTGGGAATAGATGTGGTGGCGGTGGTGGTGGGCTTTGTGAAGCACCAGGGGAGTTGGAGGGGTAGTAGAGGGTCTGAATATATGATGGGGTGTGAGAGACACTGATAATACGATTTTAATAGCTGGTTACTATTATTGATGCTCTTGGGGAGAGTTGCTATGGATGTAGTTGGGAATAATGGGAAGGAAGCACCCATCTTACTTACCATCGTGCCTTCCCAATTGCTTGTAAGACTTACCTTCGTGCCTTCCCTACTACTTGCAGACCATAGCTCCTGCCTTCTGCCTTCCATATCTCACAGTCGTGCCTTCTCAACAACTTGTAAACAAACCTACAGTAGCACCTACCTTCGTGCCTTCCACATTCCTTACCTTCGTGCCTTCCTTCCCAGCCACTTGTAAACAAACGTACGGTAGCACTACCTCGCGCCTTCCCTATTTCTCACCCTCGTGCCTTCCCAACTACCTGTAAACAAACGTATGGTGGCACCTACCTCGCACCTTCCATATCCTCTACCATCGCGCCTTCCCTATCATCATAAACTTCCAATATGTAGTCACCCATCATTCCCCAGCCTCTCTCACCTCTCACCTCTCCCCTCTCCCATCTCACCTTACCACATCCCATCTACAGAACTATCCCACAACCACACAAACACACCGATTACAAAACTGCAATGGACCCCAACCCCGACCCCGCATCACACATCCACGCCTCCCGTCAGCGGCCCCACCCGTCCTCCTCCTCCGCATCCTCACCACCATTCACCCTACCAGCCCCATCATCCGCACTCCCCCCCGTCGACGGCCCCTCCCCCAGCGGCCACAACCGCTCCACCTCCCTCACCTCTCTCAAACGCACATTCTCCAAGATCCTACCCGCGAACCGAAGTGAGCGGGGTGGTACGCTGCGGGATAGTCAACGGCGGGGCGATGTTGATGAGACAGTTGATGTCAACGATAAAGGAGAGGAGCCGGGGGAGCAAAGGAGGGTGAAAGGGAAGATTGTAAAAGGGGAGGGAAGAAGATCTCGAAGCTGGAGTCCGCGGAAGGAGGAAGTGATGGGTTCATCCGAGGTCGAGGGTGTAGCCGAAGCCACCGGACCGGGGAAAGAAGCCGAGAAAGAAAGTGAAAAAGGGGGAAACGCATTCCAGCGCCTCCTCGGCCTCCGCCGCACCTCCCTCCCCGCCACCTCCACCCCCGCCCAACCCAGCACCAGCCGCCTCTCCCTCAGACGCCCAAAACCAAAAAAAGCAATCCACTTCGCCTCCCCCCCCACGCAAATCCCACTCCCCACCCCCCCATCGCGCTCCGGCACGTCAACCCCACCGCTCGACAGCCAGCAGATGTATGACCAAAAGCGGCTCCGTCGCGAGCAGCGACGCAGCTACCGGAGTAGTGAAGACTACCTCACCATTGCTGGTGCGAATCCACGGACCGGGTACTGGGATGTGAACACCGCTATCGGGTCAACTAGCAGTTCTGAAGTCGCGGACCGTGCTCGGGCGCGGGAAGCTGAAATAGCAGAGAACCGCCGGCGCCTGGAAGCCGCGAAGCAGGAGCTGCAAGAGGCGCTGGCGATGCGAGAGGCGGAGGATAGGGAGAGAGACGCCAAAAGGGCGAGGAGGCGGGAGAGGGATGAGGCGCGGAGGAGGGAGAAGAGAGCGAGGGAGGCGGGGAGGTGGAGGGCGGAAGGGGATGGGTGGAGAATGGTTGCGGAGCCGGGGTTGAGTCCTATTGTTGGGAGTTTGGCGGGGAGTCCGAGGATGGATCGCACGCCGGATGATCAGTTGACGGAGATGAGGGTTCCGGAGGAGGTTGTGGATAAGGGGTATTTTGGGGGAGAGGGGAGAGAGGGAAGAGAGAGGGGCAGGTCTCCGGAGGAGGAGAGGGAGAGGAGGAGGTTGAGTAGGTCGCCTGCTGCGCCGTCGAGGCTGTCTCGTCAGGTGGGTGATACAAATGGGGTGCCTGCTCAGTCTACGCCGATGAAGAGGAAGGCTCTTCCAAGTGCGAGTAGAGTGGTTAGCGGCGATATTCCACTTTACGTGGCATCATCATCGAGGAAAGGCGGATCATCTCGCAAACTCTCCAATGATCGAGTGCCAGAACTCCAATCTGGCCAGCCATCACCTGTTTTGGAAAGGGCGAACCCGGGACGAGCTGCTATATTTCCTAGTCCGCGAAGACAGCACCATAAGCCGCCATTTATAGATACTGGCCCAGAAACCCCCCTACAGGGACCGAGAAGCCCGGCTATCTCAATGGGGCAAAGTGATAATCGCAAAGGAAGTCGTGGCAACGCGTTGCCCAATGAGTCGGTGAGGAGAAGCCCGGATAGACCAAACCGTGACCCTTTTGGCCCTATACCTAGGCGGCGGCCGGCGAGTCCACCAAAGGCTGTCAATACACCGCCTCTGGATACTCAACCTGCTGTGGAGACACCACGACTGGAAGAGAGTACACCGGTTGGAGAAAGGGACGTAGAGCCAGAGGTATTGCGTACTGAACAGCAACCTCATGCTGTAGCTTCAAGCGGAGTCGAAGCAGAAAACCGTGAGCTCGAAGGATCAAATGATACGATTGTGCGCCACAGCATTGCTGAAGCTCTACCAGGGGCACTTCCAGTGGATGATCGCCAGCGTGTACCGAGTGACGCACGTAAAGATCTCAACGAGAGAGACTCCCAAATCAACTCCGAACAGAGTCCTTTTTTAGGCATTCGGCCAGAAGGCCAACCCGAAGAACCAGCTACAGCGATCTCATCCCAGTCAGCTTCGACGAGTCCAGCCCTGACCCCCCACCAGTCGCACCAAAGCCTGAAGGATACAGACCAGGGCAAGCGTATCAAGCACATCGCGTCGATGAACGAACTCCCGCCGTTCGTGCTGAAGCACCCAGTGACGGGAACATCGTTGCCGATCGCCCCGTCGAGCCCAAAGATTCTGGAAGAGGTGACGAACAGGAGCTCCAAGGAGATAATAGGGGGAGACATGAAGGTAGCGTCCATCACCACCACCACCACTATCACACCCACTACTGGGCCCGGTCCGACTCCGCCCCCGCTAGATCAAATGGACGGAAGCTTCGACCCGAGGCCTTCACCCAAGAGACGGCCAATGCCATTGAGCAGGATCCCAGCACCCCAGGTGTCACCCCAGAGCGCACGAAACCACCTTCCGAGCGGTCTCTCCCCACGGCAGGCAACAGGGAGCGCTACATCATTGGCGGGGGAAGTGGGAGCGACACTGACGAAGCGTCGTATTCCAAGGTGGTATCAGAAACTCTTGCCCGGGTTCGGAAGAGAGGTCGAGAAGAGCACACACACATCCACATCTACGTCCCCCAGCCAGCCGCCCACGAGCCCAAGGTATCATATGGGCGATCCGGGGGGGCATCCAGGAGCGCAGAACGCGGCGAGGGTGGCGCTCCTGAACGGGGCCCAGGCGCCGAGTCTAGATCGAGGAGTGCAGGGGCAAAGAGCCGGAGCCGGAGTCGGAGCCCTTGGGGCAGGTCCAGGGGGAGGAAACGTGGGGATGAGTAGGTTGGGGAGTCCTGTGAGGATTGAACGGGGTGATAAGCTGGTTGTATGGCATGCTGCGCCGGTGGTTGGACCAAGGAGAAGAAATGATATTGCGGGAGGAGGTGAGAATAAACACGTGGGCACCGTAACCCCCAACGCCTCCTCGAAACAAAAAAGAGACGCCTCTCAGCCAGGCGGAGCGACGTTGCAGCAGGTCCTCATCGTCCTCCTATCGACGGGTCGATATCTGATACTGGCAGCGTGGTGCTTCGTGGAGCCGGTCTTTGATCCGAGATCGGCCCTTCGCGCGCGCTGGGAGAGACAGGAGATGACATGGCGCGATGGCGTCGTGGTGGTCGGGGCGGGAGTGTTTGGGGCCGCGGCGCTACTGGCGGCTGTGCTTGGGGTGAGGGTCGTGGGGGGAGTGGTGAGAGTTGTTGGGGTGCTGGGGAGGGGATGTAGGTTTTTGCTGGGGGGGTAGGGGGGGAGGTCCTGCTGTGGTGTGTGCTGTAGTGTGGTAATCATGGGGTGGTGATGGAGTTGGGAAGTAGGAAAGGCAAGCTGGGAAGAGCTGCATGCATGCATGATGCGTTATGCGTGATGCTGCGGTGTGTTGCGCCACTGGAACGCGGATTTTTTGGGGGTGGGATCGTCGCTGGTTTTGTTGGAGAATGGGGGGAGGAGCTGTGGGATGATGTCGTGCCCTTCGGTTGGATGCAGCTGGGCTGTTTGGGGTAGTTGGTGCAGTTGGTGAGGTGGATTGGGAAGAGGAGGGGAGGAAGATAGGAAGGGAGATGTGATGTTGTGGAGTGCTGTATATTGGATTGGAGTATGGATATGGGTATAGAGCTGAGTTGTGTATTGATATGGGTAGAGGAGAGGAGAGAAGGGGGAGGAGAAGGGAAGGAGAGGATAGGAGGAGCAGAGGATAGGGTTCACTTACATATGAATGGGGGGGTTTTGATAGGAATAAAAAAGGATATATTTATATAGTAGCTTGCAGGGTGCAATGGAGTGCAACCCATTGCATTACTATAATATCTCTTCTCTGATCAGCTGTATAGAGGAGGCTCCATTGAAGCTGCTGAAGCTGCTGAAGCTGCTGAAGCCATTGAAGCTGAATAAGCATTGAAGCTATCCCGGCTATTCAAGGCCTTCATCTCGGGATATCTTCATATCTTCCCCTCCGATGTCATCCTTTTTGATGCTGTTCGGTGCTGCTCTGTCCTCGGCGTTGTTCCCAAAACCCACCCCGCACTCCGCAATACGCACCTATTATACTGTAAGTTGCAGCACTGAACTCCATAATTGTTACTGTACCTTCTGTTTGGACTCTAGTATCGTACGACTAGACCAGCTGACTCATCAGCCGTAAACGTAAACGAGCTCCATTTCAGTCTAGAGTCACAAGAAAGTCCCGTGCTATTTTACGACTGTTGGTCCAAAAAAGACCAAAAAGACAAATACAACCCCTCTGATTGGTCAATTCACCCTAAAAAGAGTCACAAGGGTACAAGAGTACAACACTAACCCCAACCCCAACGCTACCTCCGATCGCTCCGATCCCTTCTGTGTCTCCGATTATCGGCCACTTATCGCCCTCTCCACTGGATTGGAACACCCATAGCTCCAGCTAAAACCAAACAATTATATCACTCCCCGCGTCCACCTGCTTACTTCTCTTCTTCCTTCAACATCAAAAGAATATCTCCTCCTCTTACTATATATCCTCAACTCAAGAAGCTGAAGTCTGCTTTTGAGTCCTCTTCTGTCGTTCTCTGAGATATTCCAACCTTTTTATCATCTTATAAATAATATACCCCTCTACGACGAACTCGCTTCCCACCACCACTATGCCTGTCGCCGAGGGTGCCCCGCGTACGTTGTACGATAAGGTCTTCCAGGACCATATTGTTGATGAGAGACTCGATGGCACAATCCTCCTCTATATTGGTAAGTGCCTCACTCATTATTATCATCTTGATATGATACCCCCCCAAAAAATGAATTGCATTCTGACTTTCTCTCCCAGACAGACATTTAGTCCACGAAGTCACCTCACCTGTACGATTTTGCCCCTAGACCGGCATTTTTGCCCCACACTTTGCTAACGGCGACGCAGCAAGCTTTTGAGGGATTAGAGAAGGCTGGCAGGAAAGTCCGAAGGCCGGACTGCACTTTGGCCACAACCGATCACGTACGTTAAGCCGCCTCCCCCACTCACGCCGTCATCATCGGCTTCAATCGGACCCAAAATGCTAACATGTGCCCTAACAGAATGTCCCCACCACCTCCCGCAAGAACCTCAAGAACATCGAGACCTTCGTCGAGGAGGAGGACTCAAGACTCCAATGCATGACGCTCGAGGAGAACGTCAAGAAATTCGGCATCACATACTTCGGCCTCGCCGATAAGCGCCAGGGCATCGTTCACATCATCGGCCCCGAGCAAGGCTTCACCCTCCCCGGCACCACCGTCGTCTGCGGCGACTCCCACACCTCCACACATGGCGCCTTTGGCGCCCTCGCCTTCGGCATCGGCACGTCTGAGGTCGAGCACGTCCTCGCCACACAGACCATCATCACCAAGCGCTCCAAGAACATGAGGATACAAGTCGACGGCGAGCTCGCCCCCGGCGTGAGCTCCAAGGACGTCGTGTTGTACGCCATCGGCAAGGTCGGCACCGCTGGCGGAACTGGCGCTGTTATTGAGTTCTGCGGCTCTGTCATCCGCGGCCTCAGCATGGAGGCTCGTATGTCCATGTGCAACATGTCCATCGAGGCCGGTGCGCGCGCCGGCATGGTCGCCCCCGACGAGATCACCTTCGAGTACCTCAAGGGCCGCCCATTGGCACCGAAACCCGGAACCGACGAGTGGGACCAGGCCATCAAGTACTGGACCAGCCTCAAGACCGACGAGGGCGCCAAGTTTGACGTCGACGTCCGGATCGATGCCGCTGACATCTCACCCACGATCACCTGGGGAACCAGCCCCGAGGACGTCGTCCCCATCACCGGTTCCGTCCCCGACCCCGAGACCTTCGCCTCGGAGACTAAGAAAGCCCAAGGCCGTCGCATGCTCGAGTACATGGGCCTCACCGCAGGCACCAAAATGGAAGACATCGAAGTCGACAAAGTCTTCATCGGGTCCTGCACCAACTCCCGCATCGAGGATCTCCGCGTCGCCGCACAGGTAGTCAAGGGCCGCAGGGTCGCTCCAAACATCAAGCGCGCCATGGTCGTCCCCGGCTCGGGCCTCATCAAAGACCAAGCCGAGGCCGAGGGTCTCGATAAGATCTTCCTCGACGCAGGCTTCGAGTTCCGCGAAGCAGGATGCAGTATGTGTCTCGGCATGAACCCCGACATCCTCTCCCCCCAAGAACGCTGCGCCTCGACCTCGAACCGCAATTTCGAAGGCCGCCAAGGAGCAGGAGGCCGAACCCACCTCATGTCCCCCGCCATGGCCGCCGCGGCCGCCATATCCGGCAAGCTCGCCGACGTGCGCAAGTACGCCCGTCCACCCTCCCCCCTCCCGCTCGACACCCCTAAACTCGCCGCACACACCCCTGAGCCCCCCTCGGGCAAGGCACACATCGACGAGCGCGTCTTGACCGACGACGAGGAGAAAGAGGCTATTGGGGATCAACCCCAGGACAGCGGGCCGCAGGTAAACACCACATCCCCCGGCTCTGCCGCAGCGGGCTTTCCCAAATTCACAACACACCGCGGCATCGCTGCCCCGATGGAGTTGGCGAATATCGACACCGACGCCATTATCCCCAAACAGTTCCTCAAGACCATCAAGCGCACCGGCCTCGGCAGCGCCTTGTTCTACGCATGGCGCTACCTCTCCGCCGGCGTCGAGAACCCAGAATTCGTGCTCAACAAGCAGCCGTACCGCGATGCTAAGATTTTGGTGGTTACTGGGGAGAACTTCGGGTGTGGATCTAGCAGAGAACATGCGCCGTGGGCGTTGCTCGATTTCGGGATTAAATGCGTGATCGCCCCCTCCTTCGCGGATATCTTCTTCAACAACACCTTCAAGAACGGTATGCTCCCCATCGCCATCTCGAACCCCGCCGACCTCTCCGCCATCGCTGCTGAGGCGCGCGCGGGGCGCGAGATCGAGGTCGATTTACCCGCCCAGGAGATTAAGAATGAGAAGGGTGAGAAGATCTGCAGTTTCGATGTTGAGGAGTTCAGGAAACACTGCTTGGTGGAGGGGTTGGATGATATAGGACTTACGATGATGATGGATGAGCGCATTTCGGCGTTTGAGAAGAAGATGACCGAGCAGACGCCGTGGTTGGATGGACGCGGGTATCTTAAGAGGGGCGGGAAGGTGGTGGGTGCTGTGAAGGTGCCGACGACTAATAGGGGGGAGGTGTTGAAGGAGCCTTTGGAGTGGTAAACTTCTCCAGGAGGGAGGTGGAGTTGTGCTTGTTGCTGAAGCGTTGAAGAAGGAGGAGGGGCTGGGGGTGTTGCTTATTGCTAGGAAGCTTGTTGCTCGAAATGGAAGGGGGTGGGAAAAGGGGGAATGGAATGGGGAAATGGCTCGAAGAAAAATTCGAAGCATGTGCGCTACTTTACTCGCGACTACGATACCGTTGTTTTGCTATGCAATTAATAGCTATCTACACATCACATATCCACACTTTCCCTCGTGACACTGTATGTGAGCTTGTTGATTAATTACCCCTATCCCCCTATCCCCCTATCCACTTCCCCAATTCCTGGTGCTATTAACGGTAAATACATATATCTACACTCCCCTCCCCCATTCCATCACTCTCCCCTAAACACCCCTCCGCCTAACCCGTTCCCTCTCCTCAGCAACCTCCCTCGCCGCCGCCTGCGCCCCATTCCTCGGTGCACCTTCGCGCGTGCGCGAGATATCATACATACTACTCGCCTTCTTGAGCGGGCTGTGGGCGTGGCTATACACCCCTAGACTGCCTCCATCGCCTCCTCCTTGTCTTCTCCCCCCCTCCTCCCTTCTCATACCAGACTCAGACACCCTGCTCCTACTCCTAACCGCCTCATCACCGGACCCAGAATTCGAGGGGACGCGGGAGAGACCGCTAGAAGTGGCTCTTGCGACGGCGCGGCGGAGAATTTCATCTTCTCCACCCGAACCCGTGGGGCCTTCGGAAGCGATTCGTCCTCCCATACTAGCCCTATACTGCGGTTGTTGTCTCTGCCCCCCCGCCCCAGGCGTACGTAACGGCGTACTTTCGCGGCGCTGGAACTGCGGTTGCTGGAACTGCTGCGGTTGCGCGAACCCCCCCTGCTGCAGCAGCTGCTGTGCCGAGGAAGAAGGAGGTTGTGCGACTTGATACCCTATCTGCGCTGCTGGCGTCCTCGGCGTCTGTGGTGTCCCGAAGGGGGGGATGGAGTCGGGGAGAGAATTCCGATTCGGCACCGCAGAGGGTGCGTGCGGGCTTATGTGCGCGGCGTAGTTGGGGTTGGGGTTTATTTTGAAGCCGCGGCGGAGGATGGTTGTTGGGGCGTGTGTGGTGACCTCCTCTGCTGTTATCGAGATCGTCGATGCATCTGGGTCGAATTCTGGCGCTGCGTCTGTGCCCGTGGAAGTCGAGGTGGTGGTGGGAGGCGGAGGAGAGACAGAGGTGGAGATTTGTGTACCGACATCCCTTACCACGGGGTGAAGTGTAGGATGCACGAATTTCGTATCATACTCATTCAACACCTCCTTCTGAATAACCCTCCCATCCCTCTCCTTCTGCTGAAACCCCCTCACCAGCACCCCCATCTGCACACTCAACAACCCCTGCAACACCAACGCCGTCACGACCGTGAGACTCGCCCTCTCCCCCCCCCCTACGGGGAGTAACATCCAATAAACCACCGCATGCCCGGGCGAGAATAACGTGTAAACCTCTAGTGCCAACGGCAACGGGTCCCAGACAGCGATCTCCCACACGTCGATTGTGGGATCGGGGTGGGCGCGGGAGGAGGCGGGGGAGGGGAGGAGGTGCGATAGGAGACGCATGGGAGAGGAGGAGGGGGGGGAGGAGACGCGGACGAGGGAGGCGGAGGGGGTGGTGGGGGCGGCGGAGAGGGGGGTTTCGAAGAGTCGGTAGTGCCGTTTGCGGAGGAAGGTGTAGGTTGCGTTTGTGAGGGTGAGGAGGGTTAGGAGGGTTGTGAGGCTGCGGGCCTGTTTCTCTGTGTTAGTATTTATTCATTCGTCTGTCCATTCGTTCGTTCATTCTTCTCCCCTTCCCTTCTCTTTCTTTCTCAACCACTTCCTCGACGTTTGTGACTCCGGTATAACAGCTAAAAAAGAAGAACAACTCACAAGCCACCCAACCCACCCCCCTCCCCCCCCCCCATCCCCAAAAACATCATCCTCCCTCCCCCTCCCCTTCCCACTATTCGCCCTCGCCAACAGCAACGCAAAATTCAACCCCATCCCCAACGCCCTCCCAAAAGCAGCCGTATCCAATTCGCTCGTCTCCAGCTCCTCCGATACATACAACAAAAAGTCGAGAGGGTTGAGGTAGGCCTTTAGTCGCTCGCTGAGGGGCTTGCGGCGGACGAGGCGCGGCATTTTGAGGGTGTGTGTTAGGGGGTTAGTGGCGCATTGCCGTGTGATGGAGTCGAGATGGTGAGGTGCTGGTAAGTTGGGCGTTGATGTCGAGGGCGTGGCGATGGCGTGGTGAGAGTTGTCGATTTCTTTGTTTACAAAGTCCGGTTGATGAGGTGAGTGCTCCAGCTCCACTCCTCGCTAGCTGCACTGGCGGGATAAGCCTGTCCGTCCCCCATCGATAAGGCTAGCGCCGCGTGGGAACCACCGCCGCCAGCCAGCCAAGCTTGTGTGTGCAACACCTCAAGCTACGAGGTTGAGTTGGAACATCGCAACAGCGCTGTTGCATTAACAACGTACAAGATGTCCGCCGCCGCTGCTGCTGCGCATAAGGATCGGGAGTTTTTGGCTGTTATCGGGGATGAGGTTTGTCTCTTCCCTCCTTCCCTTCCCCGAACCCCCCTCCCTCTTCACCCCCAGGGAACCGTGGATAGTTGGCTAACTGGTGATAGGACTCAGTAACCGGACTACTCCTCGCAGGAGTCGGAGTACGTTTATCTCCCCCCCGTCGACGAAAGTAGAAGAAGGCGGTTTACTAATTGGCAAACCGCAACAGCACGTCACGCCCGCGCCAGACTCACAGAAGAACTTCCTCGTCGTAGACGCCAAGACCGAGACAGCGGATATCGAGGCTGCATTCCAGAGGTTCACGACGGAGAGGAAGGATATTGGGATTTTGTTGATTAATCAGCATGTATGTTTTCCCTTTTGACCCTGGTATTTCTATTTCGACGTTGGCCGGACTCTGGAATCGATAGAGATATGGAGGGAGACGATACGATGGGATGGGATTGGATGGGTTGGGATGATGGGATACGATGGGACAATGGGATACGACGGAGGGATAGGCTGGATGGTGAGAAAGATCTATGGCAGGACTGGACTAATGCATGGATATCTACAGGTCGCAGAACGCATCCGCCACCGCGTCGACACCTACACAGCCGCCTTCCCCGCCGTCCTCGAGATCCCGAGTAAAGAGCACCCCTACGACCCCGAGAAGGACAGCGTGTTGAGGAGGGTGAGGAGGTTGTTTGGGGAGTAGAGTAGATGGGTTCTACATTTCCTCTGCTGCTTCTTTACTATGCGGGTGAGGGGGTAGAGGAAGAGGGGAGAGGGGGGGAGATACAAGTGGATAGTGGTGGGAGAGGGGAGGGGGGAGGAAGAGGGGTTAGAACAGGCTGGGGGAGGGAAGGAGGGGGATAGAAGGGGTAGAAGTGGATGGGAGATGGAGGAGGATAGAAGTGGATAGGGGCATGGAGGGGCGTTTACTGTACTGTTATATGAAGCAAGGAATGGATGGTTTAAACCTGCTTTTAAGGGGTTACGACTGGTTGTGGGTGTACCTGCATCCGAAGCAAGGCGGACGTCCAAGCAAGGTGATGCCTAGTTCCGAGAGGGGTTTGGTTGAGCTTGGTTATGATGAGTGAGCAGCCGTTCCTGCATACCTGCCCACAACTCACTACACCGATCCCAACCCCCCATATCTCACTCACTCACTCACTCCAACTCCAACTCTCACACAGCTTCACAATCTACCAGCCTCACAATCAACCAGCAAACCCACACCCACACCCACACCCACACTCAAAACGCATCAATGCAAAATGCCATTGTCCTAATCAAATCATGCCAAAAACGCTACCTATGCCAACAAACCAACAGTCGCGCCGCAAACACCAAAAATCCCAGAGTCTCTCTATCTGTCTGTGTCTGTATCGTGTGTGAAAAGAAGTCCATCCATCATCGTCGTCGTCGTGTCGCCCGCTTGTGTGCTCCAAATCCTAGAAACTCCCTGTGAGGGGATTTATACCAGCTCAAAAGCACCGAAAGAACCCTTGAATTGCACGGTAGCGGAGAGACAGGTAATCTGCCTGTCATCCTCGGTGAAGACATCTGCTGTGACTGTGTATTTTCCCTATAACAATCACCATCATTAGCCCTCATTCCCCAAGTCCATCTTTCCACCACCAAACCACCCCAACGAAACGAGTAGGAATCACATACCGGTGGAATCTGCGCCGGCAAATCAACCTCCTTGGTAATCTTGGTCTCCCCAGCCTTGATGGGACACTCCATATCGACCTCCTTGATCTGCTCGCACAGATCGGCTGTGGTGCTGAGGAGCTTGATGAGGCCGTATTTGACTTGCAGGACGACGTAGGCGCCTTTGCCGATGTCTTCTTTGAAGGTGCCGATGGCTTCGATGGTTAGGGTTTTGCCGCTGGGAGAAGTCAGTTGTCTGTTCATATAACTATATATCGTATCCATCCATCCACCCATCTAGTCTGATGTTGTTTTTGTTGGGAACGGTGCAGGGACGAGGAAGCGACAGGAACGGAGAGAGACTCACGCCAAAGGCGGATTCGGATTCAAATTAACATGCTCCAGCGTCAGAATATCCCCCCCAAAATCCGCAGAACAATGCTCCAACGGCGACACACCCGGGATCTTCTTATCGCCCTCCTCGAGGATGAGAGACGACTGCTGCTGCTTGTCACCCCAGATCGCCAACGCCGAGGCGCTGAGGAGGAGGGGTGCGACGACGGCTAGGAACTTCATTGTTTCGCTTCTCTGCTTCTGCTCACTGGTCTTCTATTATAGTATCGTATCGGTATGAGGTGTTTGCGAAGTGAGAGAGAGAGAGAGAGAGAGAGAGAGAGAGAGAGTGAGTGAGTGAGTGAGTGAGTGTGTATGAGAGGTGGTGGTTGAGGCAGCTGATGGCAAACTGGACTGCGCTGCGCCGGTTCCCTGGTTGGGTAGTGTGGGAGTCAAAGCCGGGGTGGAGTGGCGATTGTCGGCCGCAGGGTCGGTGGAATGCGGGGTTGTGATTGGTGGAGATCGTGGGGGTTGGTGTACAGGTACAACGGTGAGAGGGCGGGCTGGGGGGTTGAGAAGGTTGGGAAATGACGTGCGGGCAGGCGGGCTGTTTGGGGGATGGGTTTTTGGAGAGATCGGGGATCGTGGGTGTTTTATGGAGGTTGTGAGGGGATTGATGGGGTTGGGTATGTGGATTGTATTGATATTGATTGCGCTGGTTAGGAGGAGATATGGTGGGAATGGTTGTATCTGGCGGCTTTAGTGTTGGCATTGGTTCTCAACACAGGACACAGGTGTGTCTTACTTCAGCTCTTTGGCGGTGCGGACAGAGCACAGTTGAACAGACTCCAACATGGGATTCAAGGTCATGATATCGGATGAGCATCTTGAAGCCGTGCTTCTATACCCGTATGTCGTATCCCCTCCCTCCAGTCTGTTAGCTGCATCCATTTGATATAACAGTCAGGCTAGTAGTATATACCCCATCCCTCCGTTATCTGATGGTCCCACGCCCACCACGCCCCCATCTCCGCACCACCACAACTCCCCTCCGTGCCATACATAAAACCGCCGTACCTACCTGCCCCGCGGACCACCACCAGACCAGGACCAAGCCAGCCAGACTCGATGCCGTACATGAGGCCCTACCTACCCTACATATGATTCGAGAGTGCCCTGGCCAGGATGGTACAGCACACGGCGCGGCGCACAGTAGCGGGTGTTTATGTTGTCCTCGCAGCGGTCTCCTTCCATCCTCTGCAACACTCTGCATACCTCTAACTTACGGTGCATGTCGGCAATTGTGGAGGGAGAGCACTTCGAGGTCGGTCTGGAATGGAATGGAATGCGGTCACGGCGGGTGGTGGTGGTGGGTGATGATTGACGACGGGGATGATGGCGGTGGTGAGGGGGACAATGCGGTGGTTGTAAGAGCACTCTTCCTCTTCCTCTTCCTCTTCCTCCTTCCCTTTCTCTTATTGTCCTTGTCGCCGATGCTGTCTCCTCCTCGTTCTCATTCTCTCTTTATCCCTTATCTTGTCCCCCCTCTCGCCATATCCTCGGCCTCCTCTCAAAACGCCGATCCCTCATTGCACACGCGAGTAGCTGCGGACTGTGTTCTGCGTACCGTGTTCTGTGTAGGGCGCAGTTGTGTGGACTATCCGACGCGTACAGGGAACACGGTGGTGGTGATGAGGATAAGCAGGCATCCAGGCTCCCAGGCTCCTCTCCGCTCTTTCCTTCCCCCCGTTCCCATCCCCAATCCCCCAATCCCGCCCTCTCTACCACCATACGCGACCACCCTACCACCACCAAAATCTCATACTAACGTAGAACAGGTGTAGGCAGAAGGATACTACGGCGACCGACACAGACCACCTCCACCACTCACAACAAAGTCCAAAGCCGGTGTGGATACGAGACTCGCACTACCCTACTAGACTAGTGCCGTACTTGTACTAGTCTACTACAGTCAAGCCACCATCCATACTAACCGGATCAGGTAAAACACCTACTCTGGTTCGGTGTTCGACCAATCGCAGTCGCAGCAAGAGACGCAGATAGCGAGAAATGCGCTTTTCAGCCTTTTCGCTCCCCCTCATCCCACCCCCCATCCACCATCCATCCACCATCCATCCACCCCCCAAATTCCCAGTCGCGCCCCCTCCCAAATCCCACATCGCCTATGGTCTACATGTACCTACAGTACGAGGATGTACATGGGATGGCTACCCAACCACCCTACTGATATCTTGTACCATGCTACTTCTACTCAAACTACGGTAGGCGATTGTGCTCCTAAACTCTGGCTGCACTGGCTGCGCTCAGCACTGACCACAGTGAGCACAGAGGTACTGTCTACCTCTAATCTACCCTGGAGACCACTAACCTCCACTAAATTTCACTGTCTGTTTAGTGGTTATTTAGTGGTCTTGGCCTCTTTTTACTCCCTGTTGATCCTTGTACTCTGTACTTGCGCTCAGTACTTTCTACTCTCGAACACGCTCTCGTTCGCTCTCTCTCTCTGTCTGTGGGTGGGTGTCTGTCTCTGTCTCTCCTCCTCCTCCTCCTCGTCTCTTACCTCTACACTACTCTTCCCTCTCGCACCCTCTCCTCTCCTCCCTCTTCCTCTCTCCCCCCCCAAACTCCTTCACCAATCTTCAACTTCACACTCCTTCTACTTTTCCACACGATACAATCACCATCATCGACTTCTCTCTAACGGCCGCATCCTTTTCTTACTCGCCATTGCGCTCATCTACGTTCAACGAAACACCATCCTCTTCGATCACCAACCCGCCACCCCCCAAACATCGAAACGCCTTCGTCGCGAAAAAAAGAACGACACAACCACCGTCGACTCCTTCTGCGCCACCACTTCTCTTCGAGCATTCGACCATACCATTCTTTTCAATGATAGTCTGCACGTCTGCATAATACTCTTCAGACGTGTCGTCTGTTGACAAATAAGTGGATTGTGCACACCTCACTGTCGTCCTCTTCGCCGCTCTTTTCTTAACTCGAGTCCACTCCTCCCCGAAGGACACGACGCGAGACGAAACCAGAGCGCTCGATACTCTGTCAACAAACATCTCCATCGGTTGACAGAGATCTCCTATACCGATTGTCCATACCTATACTACATTGCGACACGGGTCTCGATCTCTTACGAGTTCACCTCTGCTGCGCTCGTCGTCATGCGACTCAGACTAAAGCATAAGTGAACCCACATCTTGACCCTTTCCTGTAGCTGGAGCCACCTCGAGGCTTCTGCTAGATTATGACAGAAAGGACCTTTTCCATACCACCGCCGATCGCGCAGAGTCAGCCCGTTTCGCAGTCTCCCGTCACGGCCAACCCTCGAAGCGCGCCGGGCGCCGCCACCGACTCTGTAGACGAGGAGCCATACACCATCAAGTGCATCTGCGACTACTCGGACGACGACGGCAACACCATCTACTGCGAGCGATGCGATACGTGGCAACACATCGAATGCTTCTACCCTGGTAACGTCGAGGAGGCCTCACGCGATGACTTCAGCCACTTCTGCGCCGACTGTGACCCGCGGCCCTTGGACCGCAGGAAGGCGCACGAGCGCCAACGCGAGCAGCGCCAGGACAAGCTGCGACAGGACGACGTCGACAAGAAGACCAAACGCCCTCCCTCCAAGAGCCACAAGAAGAAGCCGAAGCCATCCGACGTCGTGACCAATGGCATTCACGACCACGATCCGCATCATGGCGCGAAGGCCGGCAGCCCGCATGATCACACCTCGCATGCGAAAAAACCGAAATCTCATCAACGATCACAACAATCCATCAGCGCGGCCAAGCGAAGCCCGTCGAACCACTCACGCAATCATTCCCACGCGCACCCTCTGAGTCCGGCCACCACACCACCGGATTTACCACAAGACTTCATAATACACACATACTCCAAGCAGTTCCAGGACCTCTGCGAGAATGATCCTGGGCCGCAAGATCTCCAGGCGAACTCGTTCGCGAGCTTAGCCGTCACCGATTCCATGTCGAATTGGCTTCGCGATCCCCAGAAGCTCCAGGAGGATGTCGGCATCCAAAATTCCCAGGACGTATTCCGGACAATAAAACCCGAAGTCGACTTCGACAACTATCCGAGGCCGAAATTGCAGGTCAATTCCAAAACAATCTCCACGAAACCCGAGTTACAATTGCGCTACCTGACGGTTTCGGAAACTCTCCGACAGAAGGAGACGATCATCGGTGAATTGAAGGGGCTTGTCGGATTCCAAAGCACCTTCGTCGAGCTGGAGGGGGAGACGTATACTAAACTATGCCATCCACCTCCATTCGTCTTCTTCCACCCTCACCTCCCACTATACATCGACACAAGAAAGGAGGGGACACAATGCCGATACGTGCGACGAAGTTGTCGCCCGAACTCGATATTGGAAACCTACATCACCAATGGATCCGAATACCATTTCTGCTTCCAGACTGAACAACCACTGGCTGCCAATGCCCAGATAACACTAGGATGGGACTTCAAATTCAGGAACGGCAAGCGCTTCGTGCACCTTCTAGGAATCGAAGACGACAATGGCACTGAGCCAGAAATTACAGAGCAGGAATACGACGAGCTCAGCGACTTAATAACTAGCGTCCTTTCGGATTACGGCGGCTGTGCTTGTGACGCAGGTAACGATTGCGCCTTTGTTCGTTTCCATCGCAACTTCCGAAGCAAGCTGCAGCAGGTGCAAACACAACCCACGAAACCCAAGAAGCAACGGAAGCCAAAGCAACATGTCTCTCCCATAAGCACTGGCCATGCCACGAACAGCCGCGATGCGAGTGAAGGCAGGCAAGAGGTCTATGATGCAGAAGATGACAGCCGCTCCGCGTCTGGTTCGATCAAACCACGTAGTCGCGACATGACGCCGTTAACCGCTGGGCTCGATGCAAACGGGACTGAACTTGTTTCGGATCGTGATAAGAGGAAGCTTGCCGATATCGAGAAGACCTTTGAGCAGATGGATAAGCAGCCGCCTAGGAAGAAGAAGCGCGGGTCTGATGGGCCGATACTTCCGACACCAGCCAATGGGCACCCGCCTAATCAACGAACAAAGCACAAATCTGTCTCGCGTACGAATACGTCCATATCCACTTCGATGCAGGCGAATGGTACGACACAGTTCCAGAAGGATAAGAACAGACACTCCAGACATCCTTCGGAATCTCCGACAACAGAAGTATCGCCAAAGACGATGGGGGCAGCGTCATCGAAACCTGCATCGCGATATGGATCCGTTCCAGCTCGGTCGCGGCAGCTGTCACCTGTACGGAAGTCGAATTATGTCGATGCGGATACTCAGACCGATCCGGAACCAGATGCGTGGTATACCCAGACACCAAAGCCAAAGAAGAAGTTTGTCCCGCTTAGCCGACGCTTAGTGGAGAATCAAAGAAAGGCTTTCGCGGTACAAGAATCCCGGATCGCATCTCTAATGTCGCAAATGGAAATGTCACGGATGGAAGGCGTCGAGTCGACGGCGGGCAGTCACCCTCCGAGCCCTGAAGCCAAAACCGCTCCAAAGCCGGAGGGTGTCCCGCTTGCGAACGGCGTCAGAGTCGGCGTCGGCTCAGTGGAGCCCCCCGGCTCAGAAGACGGCAAGTCCGTCGCTGACCATGCCGAAGGGGCGGCCGATGTGCCGATGCCAGACGCGCCCTCCGCCTCCCCCGAGGCAGCCAAAGCACCTCCGCCGACATGGCCAGGGGTGCTCCACCCGCCGCCACCGGCAACGGCCAGTATCCCCGCCGACCAGAAATCCCCGGATCTCAAAATCCAGATGCCTGCCTCCGCAACGCCCTTCTCCGCTGCTGCTGCTGCTGCCGTGGCCAGTCCATCGACTGCGAGTACGCCGTTCCCGCTTTACTCCCCCGCGGGGTCGATTGCGCAGTCACCTATGGGGACGAGTTATCCATCTGCTTTTTCGCCGTCTGTGCTGAGTAGCGTGGGGCAGCATCCGCCGCCGATTAAGAAGAAGCTTAGTCTTAGTGCGTATAATGCTATGCGGAAGAAGCTGCCTGAGGCGTCGAAATCGGAAACGCCGAAGGTTGAATTGTCAAAGGCTGAACCAGCGCAAACTGAGTCTGCACAAGCTGAGCTGCCGAAAGCCGAGCCAGTGGAGCAGGAGTCGAAGAGCCTCCCTCCTCCGCCACCGACGGAGACTAAGGATGCGTCAGCAGCGCTGGTGGGAGATGGTGAGCAGAAGGGGGTGTCTGAGACGCCTGTTCCTGTTCCCACTCCTACTCCTGCAGCAGCAACAGACGCAAAGGCTAGCGAACCACAAATTTCTGAACCTGCCAAGGATACCACGACGACGGATGATAAGACATTGAGCAACGGTGATACCACCACCAGCGGCAACGACAACGCGGCGACGGCGGCTGTGTAATAACAATAACAAATGGGAATATTGAAGTTCATTCTATTTTCTTTTATGATAATTGCTAGGGAAACTCACTCACTCCTGCGGGGATGTGTATTCCTTTTTTATTACTCTTTTTTATTTTATGATGAAGGAGGCGGGAGGAGGGATTGTTTTTGTTGTTTTTCTTCTGCGCCAGCTTCTGTGCGAGTGTTGTTGTGTGGGCTTGTACACACCTGTTTGGCAATGGCAATGGCAATGGCAAAAATCGTTGGGGGGGGAGTTCTTTCTACTATTCTACCGTTTTTTTTTACACCCACCCTCTGTATTTGAAAAAGGGGGGGTTATGTTTTTTATGGCGTTCTTTTACGGGGTTTGGGATCGGATGGGGAAATTATGGGATTGGGGGCGGTATGAGTGAGGAGTGAGGCGTGTGATGGGATAGGGGTGGGTGCGCGGATGGGGGGTATCAGGGACCTCGTTGTATGTTACATAGGCTAGGCTGGCGGCGGCTGGGATTGTCGGCGAGCTGGCTGGCTGGTGTGTGGAAAGGTTGAATAAGAGCCTTGTTAATTTATGCTGCTGTGTGTGTGTGTTGTGAATGTGATTGTGATAATATGATGTGAGATGATGGGAAGTAAGGTGAGAATGGTACAGTATGCGTATATTGGCGCGGTGGTTTATGATGGGTATAACACTACAGACAGTGATACTGGGAAAAGCGTCAAGCTATATATATACATCCCCCTCCCCCTCTCCTGGGAGAACTCTAAAAATCTACAGCCTCCTCCCCTTTTCTCCCCCTTTTCTATAAACTACACCCCGCCCACCCCCTTTTCTACAAATTATCCACCGTAAAAATCAACAACGCCGCCTTATGCCTCACAAACAACCCGCCCAACCCAACAATCACCTGCATACACACAATCTCATTCAACAACCTATCCTCCCTCAACGGCCCCCTCCACACCAGCCAGAGGTTCAGGATCGTCATATTGGTCGTCTCCCTCACCTTTCCATCTTCGTCGCGGTTGACTCCCAGACATCCCACCTTCTCCAGCACCGAAATCAACAAACTCTGCAACCTATTAGGCTCCCGCGTCCACGGCGTCACGGAAGGTTCAAGGAGTCCAGAACGCGCATTAAACCGCGGCAATCTGTGCCTCGGACACGCGATCAACCGGAAGAGTTGGGGAGCGGAGTATATGAAATTCGCAATCTGCGGCAGCAAAAGCAACAGCAGCGTCTTTGAGAAATGCCCCAGGATCGCACAGGCAGCGAATACAGTCCCGGCAAAATAACAGTACGTGTCCCCCACGAACACCTTAGCGGGGTACTTGTTCTGCGTCCACAGCGCTAGGGACACGCCGATGAAAGGGAGAAGGAGGTAGAGCGACAACAGATGCGAGTCTGTGGCTGGATGAAGTGGTGGAGAAGGGGGGAGGAGGTACAAGATGTCGTTCCCGGCGAGCAGCCCAGCGATGACGAGGGATTGGCTGACTTCGATCCCGTTTATCCCCGCGAGGATGTTAATGCTGTTTGGAGCAAAAATAGCGATCGCGGCCATGTAGAGGTAGTACCCCCACCCCAAATTAAGCAGCTCGCCGAGGTAAGGGCGAAGGGGCGTGGGGACGACGACGTGGGTTACGCCGAAATCGACGAAGTAGACGATTAGGATGGGGATTGAGGCGAAGGCGGGGATGAAGAATTTGTGGCGCCATCGGATGTCGAAGAGGTCGTCGCCGATGCCGAGGATGACGACGGATTGGAGGGAGAGGAGGGCGGAGAGGTAGGATGCTAGCTAGGGGTGTGTGTTAGTGGGGGGTTTGTTCTGAGGGTTGTTGGAAAAGGGGGCGGGCGGGGTGATAACACACCTTGTTGTGAGGGAATCGGTGGAGGAATCTCCCAGTCTCGATATTCACCACCTCAACCACAACATCCCTATTTCCCCCCCCCGACGTCGCCGCCACAATATCCTTATAAAACGGGAACGGAATAAACACAATCGCCACCAACAAATACACCACCGCGCACACCGCTCCCATCGTCTCCGGAATCTCCTTCTTGTGAACTTTACTCAGATCCTTCCCCCTCAATCCCGCTTTCATGAATGTAGGACCCAGCCACCGGATCATGGCGTAGGTGGCGCTGAAGGCCATGCCGCTGAAGGCGAGGGAGGCGATGAGGGGCTCGCCATCGCCGTGGAAGGTGTTGCCGACTACAGCGATGGAGCAGAGGAAGAGGGAGAGCAGGGAGAGTTGCTCGGGGAGGGAGAGGGTGGAGGGTGGTGGCATTGCTGAGGAAGGCTAGTGGCGCATTGTATGTTGTAGTGGATTAGTGATGCGACGACTCTATTTCTTTTGCTCTGCTCTGCTGGAGATTGGGAAATGCGATGTAATGTGATAAAGAACGGCCCAGCTTATTTCCAGGACGACGTGGCTTTCTCAGCCTCGTGCACGCGCCGACGCGGCGGATTGGACTCATTGTTCAGCCTCGCGCGCTATCGGCCCAGTTCAGCCGCCTCACCACTTACCACACCCACGTCACGCGAGGGGCGTAACCTTATTGTGCAACCAACAAACTCCGCGCTCTCCAGCGCACCAGGGCGCAAATGACACCAGCAGCAGCAGCGATGGGAGAAGATCTATTCGGTGAGCCAACCGGCTTCTCGATCCAGCAGCACGGACACAAGGATATGGTCGAGGCGTCTGCTTTTAACAGCTACGGCACGAGATTTGCGCTGGGGTCCGCGGATGGGAAAATCAAGGTGTTTGATCGGTTGAGGAATGGGAGTTGGGGGCTTTGTGATACGTGGGCGGCGCATAATGCGGAGGTTTTGGAGGTGAGTTTTGGGGAGATGCTTGATGGGAGTGGGTGGGGTGGGGTGGGTGGCTGATACTGATACTGATGGTCTTGGTGTAGTTGCATTGGTTGCCGCCGACTATACATCCGAATATGCTAGGCTCAATATCGACGGATGGGAAGTTCAGGTTGTGGGCTGAAGATCCTACGATCCCTCCGCTTAATGGGAGGAGGTTTAATTCAAAAGCGAATCGCCCGATTTACGAATTGCGATCTGCGTCGAGAGCGCCGTTCCTCTCTTTCGATGTGAAGCACAACCCGGAGCTGCGTCATACATTCCTAGCCCTGCTTGATCGCGACGCCCTCTTGACGGTGTATGAGAATGACGAGCCGGAGAATATGACGAGCTGGACACAGATCGATCAATTCCTCGTCTGCGAAAAGCCGGCTAGAGGAGAGGAGGTGGCGTTCAAAGTCTCCTTCGACCCTAATCTCGAGCCGTCATATAATGCCATCCGCGAGGGTGTGCCGCGGGACTCCTTATCGCTTATTGTTGCTGGTATGAACACAGCCCGGATCTGGCGCACAAAGGTGATCTCTCATGATGTGAGTTTAGGGTCGGGGAGCAGCAGGGAATTTTATCGCGCTGCGGATTTGCCGGATCATAAAAGCTTGGTGAGGGATGTTGCTTGGGCGGCTGGGAGTATCAGGGGCTATGATATATGCGCTACTGTGTGTAAGGACGGGATAGTAAGAGTGTTTGAGGTGCGGACGCCGCCTAAGGAGGGACAGGAGGCGACGGATGCGCCGTATGGGGCGTATCCTTCTAATAAGGGGGGGAATCCTTCACGGATGAGTGTTGAGCTAAAGAATGGTCCATCGGGGATTGGGGCTGGTCTGGCTACTGTGAGGTCTGGTCCGGGTGGGAATAGGCAGTCCGGGGGGGTATCTCTGGCTGGTCAAGTTCCGCATACCGTCAAGGAGATGACGAAACTCGACGGCCATCATGGCCCTGTGTGGCGCTGCCAATTCGACGATGATGGACAGATGTTGGGGACGACTGGGGATGATGGGAAGCTCCTTTTATGGAGAAGACAACCGAATGGACAGTGGTGTTTGAATGGAGAGCTTGCGATGAAGAGGGAGCATAGGCCTATTGCTTAATATCGGCGATGGGCCTTTGTTTAGGGGGTTATACTATACCCGCTTGCCTTTGTCTGGCATGAGTGTCACATATTCTGCAATGTTTCGGGAGGCGTTGGAGCGGAGTTTCGGGATCTGAGGCCATAATATTGTACACTTGAAGTTTAATGGCTTAATTATAATTGTGTAGATACAGCAGGGAGCCATAGGGCTATAGGTTAGAAAGATGAAAGAAGATTTGTTGTACTCGCTGATGGAAATCCTCACTCATGTGCTGGCAGTAAGGTATTGGTAATATCGTGAAGACACTCAAAGTGAAACGCTGAACATCTATATTTAAGCTAAAGATCAATATAGAGGCGTTAAAGTATAAACAATAAAGTGAAAATAAATGAATGTAACTGCAATGCCCAGCAAACTAATGACGCAGAATCCCGTGTTGGAAGCGTTTTGAAATTAAAAACATTTCGGTTGGAGGTGAGGGGCTACGCTATCCCGCAAGGCTCCCAAATCCCAGCAGCCACCGCTTGCCGATTAAGGCACTCCACGTAACACCCATCGGCCCATTTGCCGTTCCCTCAGCCTTTCCATTCGTATTGCGCGTCCAGTCCAATAAGCAACAATCCTCCCCGCCCCAACATACATACACACCAGAATCCCAGCTAGGACATATTTTCGCCGTCTGCCTTGCCAAACTCGCCATACTGGATCGCAGGGTGCCTCGTTATCACTGGCGCGAACACCATGTGAACGGGATGTTCATCGATCGCCATGATGGTATTCTCCAGCCTGCTTAAGACGGGGAACGACCAGCGACGACACCGCCGATTGAGCTCTTCTGGATCGCCGGGGGGAGATACTTCGCCCAGCCCGTCGCAGAAATCGTCGGTTACGACTGTCGAAGATACGCCGTATATTGCGAGCGAGGCTCAGCTGGAGGATGTCGAGTCCGAACCGCCTGAGCTGACGGACTTAAATAACAGCCTTGCCGCCTTGGCTGCGATATTCCCGGATGTTCAGGTCGAAGTCTTTCGAGAGATGCTGAGTAGCTTTGATGAGGAGTCGAGACTGGCGGTGGTTACGGAGGCGTTGATCAAGAATAAGATGAAGTGGTCCAGGGGACGATACAAGGTGCTGGGGAAGGAAACGGCTCAGAAACCGTCTGAAGATACTGTGGAGGTGCTGCCGAAAGAAGAGAGGTTTAGAACGGATGCATATAAACTGGCAGTCAAGAATGCTGCATACAACGAGTTTAAAGGGCTATCTCACTCCACGGTTAAGGCTGTACTGGCAGAACACAACCATTCTTTCATTCGTGCTCGACCAACCCTCGCAGCTCTTCATGCAAAGTCATGGAGATTCTCTATCACGGCAATATTTAGTCGCAAGAAGGCGAACCCTGAGCAGAACCAGTTTATTGTTTGGCACTCAACGGGTCTCGGCTCGATTATCCCAACTCTGAAATCTTCTGGCTGCGTGGAGTTAGACAGGGAGTTATTTGAATCATTCATCAAGCCACTTCAGGTGCGGAGCCAAGCCGAACAGATAGAGAAGGACCATACACTCGCGCTCGAACTCAACACTGAACAAGCTGAAGAGGCCGAAGCATTACATGATTGCGAGTGTTGCTACACTTCGTCAACGTTCGAGGAGCTTTCCGCTTGCAATGACGGTGCACATTTCGTGTGCTTCCAGTGCATTAGACATGCCGCCAAGGAAGCTGTGTTTGGGCAGGGCTGGGCACGTAATGTGGACTCTCAACTTGGATCCCTCCGATGTCTGGCGCCTGTAACGGACGAGTGTCATGGCTGTATCCCACAAGAACTTGTCAATAGAGCGTTGTTAGGAGAAAAAGGAGGTGTAGATGTCATCCGGAAATTCAACGAACGACTGGCAGAGGACACTCTCCTCAAATCTCAGTTGCCTTTGGTTCGATGTCCATTCTGCAGCTACGCCGAAATAGACGACATATATCTGCCCGAGACCCAGAAGGCTTGGAATTTCCGTCAGCACAGCAACCTTTCGCTGTTTGGCTTTGCACTCTTCTTTCCTTTTATCGGGATGATACCCTTTTTAATACCTTTAATTTTACTCGCCATCCTCATTTCGTTCCTGGCAAGCTTCAACGGCAGGGTCCAGAACTTTGCACGGCGGCACATCATGGCATCCTACACACGCGTGCGCCGACACCAACGCGGCCTACGTTTCCAATGCCAGAACGAATCATGTCTCCGCTACTCCTGCATCTCCTGCTCCAAAGCCTGGTCCGACATCCACATCTGCCACGAATCCTCCCTCCTTGCACTCCGCACCCAAGTCGAGCTCGCCATGTCCCTAGCCATCAAGCGCACCTGCCCGCGCTGCAACACCAGCTTCGTCAAGTCCTCAGGCTGCAACAAGCTGACCTGCGTGTGCGGCTACCAGATGTGCTACGTCTGCCGCAAGGACATTGGGAATGGGGAAGGCTACCGCCACTTCTGCGAGCACTTCCGCCCGAATGGCGGGAAGGGCTGCATGGAGTGCGAGAAGTGCGATTTGTACCGCTGTGAGAATGATGAGGTGGTGGTGACGAAGGCGAAGGAGGATGCGGAGAGGTTGTGGTTTGAGAAGGAGGGCGGGGGGGATGAGGATCTCAAGAAGACGTTGGTGCAGAAGTATGACCCGGCGAAGGATGGGTGGGTGGGCCGCATGTGGCGGTCGAGGCCCAGCGCGGAGAGTGTGTTGGATGCGCTGGTGGAATTTGTTATTGAATGATGATTGGGATGTCTGGGCTGGGGGGTATGGGTGGGATTTGGCGTTTTGTTTGGTTGTGCATGCGATATCCGGATGGGAAGGAGGGGTACTGGTTTAAGGTGTTTTTGAGCCGGGGGCTAGAAGCCATGACTGACAGGTGTCTGTACTGAAAGATACGGGACGTTCTCTTATATGGGACGGATAATAAAACGATTTTTTATACAGTTCTTGGGGTTTGAGGAAGTGGACAATTGGTTGGAGATCTGTGATTGAACGCCTCTGCATTATAGTTGCTATGAACACTGGTATCTACAGTTCCTGCTGTTTTCTACAGCCCCTCCTCGAACTTCTAGACAGCATGAGTCTATTGCTTCCAGCTTCAAAAGGGCCACCCCCTACATATCAAAACCCCCAAAAAAAACCTTCATCCACACTATCCTTCTCTCCACGACCAAAAGATCAAAAAGAAACAAAAAAATATTGAACAGAGTGGGACTCGAACCCACGCCACTTTCGTGACCAGGAAACTATATGATAAATCACATGTATTAAGGTATAACCTTAACCTGGCGCCATAACCATCTCGGCCATCTGTCCCGGATTTGTTGAAGCGGAGGGGCTTGTTGGGTGTTTTGTGAAAGGAAAAAATTGTAGGTGGGTTCTTCAATGGCGACCCCACATGAAGTGGGGATGGTCCCTGAGTAGCCGCCCCTCAATTGTAGAGGGTACAAATGACGGTATTGAGGCGGTGGGATTATTGTAAATTATGAATATTTATTAGGCCTCGGTGTGCAGTTTATTTTATTAATCCTGTAAAATTATTTATTTCGTAGATATTATAGTGCCCACAGAACGCGTCGTGCTCGGTTAGATCTGGTTCAGCCTTGCCAACGCGTAAATTGATTTCTGGACCAAGCCTCGCGGGTCACACTTTCACCAAGTCGGCCCATCAAGCAAGGAAACGTCAGCTTCAGACACCAAGACGCTTGAAGCTCTAAATCGACCTATTGATACATCAAACAAGCGGCCTGACGACATAGTCAACCAACAGCAACCGCCCCAATGGCTGGCGGCGTACAGGGCTTCGTGAACAAAAAACACCAGCAATATGGCGGCACCGAGAACGAGACGCCTCTGTCACAGGCAGAAATTCAACAGCGCAAGACTGCTGTCCGTGACCTGGGATTGAAAGCCCCGGGACCAGCAGCTGGTCGGAGGAGCCTGTCGACTTCTGGACCCGGCGTGCCATTTCGAGATGGGGTCACTGGGCCAGCCAGAGCTGCCTCCCCACTTGCCATGCAACAGGCTGGTGCCCAGAATGGTTTTGCTACTCAAGGCAGAACTCAAGGCAATGGACAGGGCCAAGCATATACCCAAAGAGAATCTATGTGGGCTGAATCGAGTCTCGGATCTGATTCGTTGTTCACTGTTAAAGACAAGTCATTCGGTCACTTCTACAGCGATGACGAGTTGCAAGGTCAACACGTTGAGGGACAGGATCAAGATGTTGGATTATCTGACCAACGATCTGACAGTGATCCGGAAGAGGGGGAAGCTGATCAGAACATGGCCGGATACCACAATGCCAATCCCAGACAGCCGGGGATAAGCCAAGCCAGCATCCCAATGAGAGGGGTCATTACACGCCGCTTCGAACCTAAGATGCAGCAACAGCAGCGACCTGTTACGGAAACCGCCCCTTCCAACGGCAAACGGGCATCGAATGGCTCTGTAAAGAACTACAACCAGAAAACCATGCCAGGGCGTGGGCACCAAGTACAGAAAGATGGAGACCATCAGCAGGAGGTAGATGCGTTTGCTCCCTCTGAAGTCGACGAAGATACCATACACTCAATTGGTGGTAATGGTGGAAAGCATCCCCGGAAGGGTTCCAAACGGCAAGCAGAAGATATTTCCAACATTGACTTTGACCACAAGACGCTCTACGAGATGTCATACGCAGACCTCGAAAAGCAGCCATTCGACGAGGATCCAAACCAAGCCGAAAACTCCTCACTGACAGGTCTCTCCAAACCCCTCGACGACCGCATGAAGATGTTCCAAAATGCGCCAGCGGAAAATCAAGCGGCGTTTCTCGCCACGCTGTCCATCGATGAGTGGGAGGACGCGGGCGAGTGGCTCATGAAGCAGTTCGGCACTGTAATGGGAAAGGTTGCGGATGCTCGACGTGAGAGACGGAAGATTGCGGCTGAATTTGAGGAGAGGCTTGCTGCGAGGGATGCAGAGGTCAGGAATAAGATTGATGGTGTGGAAGATGCGTTGAATTTCTTGAAAGATGGAGGAAATGACTTGTTGAGGGGGAAGACGCCGATTTAGTGGCTTGTGGGATGATACTTTTTGTTATTTACAATTTGCTGGAAGGGCTTGAGGATGACATGGCATGTATTTAACTGGAAGAGCCTGAAGATGACATGGCATAAATTTAGCTGGAGCAAGCACAGAACGGTGGCGAAAAGGAGGGAGGGGCTATTGCTGCATCATATACCCATTTGCTTTATCTACAGCTTTCAATCAAATCAGAAATCATATCTGCTGCACTTCTTGCACACGTCTATCTCTTCCAACAATCAGCCTCAGCTGACTACCCTTCTTCCCCTCATCCCCCTTAAACACCCCCTTCCTCAGTTCCTCTGTGAACAGCTCATATGCGGGGTAATACCCATCCACGAACTTCACCACCTGCTCATCCGTCATCGCATTTTCCACCCCCCTCGCCTTCCTCAACACCTCCTCCTGCTCCCTCCGCCACGCATACACAAACGCCGTCTCACTCGCATCAAGGTGTATGAACGCATCCAGCATATCCGTCATAACATCATACTCCCTGAGCTTATCATTCACGAACAACAAATCCTCGAGCCGGTTCTTCCATAATGTGGAATCGGGATTCGAACGCGACGCCTCGCGCTTGGCGGCGACCTCGGAGTCTGACAGGGCGCGAAATCCGACGGACCACCCTTCGAGGATTATGACTTGCAGCTTGCGCTTGCTAGGTTCGTTGACACGGAGGGGGGTGGATGTGCGGTCGCCTTGTCCGTTGAAGGCGGATTTGTCGTAGCGGGGGATGGAGGTTTCGGTCTGGGAGCGGAGATTGGTGAAGAGGGAGCGGGCGAGGGGGATGTCGTGGGTTCCTGGGGCTGTTAGTATGGGGATAGATGAGGGGTAGGGAGGGGCATACCGGGCTCTCCGCGATGCTGGATCAGCGGGTTCGAGGGATTGGCTTCTGCTAGGGCAACTTGGTCGGCATGAGTGAGATAGAGGTCATCGAGGCTGATTATCTCAGTCACAAGGTTGCAGTCGTCGTGGAGGGTGGAGAGGAGGAGGGAGACGAGGGTGGATTTCCCGACGCCTTGGACGCCGTTGATGCCTATGAAGAAGGGGGCGGAGGGGGAGGAGGCAGCGTGGATGGCATGGCGGGCGAGGATGAAGGGGATGCAGTGGGCGCTTTTGTCGTCTATTATTTCGGCCATGTTATCATTTATGAGGGTGGTGTTGGGAGCTGGGGTTTGAGATGGAGGCGGGGGTTGTCAGGGTCTGAGAGAAGTGGTGAGCTCCACAGTGACTCTGCATTTATCCAAACGTTACAATTCCTGACCTGAAGCTTCAATGGTACAATTCTGACAATCTGTTCAAGGGCCCATAATTCCTATTCTCATATTTTCCATTGGCGGCTCTCCACGAAGGTTTGCTCGTCGACAGAGACTCGACTTGCCGTGCTTGACGGTGGGACTCAATGCGGGGTTAACAGCCTACTGGAACCCCGACTCTCCGATCCGGCCTTGGGAGACTCTAGATCCATGACGCTCATTATCGGCATCAGCGTCGCAGGATCTCATTCTCCAACTCCGAAATGATTACTGTTCAGCGTCAGAAATTATTATGGGAACATAATAATAGGACCCTAAAATAATGCACATGGCATTTCTCCAACTCCAAATTATCTCGGAGACCGCTGGCATGTGAACGCGAACGCTTAAATTTCGCAGCTTCCCCAGGTTTCGTCATGACCCCAACAGCCGGCCAATCACAACAGCCGAACGGTTTGGCCGAGGCATGTGCCGAGGTGATCTGGGACGACCACGACGAGCCGAAAACGAACAAGTAGATAAACACTTCGCTCCCGGAGACCGCGGAGTATATTTCTTGTCTTATTCTGCTCTTTCTTTCCTCATTATACCCTCAAAAGAGCTTCTTCCCTCAAAGAGCTTCTTACTACACCGGCTTCTTCCAACACCGGTTTCTTCCTACGCTGGTTTCAACTATACCCATTGAAACATGTCGGAAATCAGATACGATGGCCAGGTCGTGGTCGTAACGGGGGCAGGTGGAGGCCTTGGAAAGGCATATGCGACCTTCTTGTAAATTTCCGGCCCAAAAAATGCATACGCTTTTCCCAGTCCTTTGCTAACACCGGTCACAGTGGTTCGAGAGGTGCCAGCGTCGTGGTGAACGACTTGGGCGGATCGTTCAAGGGCGAAGGCGGAGCATCCACAAGAGTGCGTCATGTCCCATTCCCCCCTTCTCCGAGCCGAATGCTGACCAACCCCCAGGCTGCTGATGTAGTTGTCGAGGAGATCAAGGCTGCTGGCGGCAAGGCCGTTGCCAACTACGACAGTGTCACAGACGGTGAGAAGATCATCGAGACGGCCATCAACACTTTCGGCCGCATCGATGTCCTCATCAACAATGCCGGTATCCTCCGTGATATCAGCTTCAAGAACATGAAGGACCAGGACTGGGACCTGATTATCGCCGTCCACGTTAAGGGCTCATACAAGTGCGCCAGGGCCGCATGGCCGCATTTCCGCAAGCAGAAGTACGGACGTGTTATCAACACCGCCTCTGCAGCTGGTCTCTTTGGCTCCTTCGGCCAGACCAACTACTCCGCCGCCAAGCTTGCCCTGGTTGGCTTCACCGAGACCCTGGCCAAGGAGGGCGCCAAATACAACATCAAGGTCAACGTTATTGCGCCAATTGCCGCATCCCGCATGACCGAGACCGTCATGCCCCCGGACATGCTCGCAAACCTCAAGCCGGAGTGGGTTGTGCCGCTCGTGGCCACTCTCGTCGACAAGGATGCCGAGGAGACCGGTTCCATCTTCGAGGTCGGTGGTGGACACATCGCTAAGATCCGCTGGGAGAGATCCTCGGGAGCACTCCTGAAGGCTGATGATTCCTACACCGCTGGCGCCCTGCTCGCCAAGTGGGACGATGTCAACAACTTCAAGGAGGCCGAGTACCCATCTGGCCCCGCCGATTTCCTCAGCTTGTTGGACAAGTCTATGAAGCTGCCCTCCGCCCCCAAGGCTGAGGCCCTCGACTTCAGCGGAAAGGTCGTCCTCATCACCGGTGCCGGAGCTGGTATCGGCCGCGCATACGCTCTGGCATTCGCCAAGCTCGGCGCTAAGCTCGTCATCAACGACCTTGTCAACCCAGACACCGTCGTCCAGGAGATCCAGAAGCTCGGTGGCACCGCTGTCGGTGTCAAGGCACCTTGCGAGAACGGTGAGGAGGTTGTCAAGGGCGCCATTGACGCCTTCGGCCGCATTGATGTCGTCGTAAACAACGCTGGTATCTTGAGGGATAAGGCTTTCGCCAACATGGATGACAAGCTCTGGGACCCAGTCATGGATGTCCACCTCCGCGGTACCTACAAGGTCACCAAGGCCGCATGGCCATACTTCCTTAAGCAGAAGTACGGACGTGTCATTAACACTACCTCCACCTCCGGTATCTACGGAAACTTTGGCCAGGCCAACTACGCCGCTGCTGTAAGCTTATCTCCCCCCTAATCCTCAAGTTATCCTCCTAACATTCACAGAAATGCGGTATCCTTGGTTTCTCCCGCGCTCTTGCCCGTGAGGGTGCCAAGTACAACATCTACGTCAACACCATCGCCCCCAACGCCGGAACCGCCATGACCCGCACCATCATGCCCGAGGAGATGGTCCAGGCCTTCAAGCCCGACTACATAGCACCCCTCGTCGTCCTGCTCGCCAGCGACAAGACCCCCAACCCAACCGGTGGCCTCTACGAGGTCGGCTCCGGATGGGTCGGCAGCACCCGCTGGCAGCGTACCGGCGGTGCCGGCTTCCCCGTCGACGTCGTCCTTACCCCTGAGGCCGTTCGCGCGGAGTGGGCCCGCATTGTCAACTTCGACGACGGACGTGCCGACCACCCAGACAGCCCGGCTGATGGCCTCAAGAGCATCATGGCCAACATGGAGAACAAGTCTAGCAACAAGGTATGAGCCTCTTCTAGGTCCTTGTGTGAGCGCGCTGTGCGCGCGCGTGTGTCTTTCGTATCTGTCCTTTACGACGCTTCATGTACTGTACGATAGCTAGTCGCACTCAATGTCAAAATAAATGTCAAACTTATGATCAGAACCACTATCTAACACTTCTCCTTCCGTAGAAAGCCAAGAAGCCCGCCCGCAAGTCCGAGCCCAACCCCGAGATCCTCGCCGCCATCGAGGAGGCCAAGAAAGCCAAAGCCACCGGCACCGAATTCAAATACGAAGAGCGCGACGTCTCCCTCTACAACCTCGGCATCGGCGCCCTCCGCACCGAGCTCCCCTACATCTTCGAAGGCTCGCAGGACTTCCAGGCCCTCCCAACATTCGGCGTCATCCCCCCCTTCTCCGCCGAGGCCCCCTTCGACATCTCCGCCATCGTCCCCAACTTCAACCCCATGATGCTCCTCCACGGCGAGCAGTACCTCGAGATCCGTCAATTCCCCATCCCCACCTCCGCCACCCTCGTCTCCTACCCGCAGCTCATCGAGGTCGTCGACAAGGGCTCCGCCGCCGTCCTCAAGTCAGCTACCACCACCGTTGACAAGGCCACCGGCAAGGACGTCTTCTACAACGAGCAGACCGTCTTCCTCCGTGGCTCCGGCGGCTTCGGCGGCAACCCTAAGGCAGGCGACCGCGGTGCCGCCACCGCCGCTAACGCCATCCCCAAGCGCGCACCCGACGCTGTCGTCGAGGAGAAGACCACCGAGGAGCAGGCTGCTATCTACCGTCTGAGCGGTGACTACAACCCTCTTCACGTCGACCCCGAGTTCGCTGCCATGGGTGGCTTCAAGGAGCCTATCCTCCACGGACTCTGCTTCTTCGGTATTGCGGGTAAGGCGGTCTACAAGACCTATGGCGCGTTTAAGAACATCAAGGTTCGCTTTGCTGGAACTGTGACGCCTGGCCAGACCCTTGTTACGGAGATGTGGAAGGAGGGGAATAAGGTTATCTTCCAGACCAAGGTCAAGGAGACGGGCAAGTTGGCGCTGGCTAGCGCGGCGGTTGAGTTAGCTTAGAAGAACTGAGTGTAATGATTTTGTGAATGGAGTGTAGAATTAGCTTAGTTTGATGTTTAAAGAATTTCATATAAGTACTGTCACTATTGTCCTTTGAGAGAGAGAGTGGTTGCATGATTTTGATGGTTCGTCCGGTTCCATTACTTCACAACAGACGGCAATTATCAAACGCACGAACAAAGAGTCATCAAAAAAGTAAACGTCTCATTAGCCCCTCCCATCATCAGCGCATCCCTCCCCATCCTCACTCATAACAGTTGTTAGAAAACTAGGTATACACCACTCAGACACTCAACCTCCAACTGACCCTCCCCCTCCACCACGTCCCCATTCAAACAAAACATATATAATTTGCCCCCCTTCAAAGCAAAAGGTATCAAAAATAAAAACTACGTTTTTCAACCCCAATCCCCACTAAACACGCAAACACATAGCATAGGTTATGAAACCTAGCTGTTCTTCGCGTAAGCAGCGTCGATGTCCTTCTTGTATGTGTCGACGATGAGGCGACGGTTGAGCTTTTGTGCCGAGGTGACGAAGTTCTGTAAAACCCATACGTTAGTATTTTATCATTCTACAGTAATCAAAGTCCATTTGTAAATAGAAAACTTACGTTTTGGGGTGTCCACTCCTCATCCGACATAACAACACCACTGATAATCTCAATCCCCGACAACCCTCCGGAGCGACCAGCATCCTGCAGCGCCTTGAGCACCGCACCCTGCAGCTTAGCATTATGCACGAGCTGCTCGAGGTTGCCCTCCTTGATGCCAATCGACGCCGCAAGCTTCTTCAGCGCCGGCTCGGCAGGCACAATGATTGCGACGGGCTTGCTCTTCTGCTGATCGGCGTAGACGCAGATGTTGGCCACGACGGTCGCCGAGCGGTACACCGACTCCAGCTTCTCGAGCGCAATGTACTCGCCGTTCAGCGTCTTGATCAGGTTCTTCTTGCGGTCGACGATGTTGAGGTGGCCGTTGGTGTCCCACTCGCCAATGTCGCCCGTCTTGAACCAGCCGTCGGGGCCAAAGGCCGCCTTGGTCTCCTCCTCGTTCTTGTAGTACTCCTCAAACACGCTGTTCCCGCGGATCCAGATCTCACCCTGTGGCGAGGGCTTGTTGGTCGAGAAGTAGCCAGCCTCGGGGTAGTCGACGAGCTTGATCTCGATGGAGCCGGGGATGTCGCCCAGAGCCGAGTCGGTCCACTTCATGGGATCCATAAGCGCGCCCATGGCGCAGGTCTCGGTGAGACCGTAGCCGTTGATCATGGGGCTGATCGAGAGGGAGATGAAGCGCTGCGTCTCCTTGGAGATTGGCCCACCGCCGTTCAGGCAGATTCGGAGTCTGCCACCAGTGGCCTCCTTCAGCTTCTTGAATACGACCGCATCGAGGACGCCGGCGCCCGGGAGGCCGTAAGACATCATCATGCTCTTCAATGACATGGCTCCCCAGAACAGGTTCTTCACGATGGGGCTCCCGGCGTTGACCTTGGCGACAATGCCCTTCTTTACAGTCTCCCAGACAGCTGGTACTCCAACGAGAATGGTAGGCTTGCACTCGCGGATGTCGCCGTTGCAGTTCCTGACAGAGGAATCGGAGAGGGTCTTAGGGTTGCCGTAGCACATGGTTCCACCCCATCCCAGGCACGAGTTCTCAAAGACCATCTCAAGAATGTGAGCAAGTGGGAGGTATGCAAGAAGGGTGTCGCCTGGGCCAATATATCTCTCGATAATAACGTTCACGCCGGCAACTAGGCTTGGATTAGCAAACGTCAATGTGAAAACTGAGCGATTGGGGAAACTTACGTGCGGCAACGACGTTCTTGTGCTTCAACGGAACACCCTTGGGGGTGCCCGTCGATCCGGAGGTGTACATGATACAGGCGAGGTCGTCGGGAGTGGGTGGCACTGCATCGACTGGGTTCTCTGCGCCCAGCGCGATGAGCTCGTCGATGCTGAGAACGGTCAAGTGGGGGTGGGCCTCCTTCAGGCGCGCGATATGTGCTGGGTTGACGTCGTGCTCGGTGTTGTAGATGACGTGGTTGATCTCCTTGGCCTCCTTTAGCGGATTGACGATGTTGAGGAGAAGGTGGGGGTCAAGGAAGATAGCGTTAGCGCCAGTGGCCACCAGAGAGTGCTTCAGTCCCTCCTCGCCCAGGGTATCGTAGGCCGTGACGATGGGCATCGATTGCGATGCAGCACCGTGAGACATGGCCAGCCAGTGGGCGCTGGTCGCAGCGAAGATGTGTACGCGGTTGTCCTTGACCATGCCGAGCTTCCTCAGGCCAGCGCCAATGTCGATGACCATCTTCTCGTACTCGATGAAGGTGCGGTAGGTGTATCCGCTGAGCTCAAAGTATGTCCAGACCTTGTCCTGCTCGGTCTCAACGCCATCGATCATCCTCTTGATGCGCTTGGTCTCCTTGTGGGTCTTGAGCAGCTTGCGCGTGCCGATGGCCTTTGCGTTGCCATACTTGCGGGCTGCTACCTTGACAACATCGAAGAGTGTGGCAACATCGGGGAATGGACGAGTGACGAGGCGGTCCTGGAGGTCTGGGTTACGGCGAGGAAGGGTCTCGCCCTCAACAGGCGCGGCGCCCTCGACCTCTTTGGAGAATGGGGGTGACCTGACGATGCGTGGCTGGACGGTAGCCTTCTTCAGCTGCGGGTGGTCGTTGATGTGCGGGAGCTCGGAAACGACGTCCGTCATGGTGAAGGTTGTTGTGTGTGTGATGAGTGATGAGAGCTGTGGAGGCTATTTGCAAGAGGGAAATGAAGCTTCAGTTCAGAGAGCTCCTAGCAGGATCTGGAGAGAAAGACAGGTATTAGCGGGGAGAAGCTAGGCAGATGGGGGGGGTGGTTTATAGTCACTGACAGTATCAAGTGCAGATAGATGATGATGATGATGCTTGTGATGGGCCGAGGAGGAAGAGAAGGAAGGAGTAGGAGTAGTAATTGGGGAGAGGGGGTTTTGGGTAAGAGATGGAAGGAGCAAGCAATAATGGGCTCTTTGGGGAAAGGTACTTCCTTGCTCTAGTTGTTTTGGTGGGTTTACAAAGTAGATCCCTGTTTTTGGATGTTTGGGGGGGGGTGGGTAGGAGCAGTATTGAAGGGAGGTGGAGCTGTAGGAGCAGGGATGTTGGGAGTTTGTTGGGGTAACGCGATACGTTAACCCGCACTTTCCGTAGTCAGGTATGAAGTCAGCCACCACTAACTACTGCAGCTGTAGGGTGGTAGAGTGGTCTAGTCGCTTAGTTCTCGTGCCGCCTTAAAGTCTAGAGAAGAGTGTATATAATGTCTAGAATAGATCAGTGTTTACAGCAACTGTAGTTCAAGCAAAGGCGTTCTGTCACTTAGGGCTACAACTAAACAGGGTAGCTGCTTAGAGACGGAACTAGAGTGGGAAGTCCTATCAGCTTGAGTTGTTAGTAGTATGTGAATCTTTAGCAATAGAAGCCCCTCCCCTAGAGTATTATATTAGGCAGCGCGAGTAGTCGTCTAACCAGACCCCATTAGAGTAATAGAGCAGATCAAATCATTATGTCGGTTACTATGAGAGGGATGTCGGCGGCTGTAAGTGGCTATAGTGGTTATAGTGGCTGTAATGGCTGTAAGAGGCTTGGGGGCTGTGGGCTTGGGCTGGGCCTAAAGAAGGCTGGGCATAGTAACGTCAATATATTGCCGCCGTATGCTTTAGATTGTAGCTGCATATGTACTCTGGGATGTACTGTACCAGGGGCGACGGTTGTACTGTGGCTACCTAGTAGGCTCTAGGTAGAGTGAAGACTGAGATGCTATACAGAAATAGATACTCGAGTATAGTAGTGGTTCTTCTGTTTCTTCTCTAGGGGGTAATAGGAATACTGATACCTTCTACAGCCATCTCAAGCGCCCAGCTCGGTCCCTCTACCCCGCCCAAGCCATTTCTACGGCGATCACTAGTAGTCCACTTTCCTACACTATCTATAGGCAGCCTGAATTACAAAGTAAGACACTAATACGGCAAGCCACAGGTGTGCACACCTGCCCCCGGCCCTCCGCATTCTGCGCTTCTCTCTCGGCAAGAGCACCCCAGCTCAAAACAGGCGAGAGGCGGCCAGGCCACTCTTGCCGGACAAGTCACGAGACCTAAATCCGTAAACTAGGAAACGACGACACACAGCCTTGCATATACCCATCGACTCCCTATAGAAAACAGTATATAGCATCAGTTTACAGAAAAATCTCAACAATAGCCATCCCCTGTACCAACACCAACAAAATGCGGCCTTACGCCAGGGATCAATAGCGGATCTACATCTACAATTCACCCGTCATCCATCCCTATCAGCAAATCCCTCCGCCGAGCTTCCCCGTACCTAGGTAGCCGAGGCCCACGCCCGCTTGCCAAGGTCCCTCGTGGTCAATCCCTCGCTAAAACCTCGTGTGCATCGCCGAGCTACGAGTGACAAGAGGGACACAAGAAGCCGAGCCTGCACTTGGGCCTCCTGCTGTACCCAGCCGAACTCTCTTCCCCAGATCCTAGGTCGTTGGCCTAGGTAACACGTGACAAGGTTAACTTGTGGGCGGGATAAACTTTGTTCCTCATGCTAGTCCTCGGTTACACGTGACGAGGCTGCAGGCTCATGCAGCCTCGTTCACATTATCCCCTCATCGTAATCTTGATAAGAAAAAGATGCTAGGATATCTAATATCCACAGCATCACACACACATGACGGTCGAATCCCTCCTCCGAGCCCTCGGGGACGAGATTGAAGATGCGGAAGAAGGCAAGTTCTCTTTACTCTCCTTACTCTCAATCTCTTCATCCATACAAATCACTTATTCACCCCTCCTTCTCACTTTCTTCCCCTCCCCTACCCCCACCTCACTAACACCCACCCCCTTCAGAATCCTTCCTCCTCTTCTCCCAACCCATCCCCTCCCAAAACCTAGGTTTCGTCGACCAAACCGCCACCTCAATCGACCTCACCATCGCCGGCCGCGACCTCACCATCTACCAATCCCCCACTATCCTCTCCTCCACTCGTGGCGGCGGCACTACAGGCGCAGGTACGATTTTCCCCTCCTTCCCTCCCTGCTTCCTTCTCCCTCCACATAAGCCAACTAACCCCCTACAGTTCTCTGGAAAATCACCCCCCTGGTCGCAACCTGGCTCTCATCCCCCACCAACCCCTTCACCACCCACTCAGTCTTCACTCCCTCGTCCACCGTCCTCGAACTCGGCTCCGGCATCTCGGGCGTAATCGCGCTCGCTCTATCACCCAGCGTCAGCTCCTATACACTCACAGACCAGTCCTATGTCCTAAAGTTGTTACGGCAGAATATCTCTTCCAACCTTCCCTCTCTCACTAGGAAGTCGAAACCCAGCAATAACAGTAACTCGTCGAAATCGAAAGCAAAAGCGAAATCTAAGCGCGGCGCTACACAGGCCGCTGCTACAGAGGGTGGCGAGGGTGGAGAAGGAGGGGAGGGAGACTCGAATATACAGATTAAGACACTAGACTGGGAGACAGATGAGGTAGCCGGCTTACTTCCGGGAGGAGGGAGTTTTGACGCAGTGATTGCGTGTGATTGCATATACAATGATGCCTTAATCGAGCCACTCGTACAGGCCTGTGTTGATGCCTGTCGGTTACGTGAGAGGGAACGAAAGGCCCACCGCGATAGCGACGACACGACAACAACCGCCAGCAACAGCGCCAACAACTCCAATGCCCAAACCAACAGCGGCGGCGGAGGGGGTGAAGCTGCGGAGTTGGGGAATGTAGAGGGAAAGACAGTCTGTATTATAGCGCAGCAGTTGCGCTCAGATCAGGTCTTTGAAGGGTGGCTTACGGCGTTTAAAGAGTCGTTCCGGGTGTGGAGAGTTCCGGACGAGGTTGCGGGGGTGGGATTGAGGGGCGGAGAAGGGTTCGTTGTTCACGTTGGTGTTTTGCGGTAGAGCGGAGAGTTTAAGAGGAGTTGGATGAAGGAGGTGTTGAGGGTATGTGAAATGGCTTTTTAGGTCTTATACCAATATGGCCACTGCTCCCCGGATTGCCCAAGTGAGCCTGCACCAGCGAAAGCTCGGCAAGCAGCCCGAGATCTTTCTACGTAAAGCTGGAATAGAATACAGCAATGCAGAGACAAATATATATGCTATGACAACTAGTCATCAGCCGCGACGGATGCTCCCCTAGACTTTGTTGGGGACTAGGGGAGAACCACAGAGGTAGTGACAGCATCTACATAAAAGAAATAGGCGGGGATTTACCACGTTACACGAGTTGTGTTCTGGTTCGTTACACGAGTTATGTTTCTGTTACACGAGTTGTGCTCCCGTTAGTTACACGAGCTATGTTACAGGAGTTGGGTTCTAGCCCGTTACACAAGTTGTGTCCCTACACAACTCGTGTAAAGTGCTAAAGCCCCAGCCTATGTCTTTTAACAACTCACCTACCAAATGGACTAGCCCGAAAATGGATGAGTTTAGGTTATTAGTAGTGTTATATAACAGGGTCGTATTACTTACTTGCTACCTTTCTCCTATAATATAGTAGCCCATGCCTATACATGCTCAAATAGTGTACTGCCTATAAGCTTTACTTTAATATCTTCCTACTCCATGAAATCCTCGCTACCGTATGCATTTAAGCGCACGACCTCTCCTGCTCTTAAATCTACGCTTAGTTAGAAAATGATCGATAGCCACCTGCTTATACGAACATCCTAGGACGTTACTCCGTTATTTAGCCCATCTTTAATGTAAAATATGGTGCTTGAGCGTGTTACCTATACTAGGGTAGTAATGATATATATCACCCATACTCTGCTAGTAGGGCAGAAATGATGTGCAGGAACATAACTCCTACAAAGTGATAAACCCCTTCCACATACTAGTAGTCTATCTAGCATATATTTAGACGTTGTAAGAACTATAATACATGGTATCTCTACTTTTTGCAAAGAGGGACTATATGCAATAGCTAGTGTTTATAACAACTGTAATCTTAAAGCTACAGGCAAGCCTTTTAAAACTTCGAGACCGCAAGAGTAAATTCACGTGGGACTTGTCGCTACATGTTTGTCACTTAAGATATACTTATATTCAGCCAAGTTGACTATGCCTCCATCCCCCTAACCAAACAACGCCATCCCACCAACCCTTTTTCCCATTTACCCCTCCCTCCCTTACCCAACCAGCCAACCCCCCTTAAAACACCAAACCCAAACCAGACAAACCAACCCCTCTACCAAGACTCCCACATCTGATCCCCCACCGCCACAACCCTATTAAAAAGTTCATCCCTCATCCCCACCGCCGTCAACAAAAACTCCCCCTCGCTACCCACAACCACCATCCCATCCGCGACCTCCCTCCCCGTCGCCCATCCCACAACCATCTTCCCTCCCCACCCCAACCCCCCAACCTTCTTCACCTCCTTAATCCCGCTCACATCAACACTCCACTCCTTACTCCCCCCCTCCTTCGTCCACCTCAACACCGGCTTCATACCGTCCGTGTCAAGAACAGCACACCCCCTCGACCCCTTATACCTAGCCGGGAAACTCCTCGGTCCAGCAGGGGGGAGAGGCGAAGATGGTACGACACCGAGGCGCTTCTTAGCGTGCGGTGCACCGGCTGCGGCTTTAAGTCTATCAGCACCTATCATAGTCTCCACGCCGCCGCGGACGGTGCTGCGGAGGAAGGCGACAAAGTGACGGCCACGCTTTTTGGGTTTCTCTTTCTCTTCTTTTTTGGCCAATGCCTTTTCTTTCCCCATTTCTGGTGAAGGGTTGACGGCGGCGTCTATCTCGGATTGGGAAGCATCTAGGTATGTTAGCTCATCTCTCTTGACGTCTATAATGGTAATGGGGTTAAGCAACTCACCTAAATGCTCGAGGCCCTCCCCAGCCGTCTCATGCGGAACATCGTGTAGCTCCTCGTGCCCCTCCGGCGGCGGCGGTAACGGCGCTTTATGCTTCTCCCCCACCCTGAGCAACGTAATCATCAACTGCGCATTCGTCGGGACACCCTTCAACAACGAATTCCTCAACCTCAACATACGCTGCCAATCCGGATTCTTAGCATCCAACCACTCAATCGCCCTCTCAATAATCGGCCCCCCAAAAAACCCAAACCCAACCGCAAACGAAGTCCCCTTGACAACCGCATGCGCGCTGGTAAACAATGACACGATCAGGAGCGGGGAGAGGATCGCAGCGAGCCTTATTCGCGGCGCGAGTAATGGGAATGGTGCGGTGGGAGATAAAGCGTTTGCTAGCCGTTCGTAGGTATCCGTGGTGTCAGAAATGGCGCGCATGACGGGGCGCGCTTTCGCCCACATAGCTGCTGACATGGGTTCTTTCGTTTTATCGCCCTTACCACCGTGTTTTCCTCCCGCGGCTTTCGTCTGTGCATCCGCGGCTTTGAGGGGGGCTTCAGTGGGGTCGGGGACTGCGGCGTCGAGGGTGCTTTCTTCCCCTTCGGCAGAAGAGGAGGACGAGGGAGGGGGTTGGTTCCCTTTTCCTGCTGCGCTGCTAATAACAATTGCTGAGAAAGCAGTTACGAAGTTTGAGGCTTCCTGTTCTACTGCCTCTCCAGGGTGACTTTCAGGCGCGCCGGTGAGGGAGTCATCACTCCCCAGAACCCCGGCAGCCGGACTCTGAACGCCCCCGCTTGAGGAATCAATCAACGCTAACGGCGCTGGCGGGAAAGCAATCTCTCTTGTGCTCGGCACGAGGATAAGGACCATCATGAAAGCGGCAATGGTAGGCACGAGTAGGTTATACACCCATGCCACGCCGTAGACAGCGAGGAACGCCATCGTGCGGGGTCGCTCGCGCCAGGACCGAAGACGAGCGATGTGTTTCACGGCAGTCATGGTGCCGACGATCATGGTCATGTAGAGGCGCTCTATAGTAGCGCGGAGTTTATCCGGAGAGAATTCCTCGATAGGGGAGATATTTAGATCCAGGGCGTCCATGGGCGGTGTGGGGGTTGTTTTGACATGTTGGATTTGCTGGTCAGGGGGTTAGTTGTGCTGTTGGAAAAGGGAAGGGGGTCTGTTACTTTGTTAAAACGCCGCAGGAGCACCCAGAGGTCGTCGTTAGGGAGTCCGGCGATGAGAGGGCGTGGAATGGAGCCGGAGTCGTTGTGCCATCCCAGATCGCGCACGGAGGATGCGCTGTGGGTTTGCGCGTACCCCTTTTCCTCCGGCTCAGCGGCTGCGAGGGCATGACTATCTGTTGGTAGGTCCTCTGATGTTCTGTCGACAGGTCTGACGGCCTGGATAGGTTGGAGTTGTGGGCCGATGGGGTTATCATAACTTCTCGCAGGCGCCAACGGCGCCAACGGCGCCTGCTCCCCAGCGGTAGGTGTTCCGCTTTCCATTCTGGAAACTATAAAGTTGTTCTACGTTATAATGCGTCCTCGCTTTGGGACTTGCATGTGTTTTGAGGTAATGCCAATGGGCAAGGGGGGCGCTGAGATGTTTTAATTCTCAAAGCCGGGCCCAGGCACAGGGGATGGAGGGGTTGTGATGTCATAGCTTCCGCCACATCCTTGTACTGATAGATCCAGCTACAACTCACTCCACTTTTGGATCTGGGCACGAGCCTGGGCACGATGGGAGCGAATGTGGGATTTTAGGATTGTATTGCGATTGAATTTCTAGGGCAGTATGTTTTATTTTATGGACGCAGCCCGAAATAGCCTCATTGCCCATGGTATTCTTCAAATATAGTCCTCTGCCTTCCTCACTAGCAATATCAATCTACCCACCTTCCAGCCGCCTTTCAAGCCGTTTCGCCTGGCTACTACATCTACCCGCTTTTTAATTTGGTAGGCAAGGGGTAGATATATGGTAGTTATAGTTCTGACGACCGGAATGTTTATTGTACTCAGAGTTACAAGACACCCGGAAGGCACGAGCACTCATAAAGCCAGTAAAACATTATATTCGTCAGCCGTTAGAAGCCATGCCTATGCCTATGTCCATGCCATCCAGCAATTTGTCCATTTCTTCCATCATAACCTCATAATAACCCTCCCATGACCCAGCCAAGCCCAATCCCAATCCCATGCTCATGTCCCAATCCCGCCATCCCCCATCTCCCCAATCATCTCCCTACTGCGCACCCCCATTCTTCTCCGAAAACCCCGCCTTCTCACCCTCCCCCACCCCACTCATCTGCAACGCCCTCTTCCAATCCTGCTTATCCCAGCTCTGCGTACGTCCATACTTCGGCTTCCACCCCTCCTTCCCCTCTTCCTTCCCTCCAGCCCCCTCACCAGCAGCGCGATGAGCCAGCCCTTGTGCCTGCTCTGACTTGAAGACCGCGGAGTGTGGGTCTGCGGATGTGTCGTCGAGGGGAGAGCGGAGGATGGGTGCTTGTGCGTCGGGTTCGAGGGGCGTGACGGAGAGGGGGGAGTGGGGTGTTTTGGTGGTGGAGGGGTGAGTTTGATGGGTTGACATGGTGGATTCTCGGGTTTGGATGGTGGTTTGGTATGTGATCGATATGTTGATGTGGTGTTGAAGGGTGGCGAAAGTGTGTGTTCTGGAGATAGTTAGTTGAGACGCGTCTATTTCGTTGGTTGAGTTGGAGATGAGAACGTACTGAGTAGTGGGGTTGGTGGTGGTATTATAGGTAGATTAAACAATTGATTCACTTTGAGATGGAGAGCTGGAGGAGACGTGATTGTTATACAAGAATCAGTATTTAGGGAGATTGACAACTACAAATTGTCGTATTGCCTCCTATCGAAAGCCACAAGTATCCTTGCTTCGAGACATTGGAAATACGATATACGACCAGTGACGTTGTCAGTTACGAATCAGGACTAGCGCGCGGTTACAACTGCGCTAACCATCTAGTGCGGGGAACTTTCTTCGATAAGCGTGGGAAGCCGATAAGAGCTTTCCCATAACGTTTTAGCGCAACCAGCAAACGGAAACGTCTTTTTCTCACAACAACGTTAAAGGGCCATCCCAAGTCACTCATTTATATCATCAAGTCATCGGTTTTCATCGGAATTTCTCTTTGAATTCGACCCCCTATTCTTTCTACAAGAGTTACTCTCAAGTAACTAATGTCCGCCTACACCTGCGATTATTGGAGAGACCACCGCCGCCATGGTATTGACTCGCGCGCAAACGGAAATAAAAAAATCAAACAAAAACTCCTTGGCTATGCAGCTTGGTGTGGTAATATAAACTCTGACGGTAAGGGTTCTGGCGTAGGTGCCATATTTCATATACAGTAAGTCGGATCGGTTGCCGCTCGAAATATGCAGCATTCACTTGCTTTCAATCATGGCGTTCTTGGCTTCTTCCAGTAATATTGCTGCGAAATTGTTAGTGGCTGGTCAGGAAAGAGAGGGCAAACAATGAAACATACCTTGTGTGATTTACGGCAGTTTCTCAACGACGGCTTCCTCAGCCCATCAACAACAGCAGCTCTACGGCTCTCATCCACATCTTCATCTGGGATGTAATAGTATTCGCTCTCCAGTTGTTTTCCGGCAGCATCCTTTCCTTCACGGTGAATCTCGCCGATGCAGGTCGTTGCTGTGAGAGCTCGGTGGAGTTCTTCCTTGGTCAGGCCCTTGTTCTCTGGGTGCGAATCACTGATACCCCTCAAATCCGAAGGTAAGTTGTTGAGGATGACGGACAGTGGCGTCGAGGACAGGCGGGAGAAGGCGAGCTGGTTGACTACATGGTTCACGAATGGCTTTGGCTCAGCATTATTGGTGGATTCGGATTCTGAGCGTTTTTCTGGGGAGGGAGAGGATGCAGCGGACGATGCTTGGGATGCGCGGCCAGATTCGAGTTGTGGCGTCTCACCCGCAGTGAAAGCAGCCATCCTTGAAGAGATATTCGCACCGAAGGGACCGAAAGAGTGTACAATTGGATCGTTCTCCTCATCCGGGTCCTCCTCGCTAGCCTCGCTCAACTCGCTCGATTGACTGGCGCTCAAGTCTGCAAATGGCTCGAATTCCTGTGACGATTGCAGCTTGACCTCTGGCTCTACATCGGAGCTTGCGTCTTCATAGACCTCGACTGTGGCGTTGGTGGAGTGGCTTTGGGAGAAAATATTTGGCAGATTACCACTGGCGGCATTGCCTGCTGGAGTCGGCGATTCAGGCGACACAAGGCGTTGTCCCATTCTCAAGGGGCTCGATGGCATAGCCACGCCCAGTCCGACCAAAGCACCCTGTCTCCTCGGAGAGTCCAGTTCATCCCAAGCGGAAGTGGTTTCCGAAGCAGCTTGGCGGCGTCGAGGCCACGCGACGAAAACGCGTGCATCCTGAACATCCAGCATTATTTCCGCGGATTCTGTTTCCGATGTGAAGCTGTCACCCTTCGCCAGATCCCAGCTGCGTCCATGGCAGTGCACCTTCATTCCATTCCAGCCATTGCATATTATCTCAACCTTGCTTGTTCCCAGGGATGAAGTCGCGGCAATAAAACGCGCTTTGACGTGGATTCGCGAGATGAGCTTGTTGGCCGAGAGCTGGTATTGCGAGGAATTGCTCGATCTTCCCATGAGGAACTCGTCACCATTTTCGGGAAGGACGACGGTTGGGACAGCGGAAAGTGGTGCTCGCTCGGAGTGCATGGATTGGCGTCGTTGGATCGATGGCTTGTTTTGGACCCTCGGCGGAGATGAGGACAAGATACCGGTGGTGGAAGTTGGGACCGGAGTAGGATACTTCGAGTATGCATTTCGCTGAGAAGGAGAGTAGAGTGCTTGACGTTTCGCTGGTCGTGGGAAGCCAGGCGAGGAGGATAGTGGCTCGAAAGCTGGCAGCAGGGAAGGAGCAGGCCTCTTCACGCCGGCCACTGGGGGTAGTGTTGGAAGCATGTTAACTTTGGATGGACTCTCTTCCATCATGTTCACGGTTTTCTTCCCAAGATCGGGATTTCCTCTGGTAATTGAAGTTGTGGTGGAAAGATCCTGCAACCGCGTCTCGACGCGGTACCTTGTCTGGTGGGGGCACGCGAGAAGATATGTTTTGGAGTTTGTAAGAGGTCGACGGAACAAATAATGTACAAACACGCAATGATCAAAATAGCAGATCAAAGATTAAGAAATCAGTAACAGTATGAAGAAGGTCGAGAAAGAGGTCGCGAAATAAGAGGCCGCTTGCTGGGTTTTGAGGGAGGGCTAGAGTCGCGGTCACGAAAGATTGGAGCAGTGCGAGTTATGTGAGAAGCTGGGTCCAACGCGGTACGCCCACCGCGCGCGTTTTTGCGCTAGGAAGCGACGCTCCTCCCTGCGTACACTTTATACAGCTACTTAGCAAATGTCAATTCAGGGATTAATGTGTATAAAGAAGTGAATTGTATTTATGACGGCATCCGAGAAGTTCCAGACAGTAATTAATTGGCACCGGAAAGCCCCAATTGACTCCGTGTCATCCTGTTCTCTCCGCCTATATCGTGCCAGTTCTACTACTTTTTACAGCTTCCACGGTACTGTACTGTGTCTCTGGTGTCTCTCCCTAGAGCTCCCTTTAGGATGCAAGCAGCAGGATTCACATTAACTGTCATTAAGGGGCCCAGACACCTACGCACATCTCCTGAGACGCATCTCAGATGTTCGTGATTCCACTGATTCCACAGACTCAGACGCGCCTCGGCAATCTGTTTTGCCTATTGCCTCTCCACTCCACTCTCACAGCCCCATACTACCCAACCTCCTGATCAAAAAAGTCGCGATACCTACATATTTCCCACCGCACAATACTGTACATACTGATGCACTATACGCAATTCGTGCCCTTCTTCATGTGCGATCCAAGTGCCTTGTGTGTAAAAACCACCACCGATCTCCGCCCTCTGCATGGCGGTGAGGACCCCTAAGTGTTTCTACGCGCCGATGGGACATATGCACGATTGAGACTTCGTAACCAGCTATTGGACGTCTTACCTCTGGCGCGCCATGGCCTGCAGCTGCGAACGGAAAAACCTGTAGTTTGAGTGCCCAGAAGGTCTCGCGTGTCTGATTACTAGAAGACACTTCTGTAAGACATAATTATACCTTAATGCACGTCTGTTGGTGGACTGGTGGACTGAGCTTTTTCATTGTTCGCGGTGGCTTTATGCCCAGAGAGGTCCCACTTTGCTCTTATTGAGCCTTTTCTGCGACGCGTCTTTGGGCCGATATTACGCCTGGATATGGGCCCTGTGGCTGACGAAAGGAGGATCTTCGGTCGCTTCCTCTCCGAGATTGTACGACAGTTGAGCCGGCCATGAGGAGCAACCGTAATTGAAACGGTATTTTATATAGATATCGTCCTTGTCGTGTGTTCATAATAGATATCTTGGTGATGGATCCAAAGGACAGCAAACCCCTTTTGGTGAGCTCTGCAGCAGCAACAAAGTTGATATTAGGCACGCACCTCAAAAGGGATCAATAAATGTCTTTGACCTCCTTCACTGTGCATGATGTGTGTGGAGTTATGGACGTGATGGTGAAGCTATCCACAAGGGACAAGTGACAAGGCTGAGGTTTGTTTTCGACCTGGAAGCTATTTTATCAGCCTTGCGCTAACCCCCAAATTACAGCCAACCACATACACCATCTGCGCAATCATCTTCGGTAGAAATTTCAACCACCCAAAAACTTTAAAGTTTATCATTTGAGGCCGAGATCAGAGTACTCTGATCCTAAATAACCACCCCGAATACTTCAAAATGGCACCTAAATCTACCACTCTCACCACTAAGGTGCAAACTGGATCGCCGTACCAGCTTAACTCCGCGCAGGTATTTACCAATTCCCCCCACTGAATGCTTCAGGCACACGATAAGGATCCAGATTTTCTAACATCTTTTTCTTCAGACCTTGAAAGCCTCCAAAGCTCTCATCAAGCACATCAAGACCTCGGAGAAAGGCACCGCCGAGAAATCGGGCAAGCGCGACCTCCTTGCTGGCGACGATGAAGAAGACAGCGACGACCTCGACCAAATCCCCATCTGGCTCAACATCACGACCAAGAAGCACATCGTGGACACCAAGCGCCTGAAGCCCGGCAAGATCGCCCTCCCCCACTCCCTCAACTCCTCCCCCACCTCCACCATCTGCCTCATCACCGCCGATCCCCAGCGCGCCTACAAGGACATCGTCGCCTCGCCCGCCTTCCCCGCCGAGCTGCGCGCACGTATCACCCGCGTCATCGGCCTCAAGAAGATCAAGGCCAAATACCACCAGTACGAGGCGCAGCGTCAGCTGTTCGCTGAGCACGACTTCTTCCTCGCTGATGACCGCATCATCACCCAGCTCCCAAAGACCCTCGGGAAGACCTTCTACAAGACCACCACCAAGCGCCCAATCCCAGTCAACATGCAGGCTCCCGCCCCGCGCGCGGAGGGCAAGCGCGTCCCCAAGGCCCAGCGCGAGAGCGCTGAGAAGGTCTTGATTGAGCCTAAGCTCCTGGCGAAGGAGGTCGAGAAGTCCCTGTCTGGTGCGCTGGTTGCGTTGTCGCCCAGCACGCAGACTTCAGTGCGCATTGCGGCTGCGGGATGGAAGGCACAGGATGTGGCTGAGAACGTCGAGGCGGCTGTGAAGGAGATAATCGAGAAGTTCGTGCCGCAGAAGTGGAGAGGCGTGCGCGCTCTGCACATCAAGGGCCCTACCACCGCCGCGCTGCCGATCTGGCTTGCTGATGAGCTGTGGGTTGATGAGAACGACGTGCTTGAGGATGAGGTGGAGGAGACGGAGGAGGTTGCTGAGGCGAATATTGGGAAGAAGAGGAAGCGTGTTGCGGGTGAGGAGGAGACCGAGGAGTCTAAGACCGATAAGAAGGCGAAGAAAGAGAAGAAGGTGCTTCCGGAGAGTAATGATAATAATCTGGATAAGGAGATTGCGTTGAGGAAGGAGAAGCTGAAGAAGCAGAAGTCGGAGGCGGCTAAGAGCGTTGTTGATGAGCTGCCTATCCCAGCGGCGGCGAAGGCGGAGAAGAGCAAGTCGAAGAAGCGCAAGGCGTCTGATTAGAGGGTTGTAGTATGTGGAGCCAAAAAATGGAGCAAGGCAGAAACAGGCATGTGGCGGCGTTGATGGAGTTTTGGAAGATGCTAGTTATGACAGTGTAGGTTATTTTTGCAAAGCATAAGTAGAGGAGTACAAGACATCGAAAAAGTATTCTTATAAACACAGTCGTCTTATTGCCATGCAGCGTGATTAAGTGTGAACACGCCAAGTCTGATTGTATCAACCAATAGTGCTGTAACGTCTATATTCATACCATTCTATCTACGACTCCAAAACCATCCTCCAACGTATCCCCTCAGCGTCTAGGCCTCTTAAACCCCCTCTCATGCCTCGCCCGATACCCATCCCTCTGCCCATTCCTCCCATCCCTCCTATCCTCCCTCCTCCTCTCCTCACCCGCCAACGACCTCGGTACCACCGCCGCCTCCTCCTCAACCTCAACCTCATACTCCTCAAACTCATCCCTAAAATACTCCGCCACCACCTCCTTCTCACTCCTCGCCTGCCCCCCATCAAGCATGAACCTCACCGTCCCCTCCTGCCCCCTCGCCCCGCCCCTCCTCCCCGACCCCGCCGACCTCGGGGATAGCGTCGCCGGACTCGCCACATCTCCCGCCCCCGCCCCCGCCCCCTTCCCATTAACCCTCACCTCACTCGGACTAGCCGGCGTAATCGGCGTCTTCGGCGTCTTCAGCCCCAGCCCCTTCACGGCTCCATTCCCCTTTACCTCGCTCCACTCCCCGAAGCGCGGGAGACGCAGCTCCTCAGCCTCTTGGTTGAGCGCGATGCGGATACCGATGAAGCGCTCGAGCGTGTACTGGCTCCCTAGCTTCGTCGCTTTCTGGAAATGTGTGTAGAGTTCCAGCAGGTCGAGCATGCCTTCCATGACGTGGGCGCGGGGGACGCGCCATTTGGTCTTGTCAAAGGCGGCGAGCTGGTCTTCTTGCTTGGAGAGGAGGCGACAGGAGAGCTCGAGGCAGGCGAAGGACATGGCTGAGGAGGTGACTTTTAGGGGTGCGAAGGTGCGGTAGAGGTCGAGCATCATTTTGTATGCTAGTTTCACCACGTCTTTGTCGAGCTGACACCGTCGACCTAGCTTGATGAGGTACTTTTGTGGATATCGGTTTCGGTAATCGAAGCCGCTGGCCTCGAGCATGAGGCGCTCGAGACCGATGATGGTCTTGCTCGGCCCATCGAAGACGCTGTCGTCGGGGGCTAGATGTTCGGATGGAGAGCTGGTCTTGAGGTTGTGGGCTGCGCACAGGATCTCGCGGGACTTCTTCAGCGTATCTTCAATCTTGCAGGCGGCGAAGAGAGCAGCTGCCGCGGCGTCCGTAGAGGCATATTCTGTATCGCGGTGGACGAGCCGGAACTTGTGGTAGTAGATGACGGCGGTATCGAATGTGCGGACGGGTCTGGTAGAGAGGGTGTTAGCAAATCCACAATTAACTCACAAAGAGATGAGAGGTATAGACATACAGCTGAAGCGCTCGCCGAGTATCGTCAATCCATTGTACGCCTTGGAGTCTGAATGTATCCTCCCGTTGAGGGTTTGCGCCAGTAGCGATTATCTGCCCTTGAATCTTCTGCTCAAAAACGAACGGCTTCGCAACCTGTATATAGGACGGGTGGGGGCCTAGTTTCTGGCTGTATGTGACTTCTGCTGGAGCCATAGCTGATATCATTACTCGGCCAGCTGCGGCCTGGTTGTAAATGAAGAGTGCAGTTATAAGGCTGAGACTGAGAAGTGGTTAAGAGCAAACGTGCACGGACGATTGACAAGGCTGTGCCTGTCGTGGACCCATCCCCCACACCTTGGAGGCGAATCCAGGTGCTGACGACTCATGGTCTTGGCCTACCAACTCTCCTCCTACAACTCGAGCATAATCCTCACTCCCATGCCTTCCACAACATAGAAGCCGGCCTTCAATTCCATCACATCAACTCCAATCGACCATCATCAAAACCCACCCAAAATGTTCCAACTTCCCACTCTCCTCACCCTCGCCCTCGGGCTCGCCTCCACCACCACCGCCCTCCCCGCCACCATTGACGATGACTTCATCACCCCCCTCCCCCTCATAATCTGGCACGGCCTCGGCGACTCCTTCACCAGCGCCGGCATGCAAGAAATCGGCTCCCTCGCCTCCACCATCCACCCCGGCACCTTCATCTACAACATCCACCTCGACGCCAGCGCCTATGGTGACCAGCGCGCCACCTTCTTCGGCAACCTCACCACGCAACTCGAACAAGTCTGCGCCGACCTCGCCTCCCACCCCATCCTCTCCACCGCCCCAGCCGTCGACGCGCTGGGCTTCTCGCAGGGCGGACAGTTCCTGCGCGCGTACGTGCAGCGCTGTAATCTTCCGCCCGTGAGGAGCCTGGTTACCTTCGGGAGCCAGCATAATGGGATTACGCAGTTCCAGACCTGTGGGCCGAGTGACTGGTTGTGTAAGGGCGCGAATGCGATATTGAGAGGCGGAGCGTGGTCAGCGTTCACGCAGTCGAGGTTGGTGCCAGCACAGTACTTCCGGGATCCGGAGGATATGGAGAATTACCTCGCGAACTCCAATTTCCTAGCCGATATCAATAACGAGCGGGAGGTGAAGAATGAGGAGTACGCGGCGAACTTGCGGAAGTTGGAGAACTTCGTGATGTACATGTTTGATGAGGATGTGACGGTGGTGCCGAAGGAGTCGGCGTGGTTTGCGGAGGTGAATGGCACGGAGGTCACGCCGTTGAAGGAGAGGAGCATTTATACGGAGAATTGGCTGGGGTTGAAGGAGTTGGATGAGGCGGGGAAGTTGAAGTTTTTGACGGTGGAGGGCGGGCATATGAGGTTGAATGATGAGGTGCTTAATAGCACTTTTGGGAATTTCTTTGGGCCGGAGGGCAGATCCTTCGATCATGGCAAGAAGCAGCAGGGACCTGAGGAGCTGTAGATCAGCATCCGATATGTTATAGTTATGGTGTAAGGCAAGGTCGGCGTTGTGGCTAGGTTTGGGTTATGGAGAATTGGTGTATTTGCTAAACCCAATGTTTTATCAAATGCCAGAGCGGGTTCTTCTGCGAGTGGCTTGCAGCTTACTCCGAAAATGAAAGCTGGAACAGCAAGTTATCTTTGAACCAGCTCATCTCGCATTGTTCACACTGTCTTTCACTACCCATAAGTTTTAATTTGAAGGCGTTTTATTTCTGAATATCTAGTGCATCGAAAGCGGCCCTGACAACGAGGAACCACCTACAGCTGGGAACTTGTACACCAAAATAACCCCTCCCTACCCTCCAGTAAAAGAGACACTTCCCACACGCTCACTCAATGCAACTCCCCCCATCCTCCGTCCCAAACTCTCCCTACAATTTCATAACCGACAACACGCGGCTCAATGTCCGCTGTCCGTGTCGCACCACCCTCCTCCCTCTTCGTGGCGCTTCCCATATATCCCACCAATTTTTCCACAGACACTTTGTTCCTCCCAATCCCACCCGTCCCATATATTTCGACCTGCGATAACAAAACGCAGACCATGCTCACCAACACGACCTGCGCCGACCCCAGTCCTTGTCTCTACAAAGGTGTCCTCTCCCCTCCAGACTTAGTTCGTCTTCCTGGCAGGCGCCGGGCCACGACCAGCGTATCGGCCAAGATCAGTCACATCGTGGAACTGCTTAGCCCCACCCTTGATGGTCTCCCACACCTGTCTCACGACCGGGGGAATCCCCTGACCGCCAACAAGCGAATCCACTCTCGCCGCCAGGCTCTGGAACTGGAACTTGACGAAGCTGCTCTGGGAGAGGCGAGCGCGGAGGAACGCCGTGTACAGCGTCAACAGGATCCAGGAGCCGCGGGAGAAGATGATAGCTGAGCCGAGGAGGCGGAACCACAGCACGATCTCGAGGACGGCAACGAGGCCCATGGACTGGTCATAGTAGTCCTTGACGAAGTGGCCGATGCGCTCAGCTAGCGCGGAGGGCTTGTAGACTGGCTTTGCGGAGGGCGAGGTGCCTGCTGGCGGCACGACGGTGGCGGGGGGGTTGATGGTGGGGATGAGGTTGGTGCGCGAGTAGGTCGCGACGTGGAAGACGGAGTAGACGCCGAAGGGGAGCATGGCGAGGGGGTACTGGGGGGAGAAGAGCCAGACGAGCGCCATCACTGGGGGGGAGATTAGCACATGTCCGTCTAGAGGCCAAAAAGGCCAAAAAGGCGGTCAATGACGTACCTAGGTATTGGACATTCTCGTCCGCGGCGAAGGAGAGGAGTCCTGGCTGGGCCTTGCTGCCGGGGCGGTTGCGCGCGCGGAATGCCTTGTAGACGACAATGCCGTAGGTGGCTGCGGCGGAGACGAAGGCGGTGCGGTACGAGAATTGGGCCCACGTCGAGTAGTAGTTGAAGGTGAGATATGACAAGCTGTAGCGGAGTATACAGAAGAGTAGCGACAGGTGCCTGCGAGCTTCATGTTAGCTATTTATTCCCGTTGGGGCAGCACAGCTATTTGCTGTTCTGCGGGGTATTTTTTCTGAGCTCTGGCCAGGTATCTCGGATGTGTTTTCGAGCTTTTGTGTCGCTTGGAAGCTCGAGAGGACTCGGAATAAGAAAAGTTCGACGTACCCGACAAACCAAGCAACTGAATATTCAATTAGCATGAGCGATCAAGAGTAACAGAGAGCGCATAAACGTACATTGCAGTGTCTGCGCCAGGGCCAGTAGCCTCTGGGACAACGGCAGAGCCGAGTTAGGTGGTGGAGGCATGGCGACGTGATCTGGCCTGTGTGAGCTTTCGAGTTCGGGGAAACCACGTAGCGCAGCTAGAGCAGAGTTGTAATTACCAGAAGGTTAAAGTATTTGAAAGTCGGGGAGCAGAGAGTTCGCAGGGTCTGTAGGGTGGAACGAGAGTTATGGAGGTAAGAAGAGGTGGAGGAGCGAGGCCACGAGTTTGAGGTGGTCGATGTGAGGAGGCTGGGCTGCGCAGTCTAGTCGCACAGGTTAGCTGCTGCCATTCGCTTTGCCGTCATAGGGCGATTAGGAGCGATTATGGAGCTATGGATCCCGCACACTCACCCACAATAAACCACAATAAACCACAATACTTTATTTAATATAAATTTTGTGCTTGAAGCTGAAAGGTTAATATATTTTGGGATTCTATTTGGTTATGCACGAAGGGAAAATTAAGGGCAAAGGGCAAAGGGATTAATTGCTTTTGGAGGTGTAGAACAGTGGTGCCAGCAATCGTGTGACCGCGCTGCCTTGGTCATTTATTGACATTCTTGTCTTATTCAGTATTCCGTTCCCAGTACAAGCCACTGTTTCGTCATAGGGACGCCTCAGCCACAACCGTCAATGACCGAAGTTTATGTACACTTGTCTGGACCAGAGTATGAAGTGGGGTGTACGTGGGGATCCTCTACAGCTGGACAAGCATATTAATTGTGACTATGCGTCCATGTTTTACAACAATTCTGTCTATCAGAGGAGGAAGTTGCATTGATCGAATAAACTCTTGAAATGCTTCCTTCATTAAAAAGTGTTACTCTAGGGAGTTAGTTGTAGAGAGTAGATAAGACTCAATCCCATGTGATTCCGTATATATAAGCCACAAACTACGACTGAATCCGGCACCAAATTCCAATCAACTCAAACCAAACCCCCCTCCTTGGTGATTGCCTATTGTTCACAGCGGACGTCACTATTATTAGTATTCACCTATCTCAGCCGCACCAGTCACAATTAAACTCCCATTCAAATAAGACAATCTGATTGTTCTTCTACTTCTACGGAGCGAGGAGGAGAGAGAGTAGTAACTAAGGTGAGTGATGCAGAAAACTAAAAACGACTAAAGAGAACCCCGCGATAAGGGGTATGACGTCGACTATTTACAACCAGTAACTCCCTAATTTGCCAACTCCCAGTTCCCTGCATTGGGTATTGTGTGTTTGTGTGTGTGTGAGAGAGAGTAGAGGTATTGGCGTCCATCCACCCCACTGTATGACCCACCGAACCCGCGGGGTCGAGCCAAAAATCCAGTCTTGTAAGCTCGTAGCCAGGGCCGGTTCTCACTTTAGAGCCCCACAGCTCCCATCCCATCAGTACCACCGGTGCGGAAGAACTCTGCCACGACGCCGACGGCGTATGATAGTCCACCAACCCATACGGCTCCGATCAAGAGCCTCTTGACCTTCTTCTTCCCCTTTTGCCTTCGTGCGGCTCTATCGTACCATTCCTGGTCTTTCCAGCCGGATCCTGAGCTACCGTAGGTGTGGCTTTCTTGGCCAGATTCCGTCCCGGATTTGATATGATACTCGGGAAGATCGTGGTTCACGAAACCAGTTGGGCTGGCAAAATTGCCTGTCGCGGGGCGGATGGATTGCATTCCGTCGATTGGGTTTGTCATATTTCTAGCCTGAGTTTTTGTCTCGGCTTTGGCTGCTGGACTCCCCTGAGGCGGACCATCGCGGACCTTTCTGAACACAAGCACATGTCCATCCCCAGAGGCAATTTCATAGCCCTCGTCAAGAAGCGGCGCAATATGTGGAAGGAAACTTGCTGGTTTTGATAGCCTGGGCAGGACCGAAGCTGGCGAGAGAGGCTTTCTGTGGCCGGGAGGTACGATAGATGTCGTTTCAGTGGTCAGAATGGATTTGGTGTCTGGGTTATAGGCGACAATCTTGTAGAGCGTTGGTTGCTGTTCTGCTGCGCCGTAGGAGTCCTGATATATGCTCACTAATTCCTTGACGAATGCCGACTTCAGTCTAGCCTCCTCGCCTTTGATATTTACTTTCTTGCCTTTAGATCCCTTCACTGCTTTTGCAGTTGGCGGCAAATCTGTGCCGTATGAAGAAACAAACACAAATGACTCGGGCTCTCCATCCTTAGCGCTGGAGCCAGCTTGGTCTTGCTTCAGAGATGAAGGCTCGGAGGCAGGTATCTTTCCAGCTTCACGTTTGTCTAGCTCGGCAATCTCCCTGAGGCGGGCATTTACTTTCCCACGAAGATGTCCCTGGTGGTTCAGCAATTCGCTTCTTTCAATCTCAAACTCCTGAGCACGTTCGCGCGCGGCACGGATTTTATCACTCTTTGCAACAGCTTCAATATCCTTTGAGAATTGGGTCGAGGATGCTTCAAAATCCTCTTCCATCTTTCTTCTCCTGGCCTGTTTCTCTTTCTTGGACTCTTTCCTGGAGCTCTTTATTATCTTAGACGATGTATCCTTTTCCTGCTTACCGGATGATTTTTGTTCGGCGGTGTTCGGTACCAATTGGGCAGCACGCTCAGCGTCAAAGTCTTCATCGAAGAAAAAGTTGTCATTTTCAAGCCTGGGTTCCCATTTCTGGTCAAATTCGTTAAGAGCTTTGTTGACTGGGTCTGCTGGAGGTGGGAAATGTCCATCTGGCTCGTTATGTCTGAAAGGTACGTAAGCATCAAGCTCAGGGTCCCATTTCTGATCGAACTCGTTTAGAGCCTGTTCTACAGGGTCAACTGGTGGTGGAAAATGTCCGTCTGGCTCGTTGTGTCGGAAGGGTACGTAAGCATCAAGCTCAGGATCCCATTTCTGATCGAATTCATTTAAACCCTGCTCTACAGGGTCAGGCGGTGGCGGAAAATGCCCATCTGGTTCATTGTGTCTGAAAGCGGTGTACGCTTTAAGCTCGGGATCCGATTTCTTATCAAGATCATCCAGAGCTTGGTTTACAGGGTTGGGTGGCGGTGGAATATGTCCATTTGGCTCATTGTGGCGGAAAGCTGTGTAGGCCTTAAGCTCGGGGTCCCATTCCTGGTCGAACTCATTCAAAGCTTTGTTCACGGGGTCGGGTGGTGGTGCAAATTGTCCATCCGGCTCGTTGTATCGGAACGGCTTGTAAACTCCAAGTTCATCTGCCAGCTGTCGTCTGTTTCCCAAGGTCTGCCCAGCAGAATCTGCTGACACTGGTGGGTGTCCATCTGGCTCATTGTGCCGGAAAGCCTTATAGATGCCAAGCTCTTCCTTTAGCGATCGCCCATTGTTTAGAGCCTGCTCAACAGGGTCTGGCGGCGGTGGAAAATGTCCATCTGGCTCATTATACCGGAAAGGCTTGTAGATGCCAAGTTCTTCCTCTAACGGCCGTCCATTATTCAGAGCCTGTTCAACAGGATCTGGTGGTGGTGGAAAGTGTCCATCTGGCTCGTTGTACCGGAAAGGTTGGTAGTCGCCAAGCTCCTCTTCCAACGGCCGCCCATTGCTTAGAGCCTGTTCAACAGGATCTGGCGGCGGTGGGAAATGTCCGTCTGGCTCATTGTGCTGGAAAGGTGTGTAAACCCCGAGTTCCTGCTCTACCGTGCGTCCATCCCGGTATAACTCGCTGTCTGTAACATAGGTGCCTTGACTTTGAGAAGCGGTTGTTGCCAAGCCATCAAGTGCAGTCTTAGTCGATTGTTTGGGAAGGGGTTGGGGGCCTGGGAATTGTGAGACTGGGGGTCCATGATCGTAGAATTTTTGGTTCGGGATATGGCTCGCTGGGGTGTCGGTCTGGGGGCTCAACGTGCTAGAATCTTGTTTGAAGACCTTTCGATTTGTAATTGGATCGATTTCGTATTTCAAGTTAAATAATCCGTCGCTGCTTGGGGTCCGGCCACTGTGTCCATCTGTCGTGGCCTTACGCGAGGTATTGATGGACCCTGAAGTAGCCCGGGCAAGGTTTGAGGCTGTTCGGGTGGCGTCATTCTTGAGTTTCTGCAAATTAACCCTAGATTTGTCTTCATAGAATGCGCTGCACATGAAACTCTTCATACTAGAGTTGCTGATGTGCAACCTGTGATGGCGGTTTCGGAGAAGCTTTCGATTGAGGGCTTCGATGTACGCACTCTTCGAAATCTTGTGGCACGCCTGGTGACCACGCGAGCCAGGCTGGAGGTTCCATGACCAGAATTCAAGCCTGATCCCTCGAGTCTGTTCGTGACGCCAGGGTGATCTTGAAACTGTAGTCGATATGACTGCCCTCGATGATTGAAGCTGTGGCAACAATGCCGTCCGGCCGGCCGGACCGAGATGTGACGCGATCATTGCAACGGCTGCCTCTCTTGTATCATGCTAGCAATCACAATCACTCTTTCTGTAGATGTCAGCAGTTATTCGCAATACCAAACGAGAGGGCATCAAGAAGCCAAGGACCTCGCGTTGGGTAGACAACAGAGAGAGCGCTTACCCGATCACGATGTCGATCCTTCAATGAAGCTGTCGTATCGGCTGAGATGCTGTAATACCTCAGTTCTCAGATAGGGAACGAGGGCTTATATGATTGATGGGTATGAAATTGAAGGTACTCTGTACAAGTATGTACGAGAGAAGGCAGGAACAGAGAGAAGATGTGTGTGTCAATAGAAGGGCTGAATGGTCTTGCCATGGACCTTGTAACCAATATTCGTGGTGGTCTTCCAACTGTTACTGTGACCAGCCAACACGAATGGATCGAACGGGGCGGGGTAGCCTTACTCCACACTCACGGACGCTCTTTATCCGCTAAGGTGACAAGGTACCAAGGTCCTCTTATCGGCCCAGAGATCGTATGAGGGATGAGGGGCGACTAGAGATTGCTCAAGATTAGTATACCAGTATTTGAAGCCCATAGATATTATTTATTTACCTCTGTTTATGAGTAAATGGTTTATTTATTAAGCCCAACTAATTAAAAGCCCTTTGTATTTACTATTGCTGTAATCGCCGTTTCCTTATCTCCAGTCCCTCTTTAGACTTCCGGGCGGCACGAGTACCTGGGTACTTGCGCCATACGCTTGTGTCACAATCGGTCTAGCGCACAACTATGACGGTTGGGCTGGTCACGTGCCAAATGCCAAGACCCTTTGCTTAGTGTGACGCACGCGGCGTAGGCGGGGGACGGTTCCAAATCAAAAATATACTTTTTGAACAGCTATACTATACCCTCAACTCTTCAACCCCAGCGCAACGGGACGACAAAGATATTGGCGTGCGTTATAATACTGGGCATAGATTGTATATATTCCTAGACGAACCTCGCAGACGAAACAAAGCTGTCTACCTGCCGACGACAAGGATGACGCCGATTTGAATACCCCGCAACGAGCTACCCCGAGCTACTTTTATTAACAAGGCTCGACCCCGAGCGATCTAGGCTCTTTGCGTCCTCTCTACAATATCAACCCCGCTACGATGAGCAAAAAGCAGTTCAAGTCCCAGGCCTCCAGTAGCCGGGCCGTTTTTGGCAATGGCGCTGGGTTTGGCGGGTTTGGATTAGGAGCTACAAGGAGCACGCTCTCATACCTGACAGAGCCGCCGAACCTCACCTCCATATCTGACCCGAATGTTGTAGTGGCGTTCAAGAACTTGTTGAAGAAGGATAGCACGACGAAGGCCAAGGGCTTGGAAGACCTCCGCCTACATGTCCTCTCAAGTCCGCACGAGCAGGGCGGAGGCGTGGAACAGTCTATACTGGAAGCTTGGGTGCGTCTCTTATTACGTTTAGAAGGCCAACGCCTGCAATGTACTATTTTAGTAATATATCTCATAGGTCAAATTATATCCTCGCATCTCAATAGACAATTCCCGCCGAGTACGTGAGCTGTCTCACACCTTGCAATATGAGCTTCTCAAGTCAGCCAAGAAGAGCATGGAGAAATTTATACCCAATATTGTTGGAGCCTGGTTAGCTGGGACATATGATAGGGACAGGCCAGTGTCGAAGGCAGCTTCCGATGGCTTGAACTCTTTCTTCGGCACCGAAGAGAAGATGCTCTTGTTCTGGCGGCGTTGCCAGGTCCAGATCCTTGAATTCGCACAAGAAGCTATTTTGGAAACACCCGAGACTCTTAGTGACGAGAGAACTGTGAACGCCGACGAATCCCAAGCCAAATTTGACAGGGTTGTTGGCGCGAGTCTCTCCCTTGGCATCAATCTCCTTACGAAGCTCTCCAAACAAGACATCAAAAAGCATGAGGAGGACTACAAGAAATTTATTACAGGCAACAAGATACTCTGGGGCTTCATTGCCTCCAAGGATTCATTTGTTAGACGGACTACTGCTCAACTCGTTTTGATATGTCTGGAAAAGCAACCTGACTTCATCGAAGAGGATCTTGAAACTATTGGCACCACATTTATTGATACGGGTCTTCGCAGTCCCCAGCTAAGTTCTTCGCTAGCATTTACCCATGCCCTTGGGAAACTGACAGCAACCTTTCCCTCTGTGTGGACTACATCATACAAAGGGAAGAAGGCTCCCTTGTCCCGACTTCGGCGCTTCGTCGAGAAGGGTTCTCAGCTTGGGCCTGCCGATTATTGGAAGGCTTTGAACTTTTTGCTGGCCCATTTACCTTCAGGTGTTTTACCTACAGATATTACTGGAGCTACGGATTTCCTTAAATCTCTTGGTGATGGCATATCAATTAGGGATGAGCCGAGGTTGAATATCCCGACTGCATGGATCTGCTACGTCAACACCGTGAGGCAGTTGCAAAAGCAGTTGACAGACCCCAAGGACCAAAACCAACTCCTGGTGGCCACTGTCTACCCCCTATTCGAGCATTTTATCCGACCAACACCAGAGGGTAATCGCTGGGCTACAAGCAATAGCACAGCGGCGCTTGCAAAAGCGTTCCACCTATGTGCCGCTTCTGAGGCTCGCCAGTCCGATGCACCTTTAAGCCAAGAATGGAATCGCCTTGCAAACGAAGTGATTACTGGTATTCAGACATCACTTCCTGAGCAGTCAAAGGATTTTGAGAAGTCGCAGGCATCTGTGGCCTCGGAAGCGCACCGCTGGTTTAAACTGCAAGCTGAGATTTGCAAATACTCCGGGGCTGATCGTGCGGATGCAGAATTGTATAAGCATATTCTTATTGAAGCAAGCGCTTCCATCATAAGTCGTTCTTTGGAGGTGCTTTCTGCAAGGAATGGCAAGCCATTTGGCGCTGCAGGAGCTATAGAGGGTGCTTTGCGACTTGCACCCGACGTTGTCCTGGGCTCTACATCATCGGAAGAAGCCATAACCTCATTTTTGAAGACAGAGCTTTCAAAGCTCGTGACTTCTCCATCAGCACCGTATCTTATCTCATCTCTCAAGCTGCTTTGCACATTCCCTGGACAAGAGGCCGTTTGTTTGGCAATATGGGAGTCAACCATTAGTGGCCTTATAAATCTGCCTAACAGCACGCAGCAAGCAGTTGCAGCAGAAGCTCTTATCTCGTTTGGATTCATTAGCGAAGCAGCTCAGAAAAACGACGTCGTGCAGCAATTTCTCTTCTCTTCTACGTCGAGGTTTTTGCAGAACGGGGAAGCGGAATGGCGCCGTGTATTTGAAGCGGCTATCAAGTTCAATTGCTTTAGCGATGCTATAGATGCCCGGGTACTCGATACCATCACCGATGGTTTGGACACAGAAAATGCTGGATTTTTTAATGCAGTTGATGCTTTGGAATATGTTGTTGCTCATCGCCCGCAATTGTTGGAAGAAAGGGGAACGAGACATATCACGGTAATGACGAAGTTACTTGAGCTGGGCGAATCGGGACATCCTGGAGTGGTCTCCAAAGTAGGCTCTCTTAGAGCTGATATTGGTAATATTGGAACTTCTGGTGGACTTCCGCACGATAAGGGGTCGCCCATTGTTTCTATCATTCAAGAAAATCTGGAGAGTGTGGGACCGCGATCTCTGAGCATCGATACTCTTGTGGCTCAGGCAGAAGGGGTCGCCACTTCCAACGGGACCGCATCAGTCTCGGACTTGTTCCCAGACAAAGAGAATTGGCAAGAAGCACTTCGTCCGATACTTTTCGCCTGCGGAAAAGATCTTTCGTTATCTTTGACAAATATCCTCGGTGGCACTATTGCGTTGGCTTCTCCTGATGACTCTTCGTCGTCCGCCCCAATAGAAAGGGACTTAGATGGCTACTCTGCGGCTCTCCGAATGGCAATCTACAGCTCGAAACTCGTTGCACAGGAAAACATTCTGAAGAATGTGCCAGTCAGCGTTCAGATCGACATTATCTACCTACTCTGCTTAACAGTAGAGGTTGCAAACGACCAGCTCGGACTTCGACGAGGCGATCTGCTCTGGTCATCCCTAGATGAGCCCGATATTGAAGGCGACATCCAAGATTTCATCGCAACGTCCCAACGTGCTCTCGCCAAGATTCTGGACAAATCTGATGATTGGCTCCATGGCGAGGGGTCAGACATGGGCCACGCATTGGTTTCACGTCTACTCGAGGAATCGAAGGGCAACTCAACGACCGCATTTTATGCAGGCCGTGTTCTAGCCAATGTGCTATCCAGCCTTGTCGAATCGCACGGCTGGCACATGGCGGGTGGCGAGGATTGGCTGACATCCACAGATGCGCTCAAGTCGTCTACCCCGAACGGCTTCACCGCCGTTGCAATTCTGGCGGGCCTCAAGGAGAGTCTTGGATCTAGCAAGATTGTGAATAATCTGTGCAACCGTCTTGTCAGCGATGTTACTGGTCTATCTTTAACAAGTGCTAAGGCACCTCTTCTTCTGAGCCTTATGAACGCGGCATTAGCTGTTTACGACCAAGACAGCCTCCCAGTAGCGAATAACAGACTCGTCTTCGCAGTTAAGCAGATCACTGGCTGGCTGGAACAACCAGAGATTTTACACCCGGTACTCGCAGCACAAGCTTCTCGGAGTTTACAACTGCTGTTGCCGGGTATCAGCGAGGTGTACGGCCCATACTGGCAGATTACTATCGATTTCTGTGTCGCTTTCTGGAATTCCAAGCCGGTTATGCGGAATGCTAATATCTTCCTTCCTGCAATTCATACGACTTTGAGATTGATAATTCTGCTCAGGGGTCTCGAGGAACCGAATGACGACCTCGTGGAAGCGTTGGAAGATGCCGAACACGAGATATCACAGGGGATGGTCACCCTTTTGGCCTTGAATAGACCAGAAGTGGAGACTCAACCGTGGAGAATTGTGAACGAGTTGATATACAGACAGGTCACAAAGGTGCCCTTGAAACACATTAAAGACCTCTCTGATCTCTACCCCCTCGTAGCATCAGACTTCCCAGTCATCCAATCAGCCGCCTTCGGGATCCTACACCGCGCACTCCCAGCCGCCCAAGGAGATATCTCCGTCAACGTGCTCCTCGAGAAGAAAGACGCCCAACTCCCCGAAGAACTCTGTTCCCTCCTCCTCGAAGTCCCTCAAATGGAGAACTTCCCCGACGACATCCTATCCCAGTTCCCCCCACCAATCCGCACCTACCTCCTCTCCTGGCACCTGATATTCGACGCCTTCTCCACCGCCTCCCACAAAGTCCGTAACGACTACACCACGCAACTCAAAGCCGAGAACCTCATCACTCCCCTCCTAAACCTCCTCTTCGATATCCTAGGCCACTCGGCTGGTAAGCCGCTTAACCTCGATCGCGCGCGCCTCAAATCCGACGCTATACGCGCTTATGATATGGACATTGCATCCGCCGAGCCAGACGAGTATAACATGCACTGGCTCCTAGTGCACCTCTACTACCTCTGTCTCAAATTCACCCCCGGCCTCGTCAAAAGCTGGTATCTAGAGTGTAAATCCAAGCAAACCCGTCTCGCCGTCGAATCCTGGACCGAGAAATCCTTCAGCCCCCTCGTCATCGTCGACACGCTAGATGATGTTGAGATCTGGGCCGAGGGGCTGGAAGAGCCGCCAGAGGACGAGAAGGAGTTGATTGTTAAGGTGTCGAAGAAGTCGAGGGAGGTGTATGCGGGGTATGAGGTTGATGAGATGACGATGCAGATTGCGATTCGCTTTCCGCCTATTTACCCGCTGGAGAGTATTAAAGTCGATGGTGTGAATAGGGTTGCTGTCTCGGAGAAGAAGTGGCAGAGTTGGTTGATGATTATTCAGGGCGTTATTACATTCTCCGTGCGTTACTCACCCCTCTCCCCCCTCTCCCCCCAGATAAGAAACAAACTAACACTACCACCCCAGAACGGCAGCATAACCGACGGCCTCCTCGCCTTCCGCCGCAACGTCACTGGTGCGTTGAAGGGGCAGACTGAATGCGCTATCTGCTACAGCATTGTGTCGAGTGACAAGAAGATGCCTGATAAGCGCTGTCAGACTTGCAAGCATCTGTTTCATAGCAGTTGTTTGTTTAAGTGGTTTGCGAGTAGTAACCAGAGTACGTGTCCGTTGTGTAGGAATCCGTTTAATTATGGGACGGATGTTGAGAAGAGGGCGAGGAGGAGGGGGGGCCCAGAAGTGTAGATGGGGGGTTGAGGGGCGTTTTGAGAGGGGGTAGGGGTAGATATAAATAAATCATTTGTGAAGGCTGGAGTATGTTTTGTTGCTTTGAAGACGTGTTTATCTGTGAGTTTCTGTGAAAATATGTTGCTTTATGAGATTCTGTGAAAATATATTTTTCGGTGAGTTTCTCAGATATAAAAAGCTTTGGTTGAGATCTAAGTGATCTGACTGGTCAACAGGAACTCAACAGAAGGTATTGTGTTGTGCATAATTTTATATTTTACTTTCTTTGTTTCTCCTACTCGTTTGTGCAAACGCACTTTGCGTCCTCTGTTTATCCTGCTCAGTCGTGCAAACACATTTGGCAGCTTATCTATCTACTCCAGCTTGTTGTTTCGCCCGTCTGCACCTCTCTTGCTTACAACCCCAAAGGGACCCAACTTTCTGTTTCTTCTCCTGTTTACAACCTCGTCAAGCCACCTCAGGTTCACCATCCAGCAGCATCCAACAAGTCATAATTGGTGCTTGGGTCACCACGTTTTCATTTTCACTCAGAAGCCACCATCCCATTCAAAACCTGTGGATCCACACTGTATGTTCTTTAGTGTGCACAACTGTTTTGTTGTCTATGTTACTAACTTCTCTAGATTGCTACGATGGACCAGAAAGGCAGCAACCAGATTCGGGACTTCGAGTACGACATTGGAAACTCGGACCATATTGAATTTTTGCGATTAGCCAACGAAGTTGGCTGCCTACCTCACGGCCCAGATCATCATATTTTGCAACGTGGATTGGGAAGTCAAGGTCGTTACACTATCGATGCCCTCTTTCAAGGCGAAAGCTTCAAAGTAGTTCCGCTCCTCGCCAACAACTTTGAGCATCAGCATCTCATCCACTCCGGGCTTTTTATTAAATTGTTCCCTACCACCTTTCTGGATTACCTTAAATACGGTTTGCACACTCGCGAAGTTTATTTCTCTTTGGAAGACAGCAGCTCTATTACGCTCCTTATGCAGGGTGTTGAACAGGCTCTTCGTGAAGCTTTTGATCCGTCATCTACTCAAATTGAAGTATCCCCCAAGAAAAACTTCAGTCAGTAAGTCAAAATACCCAGCACTATACAATAGCAGCTATCTAACGAGTCATAGGTTGATGGGCCGGGAGACAGTGGAGATAATTGTTGGGGAAGGAGAGGATGCAAAGGAATTTGTGGTTCATAAGGAGCTCCTCATGGACAAGGTTTCCTTCTTCAAAAAGTTGTTTGACGGCGGGTTTCTTGAATCGTCAGCGGTCTCGGCAACCCTACCTGAAGATAACCCAGACGCATTTGAAGTTTTCGTCGAATGGGTCTATTGCTCTACTGTGAAATCTCTCCATAGCGTGGGACGTTCTAAATATGATCAGGCCGACCTGGCAATCTCGACAGTTGTGCTTGCAGAGAAGTACATGCTACCTGACCTTGGTGACTGTGCCATGAGCTTTCTTGCCAAAATCGGGGAGGATTTGGTGCCAACAATGTGTCAAATGAGCACGCTCTACAACAAGACTCCATTCACATCAAAGGCACATCTGTATGCTGCGAGGACGGTTGCATGGGCTTTGGTTAAACCAGAAACCAACGGAGTGTCTAATGCTTCGATACACGATGCCTGCCAAGATAGCGACTTGTTGCTCGACGCCATCAAAGAAGTGAGAGGAACATCTGGTCCCAGTCATAAAAGTGCTCATGACCATTCAGTCTGTGACTACCACAATCACCCCGAGATGCTTCAATGTCCGTACAAGGAGTATGAACGGACTTCCAACGATCAGAACGAGTGCTCGGACTACGACCGGAGCATCAAACGGGGCAGGCACAACAGACGCGGCAGGTAAATCTAACAAAATAACCACAACCAGCACAGACAGCATAGATAGCATAGATAGCATAGCTGCTATATGCAACTAATTCAATACAGAAAGTTTTTCGCATAAGAATCTCCGTCTAAATAAATACCTGGCTCATGAGAATTTGATATCAGGTCCCGCCATATTTTGTATGAGATAAGAATGCCCTTCACAATATGCTATGCCTGGTCCCGAGCCCATTATTATTACGATTAATATACGAAGTAGTGCACCCTCTGTACTTGTAAGACGATAAATCACAGTATGTAAGAGCAGTGTGAGTGATGGATATTATATTGTGCTGTACCGCATAATTGACGCCGTTATCTGAATCTTATTTTACAGTGGCGCATGGCCTAGTACTTGTGTGAATACCCCGAAGTGGTATTCATCATACTTATTTACTATGCTCTATAAGAGGATGTCGAGATTTCGATTATAATGCCAATGGCCCTCTGAGTTAACCAGCCAGTTGGACAACTATACGATAGCAGCCATGTCTCAAAAAGCCAGTTCCAAAAGAAACAACAAGCAAGCTTCCCAAGTAAAACCCTCGTCATTGCCTCCTTTATTTAGTGAGTGAGTATTGGAACCCAATGGTAGGATATATTCGATATTCTAACAATAAAGGACATTTGGCACAGAAACCGTCCAGATCACAGTCGGCGACGATGGATTCAAGCGCACGTTTACTGTGCACAAAAATCTCCTTGCCTCAAAATCAAGATTCTTTTCCGCCATTTTCGACAGCAACTTCCTTGAAGCCGTAACATCAAACGCTTCTTTTCCCGATGACGATCCGAGCGCATTCGAAGCGCTCATGGAGTGGATTTACTACGACAGTCTGAAAACCATAGGTCTCAATAGCAACCATACACAAGAAGAGGGGCGGGAGAATATGAGAAAGATAATAGCGACATTAGGACTTGCGGATAAATATTGCATTGATGAGCTGGCGGATAGGTGTCTAACAATTCTATACCACCGCTCGAGGGAGTACGTTAGTTGCAAGTTGGACCTCGACATGATTGCCTTCATCTATGAAGAAACCGGCCCGATATCCATGGCAAGAAAGTACGCAGCATCTGAGCTAGCAGCTGCAGTTACTGCCACGTCCGTACTGGACCTAAGGGTCCGTTCGAAATCTGCTATTATTACAGCCTTGAGGATATCAGAAATCTGCAAGCAGAACCGGGATATTTTAGATGACTTATTCAAGGCTATTACAGCAAGGCCACAGTCTCCTGGGCCAACTACGGGAACATGCCAATTCCACCTGCACCCAAAGGTTGCGGTATGTCCATACCGCGGAATGGACGAAGAGGTTGCTGTCCGCCCAAAAGAAGACAGCTTGTACTGTGGCTGCGGGAGGTCAAGGTCCAGATGTAACGATAGACAAGCAAGGACTGGAAAACGGTGTCCTGCGTTTGGTAGACCGAGATAGAGATTGGCTGGTATTGATTGAACTGAAGCCAGGTAGGAGAAAGGCTTGTAGTATTTAACAACATCCGTCGTTAATTTATTTCTTCATTTTTATTATTGGTAGCTTGATAAAAATAACCCCAGGGACGGTAGCACCGTAGATCAAGAGTATGGTTTCAGGCCTAACTTCATAATTTTTGTATATATATTGAGAATATTGCTCTCATAGTTGGATAACTTCCAATGTTAAAGCTAGAAATAACGGCCTGTAGTTGGAGCTTGGTGCTATCACGTGCAAGTTAGCTACGGCAGAATCGCCCCGTTAGTCTTACCGCCCACCCCACCCTCGGTATAACGACAATACTGGGGAACGGTTGGCTTGCCGTGGAATCATATTCATGTCCGGCCGGTTCTACAGACAACGAAGCACTCCGAGTATACGACTACTTCACAACAATGCTAGACTTCGCTTTTCCTTGATACCTTATTTCTACTGAACCGAAAGACAGTACCGCCAACATAAATCGACACGGCGCATAGCCCTACCCCGCAAATATGTTGCAATTCCAAACGCAAGGCTATAACGGCTATGCCGTAAAATACTCGCCATTCTTTGATTCTAGGATTGCTGTCTCGGCATCTATGAACTTTGGACTTGTAGGCAATGGCCGACTTTATATTTTAAACCTCACACCGAATGGCATTGTTGCCGAGCAAACGTAAGTCCTGGACCACTCCGATACCCCGCGCCCATCCCACCCGACATTGCGCTTCCGGAGCTCATACTGACAATACGCACAGATATGACACACAAGACTCCCTCTTCGATACAGCCTGGTCGGAAGCGCACGAGAACCAAGTAGCTGTCGGATGCGGCGACGGCTCAGTCAAGCTCTTCGACATCTCCGTCCCACAATTCCCCGTCCAGTCGTGGCAGGAGCACAAGCGCGAGGTTTTCTCCGTATTCTGGAATCTAGTCGCCAAAGATACCTTTGCATCCTCCTCATGGGATGGAACAATCAAGATTGTATGCTCCCCAACCCCCCTTGGATTAACCTTCCAACTAACATATTCAGTGGTCACCACATCGCCCCCAATCCCTCACCACCCTCCCCACCCACTCCTGCACCTACTCCACAGCATTCAGCCCTCACTCCCCGTCCATACTCTCCTCCGTCTCCTCCGACTCCCACCTCCGCATCTTCGACCTCCGCACCCCCACCTCCGCCGCAAACCACCTCGTCTCCTCAATCCCCATCCACACCCCCCTCCCGCACGTCTCACAAATCCAACCCGTCGGCTCCAACCGCCCACCCACCGCCTTCCAGCCTTCGGAAGCACTCACCCACGACTGGAACAAGTATCGCCCCAACACCATTGCCACGGCGGGCGTTGATCGCATTATCCGTACCTTCGATATTAGGAACTACTCTGCCCCGCTTACCTTGCTCCAGGGCCATGAGTACGCGATTCGCAAGATTGCGTGGTCTCCGCATCTTCCTGATGTCCTGCTCTCGGCTTCTTATGATATGAGCTGCCGTATCTGGACGGATGGATCGAATGGTGGAGTTGGCCGCGAGCTGGGTCGCATGAACGCGCATACAGAGTTTGTCACGGGTGTGGATTGGTGCTTGTTTGGTGCTGAGGGCTGGGCGGCGAGTTGTAGTTGGGATCAGAGGGTTTTGATCTGGGATGCGAAGAGTTTCATGGGTGGACCGTAGAAGGTGTTACCAAGGAGAATGAGCTTGAAGAGGTCGGCGGAAGGAGAAGAGATCGCAGGATAGGTCTGGAAACTCTATCAATGTAAATGAGGAGAGATAGCAAGCATATGGCGTTGAGGAGTTAGGTAAAATTATAGATGGCCTTGTGAATGAGGACTTGGAGACAGACACCACCACGATTACAACGCGTGACAGATAAGATATATAGTATAAAGTAGAGTTTTCAAATTATCGGTACTATACTATGCGTACAAGTTTATATAAAAGACAAAGCTTTCCCACGCTCTGCAAATGCCCCCATATGCGTTAAAACGAGGCCAGATTCAGAACGCCAGCGCCACCCAATCATCCATCCCTTCTATGATACAATACTGTGCTCTTCAATCTCGGCCCAGATCCTCAAATCGTACAACACGTCGGTAGTCGTACACCGGGCCCATAACCCAACGGGGCTCCCCCAAAAATTTCTATAATAACAGGATCCGAAACGAACCGCCTTTTAGGAAACAAGGTGCTTAAAACGAAGCACCGAAGTCCTGTCTTCCGCCACGGTCGTTGCCGTAGCCGGAGCCGCCATCGCGACCTCCAAAGCCACGTCCGCCGTCACGTCCACCGTCACGACCTCCGAAGCCACGTCCACCGTCACGTCCACCGTCACGACCTCCGAAGCCACGTCCGCCGTCACGTCCACCGTCACGACCTCCGAAGCTACGTCCACCAAAGCCACCACCACCACCACGGCCACCAGAGCTGCGTCCTCCGAAGCCGCCGCCGCCACCACGGCCGAATCCTCCGGACCTGCCTCCGTCCATAGGTCTTGGTGCCGGCTCATCATCAATCGAGTTGTGGCCAGAAACCAATCCCCTAACTCTGCTCAGGCCCAGCTTGTTTGCAAGCCCGTGACCAATCGATGGCGGGGAGTCAAAGCCCCATCCGTAGCGAGTCCACTGGTATAAGCTATCCATCAAGCCCTGCTTATCGCTGATAGATTGGAGCGAGCCGAGTGCCGCCTGGAAGGCAGCGATTTTATCGTATCTTGAAACACGCTTGGTAGCCTCGCCGACCTGGACAAGAATCTGTGCTGCATCAGCTCCAAGCTGGGCATCCTTAGTCATGTCGATGCGGGAAGTCTCAATCGTGGTATCAGGCTTGATAGGCAGACCCTTGAGAATGCGGCGAGCCTGGTTCATCTCGATATCGGTGAAGAGTGCGTAACCCACTCCACTCTTGTCGCCACGGCCGGTACGTCCAACACGATGGATGTACTGGTCACGGTTGGGGGGAACACCGATTTGGATGACGTGAGTGACGCCGGGGAAGTCCATACCACGGGCGGTAACATCGGAGGAGACCATAATGGCGGACTTAGCGCGACGGAAGCGATCCGAGACGCGAGTACGCTGCTGTTGAGTAAGCTTGCCGTGCATCGCCGAAACCTCAGCTGGGTGAAGCGGGTGAGTGCCGTAAAGAGCGTTATCGGATTGGCTGAGGGACTCGAGAATGCCAGCGTAAAGAGTGACGTTCGCGGTAGATGGCAAGTAGACAATAGCCTTGAATGGAGGTTGGGTTGGGTCTTGTGCGACCTTTGCGATCTCCTTTGTGCAGATCTCAACGAGGGCAGGTGCAACGTTTTCGAAGCCCTTGCACGACACAACATGTTGAGGAATCCTTTCGTGGGTTGGCGCCTCATCGCTCTTGACCGTCTGCACGAACTGGAAGTCGGGCTTCAATGTGCTCCTCACAAGGCTCATCACCTCGCGCGGTACAGTGGCGGAAAAGAGAAGGGTCTGACGATCCGTGATGCTTCTGTTTGGAAGAAGGTCGAGAATGGCCTCAATATCCTTGGAGAAACCTTGGTCCAACAGGCGATCAGCCTCATCAAGGACGACGGCCTTAAGATTGGGTGCCGAAACCCTGCTGTATGGATCGGTCAGGAGATCGTTGAGACGTCCTGGAGTGGCCACAAGCAAATGGCAGCCCTGGCGCTGCATTTGGTTCAGCATCGCCCTCTTGTTGCTTCCACCAACTGCGACCTGAACCTTGATGTCGGTGCCTCTGCAGAGCTTCTGGGCCTCGACGGCGAGTTGCTCAGCAAGCTCACGGGTAGGCGACATGACAATTGCACGGATATCCGAAGCGGTTGACCTGGGGCTGCGCATCCTCTGACCCTGACCCGCAAGTTCCGGGCTGGCCTTTAAGATGTTCTGTATAACGGGAATGAGGAATCCTAGAGTCTTGCCGGTACCTGTCCTTGCTTGCGCAATACTAGTTTGTTATTAGCGTTTATCTTAAAAGTGGCAAAAGTGAGGAGGTGCATACACGTCTGTTCCCTTCAGTGTCTCGGCAATTGTAAGTTGTTGCACATCAGTCATGGTTTCATGGCCCATCGTCTGCGTGATTTCCCTGATAATCGCTGGGTGGACATGTCCTCTATCCGCAAGTTCCTGGAACTTTGTGATGATCTCGACATCTTCGTTTGACCTCGCGATAATTTCATCTTTGGGATCGAAGACCTGCTCTTGGTCGTTGTGGAAGTAGCGAGTCGCAGGCTGGGCGTGAAGAAACCTCGCTGCAATGGCAGTTTTCGGTATTTGAATCGACTTGGAGGCAAAGACAGAGGTGCGCGAGAATGGGAGTGCGCTCCTCGACGAACTCTGGGCAACTCTGCATAGCGAGGCAGCGCCTCTTCTGCAAACATTGAGCATGGTGAGGTTGGAGGTCCCTCAGGGGATATAAAGAATTAAGTTGCTAAAAATGTGACAGTGAAGAGTAAAAAGAACGAATGCCACTGTTTGATGGGCGTATAAGGAAGGTAAAGGGGTGGAATTAGAAGAGGGCGGATGGAATTTGTTGCAGATGATTGATAGAGAGGCCAATATCTTTGGCCATCCAACAACTTCTTGGGACTTTTTTGACGCTAGTGGGAAACTTTCTCCACCAACCGCTAGGAACACGCGACCGTCACGTGCTCAGGGGCGAGGCTGAGCTAGAGCCTTGTCAAGCCCAAATGAGAGGTATTTTTATGGGACGAGCCACACGGAAGAGTACTGTACGAGTGAGCTGCCCATTTAATTTTTGATAGATACTATCTATACACGAGGTTTTACATAACAGGATTTATTATTGCAAGTGAAAAATACGGTCTATATGTTTAGTTTTTCCATGGTATGGTTATGGTCCCCGTAGTGGCGGGAGCCGCTACGGTTATAAGCATTTCTTGGGTGAGCTTGTGATGATGGATACAGCTTGTCAGCTTGTCATATAATATCCTTCACGTTGGAAAATAAGCATTTAATTTTGGATGATCCCAATGACATTGCGAACTATAGCCTTGTATAGTATCCGGCTCTGGATTAATATCTTAATCCCACTATTCGAGGAGGGAAAAGGCGTGGAAGTCTAACACAGTTTCCCGCCGATCTGCTCGATTGGACAGCACAGGTCATCATCTAGTACAGCCAAAGTCTCCCAGAAGCCCAAATAAACGGTGGAGTGCCGGAAATTCTTATAAAGATTGGTCCATTGTACTGTATAATACACTGCGGCTTGACCCCGTTTCCGCCGTATTTATACGCCTGCGCCTATGCATTTTCTACCTTGATAACGCCATCCAATAACTCCCACTGCTCGCACAGAAACCGCCCTGACTCAGACACACAATCTGTAACTGGCATATCGCCCAGCCGTCTCACTGGTCCTGATGATCTTGACGACTTGTCCTCTCCTCAAACCAAGGTATCTGGCGACTGGGTCTCCCACTTGGATACGAGGCAACTGGGTGTCCTTCAGGCGGTAACGCTGCAATAACTTGGATCGCTCTTCCTTGCTTAGCAAAACGTGTTTCGGGACCAATTCGTGGTGGGTGATGTTGACGAGTAGGTCCTGTTCCAGGAAGCACTCGATTCTGGTCTCTGACGCAACGGCGGGAACAATCTTCATGGCCGCGGGTGTGATGTGGACGTGCGTGACCAGAATGCCGGTGTGGAAGTTGCCCTGGGACAGAACCTGGGCGAACGATCGCATTTGCTTGATACCAACATTGGTATCTGCGAGGAATTCGATATAGATCGTGCCCACGTCAGCCTTGGGTGGGTTTGGGTTTGCGGCAGTTGCTGGAGTAGAGTATCGCGCGACCATCTCGACACTTGGACGAGCGGTGAAGATCATCTTCTTGCGACTGTGGCTAGGTCAGCTTGAATGGGAGAAATCGAGGGTCGTATCTGCTCAAACATACTCCGGAACGCCGTCATTTGTGAATCGGTTCTTGAACTCAGCGAGAGAGATGCTCAGCTCATCTTCATTCAGCTCATAACCCTATAGACCTTGTTAGTGATTTGATGTGCCAGCTCCTCACTGCGACGACGCACTCTGTCATTGACCATCTGATGAACGGTCCTCCATGCGCGCCAAAGCCTTGCTACCTCGCGATCAGCGATATCCCTCGCTTTTTGTTGGTCTTCGTCGGCCATTGCGATGGTCAAGTAGCCAGAGGTTGAATGAAGTTGTCAAAATGCGAGTTGTTGGTGTTGGGGTGTGATTTTGCAGTTCTTTTCTGTTGATCTTCAACTTTGAGGCAACAAAAATAGTGCTGCAAGGATGCAGCCCGCTATCACGCTAGCCAAAAAGCGGGTCCGAGTGAACAGTCCCCAAAAACCGCACAGACATGCTATCAAGATTACTCGTGCCGCTCCAAAAATCTGAAGAAGGGCAGTGTTTAGCTGAAGATTTATACTAATAATTTATAGAAATTTATTATACGTATAATAAAAATCGCTTTAATTTATTCCTTTGGCTTCATTTTTTAATAACTATCAAATTGAACGTCTGAAAATGGCGAATGCCAATCGGCGACAATCCACGCGGTTCTGCCAAAGTCCACCCCCAGCCGCGCTAAGAATTTCACTCGCTTGGACTCTAAAGTTGGTAGGCGCACTCCGAGAAAAGTGTCCTTGACTTTCTGGGACCCTGCAAGCTGCACCCTTTCTTTTGGACTGCGGCAATATTTAAAGGCTCTGAAAGTGGGATTCTTTGTTTCTTACTATTCCAAGACATTTACATATTCTTGGTTTGATTTATAATAATCATTATGTCCGAAAAAACCGCCCCAGCAGCTGAGACGGTGGTCTCAGTTCTAGCAGTCACCGAGAAGAAGAGACCAGAGAAGCCTGATGATGCCGCCTTTGAGGCAGCAAAGGAGAAGGCGAAGAAGGAGCACAAGGTTGCCCAGGATAAGTTTGTATGTTGACCTCCAATTCATTATTCATAGCTTCAATTAGTCATTATACGACTTCAAGCTCTTTCCTCTTCGGGACAGTGACTGACCTTCTCCAGAACGCTGCCAAAGCAAAGTTAGAGCTCGCCCAGCCAAAGAACAAGGATGGCACCCCATCTGCTACCCAGAAGAGACGCCAAGAGCTCCAGACGAAGCTCAACGAGATCAGAAAGGAGCAGGCCGGCGGCAAAGCTGGCCGTAACCAAGTCTTTGACCAGATCAAGAAGCTCGATGAGCAATTGAAGAGCAGAATTGCCGAACAAAAGGCTGCACGCAGCCGCGTTGCATTCAAGAATGTTGATGAGATCGATCGCCAGATTGATCACCTCGAGAAGCAGGTCAACGGGGGCATGATGAAGCTGGTGGACGAGAAGAAGGCATTGACCGAGGTCTCTTCGCTCCGCAAGCAACGCAAGAACTTCGCTGGCTTTGAGGACTCGCAAAAGGGAATCGACGATGTTAAGGCCAAGATCAAGGTTCTCAGGGACTCGCTCGACGACCCAGTGGCCAAGGCCCGCAGCGACGAGTACAACAAAATCCAAGCCGAATTAGACGTTATCAAGGCCGAGCAAGACGAGGTCTTCAAGAACATCCACGCCCTCCGCTCCCAGCGCGAGGATCTCTACAAGGAATCTCAAGCAAAATACCAAGCTGTTCGCGCCATCGAGGATAACCACTGGAAGGCGAAGAAGGCCTTCCAATCCCACGAATACGAGCAACGCCAGAAGACCCGTGAGCGCATAAAGGCCGAGCAAGAGGCATTCAACCTGCTAAAGAAGCGTGAGCGTGCCGAGAAGGTCCTTGCTGAGGCCAGCGAGCCCGCCTACCTTGACGAGATCCGCCGTGCCCAGAGCTTGATCCATTACCTTGACCCCAGCACCGCCAACGAGGCCTCCAAGCCCCTTCTCGCACCCAGTGGACTCACCGCCGAGGCACAGCGCACCGTTGACGACTCCGGAATTAAGGGCATGAAGGTTGCCAAGAAGGAGGACGAGGAATACTTCGCTGGAACCGGCGGCAAGAAGGGCAAGAAGGGACGCAAGGCCGCCGCCTCCCCCGCTGCTCCAGCTCCTGGCAAATTCACCCTCCCACCAGCTGTTTTGGAAGACTGCAGCGCCATGGGCATTGAACCCCCAATGAACGCCGCTGATGTCCCAGCCGTCCTCGCCAAGGCCCAGGAGAAGCTCGCATTCTGGAGAGCCGACCAGAAGGCCCAGACCGAGAAGGTATGCCATTCGAATTCCATCCATTAACTGCTGCAAATACTAACTAACTATCCCAGAACGTCGCCAAGGCCCAGAAAGACATCGAGAAGCTCGACGCCGAGGACTCCGCCCCAGCCACCAACGGCTCCAAGAAGTCCGAGGAGTCCGTCGTCGCCACCGCCATCGAGACCGTCAAGGACACCGTCGCCGACGTCGCCGAGAAGGTCAAGGCCGTCACCGTCGGCGAGGACAAGGAGTAAACCCCCTTCTCCCGCTCACCACTACCAAACATGGCAACATCCCCGTCATTTTCGCAGTTTCAAAAAAGCATAGCGTTTTGATTCAACCCCCGCACCCCTCGAGCAAAGCGCGCCTATTACACTCATCATCAAAAACACCCCCCATTCATCCGGTTTTGTTTTCAGCGAGCATTTTCGGATCCTTGGGAGATATCCCCCACCCTCCCAACCACTCTTGTTGCGAAACTTCAGACTTTTTTATCCCTTGCATTGTGTATACTTTTTAAACGAGGAGATATATTATTTTGGGCCACATCCATAATTTTCTAGGGTCCGGTCTCGGGTCACGTATAAAATAATGGAAAGAACTGGCTTATTTCATGAATTTCGTAAAAAAAAAAAAAGACGTGTTTGACATTTCTAACTTCCCATCATAATTTGAGTGAACCCGTGTGCTATGTTATGCGTGATAAAGTCGTTAATCTCGTAAGACGATTCGTTGACTTAAAAACCTCCCTCCCTCCCTCCCTCCCTGTGTCATCCCTTTGCGCAATTTAGAAGATGTGGAATACGCATGGCGCCAGTGCTATGTTATGCTCCCCGATGCCGAACCAGACGCCCCAGCGCGAAAACATGAGTATTGCAAACATCAAAACAAGTAGAAATCCAGCCACCCGCCCACACAGACATCGATCGTCGTTACATTCCCACCCTATCTTCCAGTCCCTCAGTACCGTCCACCATACGCATACCCGCTGCTCGGCGGCGGCGGTGGTCTCCTGATGCTTCCTAGACCCGGCGTGCTCCTTCCGGCCTCCACACGCTCCTGCCTTTTCCCCTTCCCTCCTCCCCCGCTCATCTCTCGCATCCTCGCCCCCGTCAGTGCACTCAGCGGCGGGTCCTTAACGGCCGAGTCGTCGTCGCGCGGCAGGGTGAAGGTAACCAGGCTGTAGAAGTACTCGAGGACCTCGGGGTAGCGCTGCACGCTGGCGCGCCAGTCTTCGTCAATACCCCGCTTCAGTTCTGCGTTGGCGGCGGCGATCTCGGTAGGGTGTGGTCGCGTGCCGTAGTAGTAGAGTGCGCGCTCGGTCAGGTGCGCGATGTGCATTGAGTGCGAGTCGCGGCGGCGGGTGGTGAGGACGTTGAAGTACGTTAGGATGTAGTCTTGTGCGTGGCCGCGGACCCAGGCTCTGCGAGGGAAGTAAGTTAGTTGCTGGTGGGGGCGATTCTTGGAAGGGGGAGGAGGTATTACCGGATGTCGGCGAAGAAGGTGGTCATCATCCGGGTCTCAGCCTGGCGGACAGCGGTGTCGAGGCCCTTTGCCTCGCAGTCGCATTGTGCGAGCGCGGGCGACGAGCAGATCGCACAGTCGGGATCCATGGTTTCGGGCTTTTCTCGTTCTCGATATGGGTCTCGGTCTCTGGAGGCGAGAGTCAATGAAGTGAATCTACTGGAGAGATTTGGAAAGAGGTGCAAGTGAATTGGAGGCATGGGTGTTGTGGAATTGGTGTAGCGCGGGTGGTGTTTGCCAAATGGGCCATGGGGGAAGGAAGGAAGTGAGGTTGAGGTGAAGTGAGGTTCATGTGTTGAGGGCTTGTATACTGCTGGACGGACTGGGAAGGAGCCGCCAACTCACCTTCGATTATGCATCGTTGGGAGTTGAGTTGCACGTCACAGATACTGCGACGCGGCTCTGCTTGGTGAGGTAGGTACAGTGCGGTTTGGGCCAGCAAGCACAATGGGCACCTGTCGGCAAACGCGACACGACTGGACACTGTGAAGCCACGGGGGGAAGGAGCGGTGCTTGAAACAGGTATTTATGGGTATTGTAATATGCGATAAGAGGCAAAATAAGAGAACAGAAGACGGAGAAAGAGAAAGAGAGAAAGGAAGAGAAGGAGAGAAGGTATTCCTACGTGTTTGTATCCCTTTCCCACCGCTGACAGAACAGAATGCCGACGATGCAGCGGATGCAGGAGATGCAGCTGCTGTGCTGTCGTGGCTCGAGTGTCAGTTGTTTCCACTCTCCACTCGCGGTGTGCAGATTGTAACGTTAAAGGGCAAGCTTCTGCAGTATTTTCTGGATGAATTGGTGAACCGGCAGAAGGAAGAGAAGGGAGAGGTGCATTCAATTGGACCAAGGCTCTATTCGACGGCCGGTCAAAGAAGCGGTCTCATGCGTCTTATGCAGCTAAGACGCGGATACACGCATCGGTTTTTGGTTTTGGACGAGTCGGGCAGGGCACTTTGAGGGGTTCAGGTCAGGTTGTTAGGTCAGTCAGGTAGTCCAGCCCAGCGCCCCATTGTTGACTGTGGAGGTGGTGGGTTGCCGAGGGAATTGGGCCAGCCAGCTTGACACGCACGCAGTGCGGTATATGTGTATATTGTGGGCTATATATGGGCATATATGGTTAATATAATATATAGCTAATATATGGAAGTATAACAATGATGCCCGTCTTTTATATCTGACAGAAGGGGGTAGTGTGTATTGTGTATTGGGCGAGGCTCTGTGGTAGATAATAGATTTAATGGAGCATTGTGATTGGTTTAGGGGGAATTGTAGGGAGTTGTAGCGTAGTTGTAGCGTACTCAGGGCAGATAATACGCTACGGTACGCTACGGTGCGCTACTAACAATCACTACTAGTGCCAAACCACCATGGTCCTAGAATATACGGTGGCCGAGATTATTTATTCCGCAGCCTCTATCAAAAAGTCCAACGAGGAGAGCGACGACGACGCTCCTTCCACATTCACCAGTGAGTGAACCAAAGGGGCTCCTTCCCCATTCACCATGCCGCCTCGATGTCCCACAGCCTCTGGGACTCTGACGCCATTCCTCTATCCCTTCCTCTGCAGCACCACGACTCCTCGAACCCTCCCGCGCCTGGCTCAAAAATGCTTCTCCCGCCAGCAACCCCCCCGACACCTCTCGACAACCCCCAGAGCCCTCTCAGCAGACTCCGACCCTCTCTCAAGCGTCCCAGTGCACCTCAATAACCAACCCATCTCGCACCTCAACCCCCCACCCTCCGACTACGGCCGCACCATCTTCTCCGACCGCGCCACCGTCCACCTCCACGCCGGCGACGGCGGCCACGGCTGCATCTCCTTCCTGAAAGAAAAATACATCGCCGCCGGCCCCGCCAACGGCGGCGACGGCGGCTACGGGGGTAGCATCTACATCCAAGCCGTCCGGGGGGAGACCTCTCTGCACAAGCTCGCGCGCCGCAACATCATCAAAGCCGGGCGCGGCAAGAACGGGCAAGGCAAGACCCGCGGCGGCGAGCGCGGCGACGACGTCGTCATCCAGGTCCCTGTCGGCACTGTGATTCGCGAGATCGAGCGCGTGGACCCGGTCTCGAATGAGGAGCTGAAATTGCAGTTCCAGGGTGATGCGCCGGAGGGGGAGGTGCGCGAGCATGCTGGGCCGTATAAATGGGATCGCGATAAGTGGCTGCTTTACCCGGCCATTACGCCGGAAGATATTGCAACTGCTGACTTCCCGAGTCTCCCGAAAGCGCGCCGCTCTCATCTTGCTTCTGCGCAGGAGATGGCTCCGATAAACCTAGACCTTAGCCAGCCGATGGAGAAACCCATTCTCCTTGCTGCCGGCGCCGTTGGCGGTCTCGGAAACCCGCATTTCGTGTCCCAGGGTGCCTCGCGCCCGAAGTACGCCACCAAGGGCTCTGAGGGGTTGCATATCACACTCGAGCTCGAGCTGAAGCTACTCGCAGACGTAGGACTCGTCGGGCTACCCAACGCAGGCAAATCGACACTTCTGCGCGCAGTCAGCAACTCGCGCGCCCGCGTGGGCAACTGGGCTTTCACGACGCTACAGCCTAACATCGGAACTGTGGTGCTGGACAACCACAAGGGCCGCCCATTGACCGTGTCAAGCTACGAGACCGGCGAGCCACGCACGAATTACACCATTGCGGATATCCCTGGTCTAGTCAAAGACGCGCATCTCGACCGCGGCCTAGGCGTCTCCTTCCTGCGCCACGTCGAGCGCGCGCGCGTCCTCGCATTCGTAATCGACCTCGCCGCCGGCGACGCCGTGACAGCGCTGAAATCCCTCTGGCGCGAAGTCGGGATGTACGAGCGCATGAAGATCGAAGAGGAAGCCGCGAAAGAGAAGAAAGAACAGATTGTGAAATGGAGCCCCATGCAGCCTAGCCAGGACGAGGACGAGCCTCGTGGTTCGAGCTATCACGATAAAGTACCCCGTAGCGAGGATGCCGGGGGGATTGCGAGTAAACCTTGGTTTGTGGTGGCGAGTAAGGCGGATTTGGAGGGGTCGCAGGAGAATTATGCTAAGTTGAAAGAGTATTTGGAGAGGGTTACGAAGGGGGAGGAGGAGCATCCTAGTGGGCAGAAGGATGGGTATGTCAAGGACTTGGTTGCGTTGCCTATTTCTGCCATTAATGGGCATGGGGTTGATGGGATCACGAAGTTGGTTGTGGGTATGCTTAATGCGTAGACCGCGCCGGGAAGGAAGGATGGGGGATAGATGTACGATATTGTACAGTACCATAAATTTGTATATAATGTATGATAGATGTCATTAATCAGGCGAACCACATACGGTTTAAATCAACGGAGTCACAGTTGCATAGCCATGAGATTCCTATTATTGCAGTTGAATGTTATTTCCTTTATATCGCAGAAGCTATTGATGAAAACGCCTTTTTACTCTATGCGTACAATGCCCCCAAGACATTTACAATTGATCCGAACCCGCCTCCGTCTCGATAGGCGCCTCCGCAGCATCCATCTCAACATCCTCACTCTTCTCTACCACCTCGCCATTGCCATTCGCCGCCTCCGCCTCCGTCTCCGCCTCAGCAACCTCCGCCTCCGCAACAGCCGCATCCACCACCGCCGCCCTCGTCGCCGGATGATGATTATTAACCAACGGCACATTCTCGTTAAATATCCTCAACAACATCGCCGTGCGATCCTCCTTCGCCAGCATCAAATTCAAACTATGCAAGCTGCGCCACAGCGGCAGCACAATCCTCTCCTTAAACCCGTCTTCTTCATCACTAGGCTCAATACGGAGCACACAGCATCCCATCCCAATATCCCTGACGCGCTCCCCGATTTCCCCAAGCTCCTTCCAGCACCCATCCGTAACCTTGGGGAACATCTCCACCAGCAGCTTACGCAGGGTGGCGCGCTTGTAAAGGCGCACTACGCGGCCCTCGCCGACGTAGCCTTCGAGGATGGGCATACCCTCTGACTGAATGCGCCAGCGACACACGCCCTCGCCCTGGACATCCTGCTTCATGAACATACGCACGCCGCCGTGGATGAATTTAATACCCTTCCCCTCGTTCTCGACAAGGATGTCGCGGATCAGGGCAGAGGTGTAGTAGATCGTCTTCGCGGGCTCGCCGAGCGCATTGCGCACCATGAAGCGGTCGCGCGGGAAGCGCTGGGAGAGCTTGTAGAATTCCTCGATGGATTGGACTTCGGGGTGGTCGCCGGAGATGTACTTGAATGGCTCCTCGAACTGCTGTTGGTTGCGGCCCTTGGCTTTGACGGGTGCGGGGAGGGAGGTTGTGGCGGCGGGGGTGGTGGTCTCGGAGCGCAGGTCGCCGGGGCGAGTGGTCGCGTCGAGCTCGGCGCCTGGGGGTGGGGGGAAGTGAACCTGGCGGTTGTCGAGGCTCATGGCCTCAACTTCGGTGCCGTTGCTCTCGATCTTCGCCTTCTTTGGCGAGGATGGGGCGGCATCGCTGTCATCGAAGGCGCGCTTAGCTGGGAGAGTAGCATCTGGCTTGTCGCTGGCTTGGTTCTCGCGAGCAACAGCGGGAACGTTTGCATCCTCCAGGTCGGTTGATGTAGAACCCTCAAGGAGATCAGCAGCCTCGATCTTGGGAGCCACGTTTGCGCCTGGGGCTGGTTCTGGCTGAGCCTCGATCTCCTCGACGATGCTGATAACAGCAGGCTTTGGCTCCGACTTCTTGGCCTCAGATTCAGGCCTTGCCTTGAATTCGGTCATCTTCTGGAGAACGGTGATGAAGAAACCACCGGTATCTTGCTGATGCGCGTACACTCTCATGCAGCGCTCAAGCGGAATCTTGGCCGCCTCGCCAGTTGGAGTGAACATGCCCTCAGCAAGGCGAGCCGTGGCGTGGTTGGCGCCGCTCTTCTGGTTCTCAGCCTCGACAGATGGCCAGTCCTCCCAAACCTTACCAGACTTATCCATGATGGTCCACTTCTTGAGACCTTCCTTGCGCTTCAGTCCGACCAACTGGTCGCTGCAGTCGATCAGCTGGACCTTCTCCAATCCACCACAGCGCTCAATGGCCGAGGCAACAACTGCCTCGTTCTCGACGGGGTTCATGCTGCAGGTAGAGTAGACCACTCGTCCACCAGCCTTGAGCATCTGAAGAGCACGAACAAGAATGCGGACTTGAGTGACGTAGAGACCAAGAGCATTGCTAGGGCTCCAATCTTGCCACAGGTTGGGGTTCTTGCGGCACGTTCCGTCTCCGGAGCATGGCACATCTGCAAGAATGCGATCGAACTTGAGGTAGCGGTTCTGGGCCGGGTCCTCCTTGGTCGAAGGAAGCTTGATCGAAGGGAAAATCGTAGCGTCGTGGTTGGTAACAATCAGATTCGGGGATGAAAGGCGCTTAAGCTGATGAATCAACATGTGACTGCGCTTGTAATCGGAATCGTTGGCAATGAGGAGGCCCGTAGCCCTGCCAAAGTCCTCAGAGTCGACATTCAAATCCTCATCACCAACAACGTCGAGACCAGGGCTGATCTCTCTCCCGTCCTCCGTGGCGTGCAGGCGCAGAGCATTGCGTATCCTGGCCTCCTCCCCCTTATGAACCATCTCCAAAAGCTGAGCCGCCTTACTTCCCGGCGCCGCGCACATATCCAAAACAGTCATACCGGGCTCAATACCCATGAGAAGCGGGGGAATCATGCTGACGACCTCCTGCCTGCTGATGTTTCCGACGCTGGTCTCGGAGACCAGGTACTTCTGGAAAGCCGCAAAGGGCGGGAAGCGTCGCACGACGTTCTTCGGCGTTGTCATCCACCAGGCGAGCTCATCAGGGTACCAGGGGACTGGCTGCGGGGCCTCGACGGCCGTGCCATCGTAATGCTCGATCTTGGTGATCTCTGGGATGTAGCGCTCACGAAGCTGCTTCTGCACAGCCAAGGCATGTCTTCATCCAATATTAGCACATATACCCAAACTAAAGAAGGGTAAAAAACTACATACCCTTTGGACCCCGCGAAGCGGAAGCTGTTAGGCAAGTCCCTCCTCAGCGCCGCCCAGAACTCGACGCGCTCCTCCTGCGGCAGCTCAATGATGCTATCATAGTACCGCTCGAACTTCTCGTTGGTCTTGTCGATTTTATCGTAGCTCACACGGTTATCGCGACTATCGCGACCACCACCCCCACCTCCACGGCCTTTGCCTCTGCCACCGCCACGTCCGCCCTAGGGAGAGGTTAATTAGTTTTCCTAGAATCGCCAATTGCATGTGTGGACTTACTCTTTTGCCTCCGCGACCCATTGTAAATTCGCTGAGGGACGATTGAAAGAGACTGTAGTATTGGCGTCTGAGGGAGACCGAGCCTTTGAACATCAGGCTTTTACGACGGCGGCGCATAAAAGTTCATCGGAAGCCTTGCGCTACCCACCCGCGCTACCCCAGACCGGAAAATAGTCTCGCCGCTTACCGCAAACACGTCCAGAATCAGATCCCGTGACCTAGTTGGAATAAAAATGATATTATTCGAAGTGACTGGAAAATCCCTTGATAAATTCTTCTACCTTGGTCCTAAACCTAGTATGTAATGCCCAGTCCCCCGTTCCCCTAAGAAAAAAGCAAATCCAGTCCATGCTCTCGCGCCAAATTCGCTTGCCATTCGCCCAAAAGAAGGATACGTCAGCCTGGGTATGTGTGCTTTGATGTCCCAATAATAATCATCCTCGCTATCTTGCTCCGTCGTAGAAAATAAAAACATCTAATACTCGCGCCAAATTGTGTTCGTATTATCAATCTCCCCCTTTGCCTTTCCTTTGCCTGTCTGAGTTGGGAAACCATGGCAGTTCAGTCATCTCACGACTCCCCACGTCTCACATCTTACCAGCCAGGCGGTGGCGGCGGCGGACTATGACCACCAAACTGTCGTTGTCACAAACGGCCCAGTAGCACCTCCTTCTTCCACATACGCACGCCCAGAACGTCATAGAACCGGCCGCAGTCAACGGTCTCGAGCTTCAGACCAGGAGCAGTGTCATCCTCCTCATCACTATCGTCAGTGTTGCTGTCGTCCTGCTTCTCCTCTATGATTGTGTTACCTGTATACATGGTGGCTTTACCCTTCCCCTTATCCTTGGATTTGGGTGCAGGTTTGACCTTCCATGCGAGTCGACCCACGGTGTTACCTAGAGCCAAGTATTCCAATTTCATGCGGGGGTGGCTTGACAAGGCATCGGCAATAAACCTGGGGATCTCACGCATAACCCAATGACAAGTGTCATCGTTGCGGAAGTTTATTATATGGAGTGCTCTGAGAGAGACCAAGCCTGGAAGATATTGGTTGAAAGTATGCTATACAATATGTTAGGATTGCTCGTTAAATGTTCGTGAAGATCTGACAGATGCACCAATTGAGACGAAGCATCAAAAAGGAAATATAACATACCAGAGCAGGAGATGCAAAGCTAATACCAAGCTCTTCCAGGTTCTTTCCTTTCCGGCAAAGCAACTCCAAAAACTTCACATTCGCATCCCACGTATAGTCATTTTCATTCTTGACAGCCAGTCTCTTCAGCGAAGAAGCGTGCTTCTTGATGACATAACGCCGAATATTATCACTCGTAACCATAGTCTTGGGCGCAAAGCTGTACTCCGAACTTTTCGTGGAGCGCTCCAGGATGAATAGCTCCACCAGGTTTTCCAACTGATTCACGAACTTGAGGAAAGGAAGAGTGACGTTGTCGGTGTGGATCTTGCACAAAGGCAAAGGGGAAACTTTGTTCTCTTTCGCAAGGTAGTTCCAGAAGGGTGCTTGAGATCCGACGTTGAGCAGTGAGATGCGCTTCAGGACATGGAGATCAACAGCCCTTGACAGCACAGACGTCTTGATGGGGATGAGATATATCGATAATGACTTCAGAGTCAATCCACGAGTTTTACGGACGTAGTCGCTCATGGTATTATCCTTCTCCTCCAGTGATCGGTTATGTGCTTCGGCAGCCTCCTTTATCACCATGTATTGGAGCGAGTCGATCGCAAGATTGTTAAACCGGAATCCTTTAAGCGCTCGCGTTGCGAGTGCTATTTCAAGGATTTCTCGATGGACTTTCTCGTCAGGTTCAAGTGTAGCCGGTGCTGACGAGTCTTTAGACTCCTTGGTTTCAGTGTCTGTGGTCAGAATCTCACCAGCTGTCTCCTCTGCCACAGGTTCTGAAGTTGACTCATCCGCATCTTGGGAATCAGGTTCTGGCTCGCAAACATCAATATCATCCGGGTGAGGGCTGTCGGTGGTAGATTGGTGCGCCTTGGGATCTTTTTTACCCTCATTGTCAAACATGCCGACATATTTTTGTTCGGGTTCCGTGTTCTTGGATTTATCTTCCTCGTCTGCTTTTCCAGCGTCACTAGTATCGGACGACGCCGGTGTGGCCTTCTCAGTTCCGCTTCCAGCAGTCGACTCCTCGTCCGACCCAACTTTACCAGACTTCCCACCCAGAGTCCCCTTTTTGCCCTTCAAGTATTTCTTAGCCCCCTTCTCAACGGCCTTCATAAATTCTTTCTGTTCGGCAGTGAGATCAGACATGCCTGGAGCACCCATCAACTTCTTCGACAGTACCGCGAATTCATTGATAAATGAGTTCACAGTTTCGTCCATGCCAGCACCGGATTTCTTTTCTTCATCGCTCGCATCCGAGCCCGGCAGCTCCTTCGGCTTCGATTCTAGACCAAAAATTTGAGCTAACACAGCTTCCTGTGCCTGCTTCGCTTCAACTGCCCGGAATGCTTTGGCTGGACCAGAAGCGTCATCTGTGGAAGGAGACGCTACAGCAGGTGGAGGCGGGATCATATTGCCAAACTCATCGATTTCCTGGTCCGATTCGTCGCCCGTGTCGTCAGCAGGAGGTGGTTTCCGCGCCTTCCTTGCCAGGGCCTCTGAAAACGACAGCTGCAGTTTGTTTAATGTTGAAGATGAGTTATGAATGCAAGCCTTGATCTCTTTGACATACTCCAAACTGTCCATGTCGAGGATAGATAGAGTCTTCAGGTTCTTAAATCCCGATATTGTAGGCGGACCGTGATCTGTTTTCAGTTCGGTCGCCCGCGAGGCAAGAATGGCCTTCGCCTCGGCGTTTGTCATCTTCGTAGGTTGTGCTTCGGAACCCTCCCTAATGGCTTTCGAAACTTCGATAGTATCACCGACTGTATCATCAGGGACAAATTTGAGTGACTGCAATGGTGGTGGTCGTTGGTACAGCGACTGTCCCGAATGCATACGAAGATATAGGTGCTGCAACGCCGGGATGCTATGTAAGGACTTGTAGACCGGCCGACTCAATTCAACGCGTACATCCCACCTATACAGCATGTTAGTCACCGGCGAACCCTGGGCGACGTATGAGAGCTTCCTTACTTAAAAGTCTCCAACGCCTTCGCTTTCCGCAGCGTCAACAAAAACAGCGTATTCATGAACTTTCCGCAGCTCACATCATTGGTATAGTGCCTATAGGCTTTTTCTCCCTTCGCACCTCCACTCAGGCTCTCGAGGACAATCTCCTTCAGGTATCTCGCATAGTCGTACTCGCTCGTAACAAGCGTGTCCAGCCCAGCCGCCAGCCCATCCATATCCGACTCGTAAGTCCCATCGTCCTCATCCGGGAATATGATATGGAAATTTCGATAGATCTGCGCCGCCGCCAGATCGCGAAAGTGCTTCGAGACGAGAGACAGCGATATCAAGTCGGGCGCGGTACACTATCGCGGCACGCAGTCAGCTAGCCATCCCATCTGCCCCACGATCCCCAGATTGTACGTGGACCCCGACCCACAGCGGGGCGCCCAAGCCGTGATAAATTAATCGGCGGGGATAAACTCACCTGCTTGATTATCCCATTCTGTGTTTCCGAGGGGAGATCGAAAAAGGTCAATGATCGGGGCGCTTGCTCGGCGCTGCCCGCCTCGGGCGCAGCTATGGGGTCGGCGAAGCTCATGGCGGTGGCAGAGGCTGTCGGGGGTGGAGAGTTGGTTTCAATGTTGTTGAGATCGTGCCATTGCGACCAGGGCCCTTTGTTGGAGACGATGGCTATGGGGGTTGCTCTCTTGCTCCGTGCTTGTTTCAACGATGGCATCGTGGGGATGTTTGAGGTTGAGGTGCGCGCTTGGTAGGAGGTCCGGTTGGCAGATCGGGAAGCTATGATCCACCAGTAACCACAGCCGACTTTGGAAGGCGGTTGAGCTACCGAGAGGACTTTAGAAACTGTGCAAAAGATGAAAGACGTAAAATAAAACAGCCAGTCTAGGTAGTGAAGTTGATGGTAGTTGACTGGAAGTCAATATGGCTGCCTTTATTTCAACCAGCCAAGGTGGAGGGCGAGGTGGACAGACAAGGCTGAGCTTGGAACGAAGTAGGTCTCCTGCATGGTTGGAGACAAAGACGACGAATCCAACAGCTGCCAAGAATGGTGCTGTACGGGCCAACGCACACCTCCATTACTCATCATGAAACACATTGAACTTGCACGAAAATCGTTACTACTACGGTAGAGTTTCATTGCTCAGTATTGCGATTTAAAATATTATATTCAACTGTAGTTACGACCTTACTGTAGTGTAGATCTTTCGTAAACAGAAGTGATAGATTTAACAAACGTGGATGGGATTGTCTCCTATATCAACATAGGAACCCAACTAAACGTTACACAACGCCGACAATACTATAGCAAGCGCCCTCAATCCGTCCTCGTTTGCATTCATGGATTCGTTTATATTATCGTAATCATGGGGAGAGCTGAGCGCCGTGTCTCGGGTATCAGCATATCTGAATACCACCCACGGCCCCCATCTCTCAGGCTCCATCCCTCAGCCTCTTTGTCCTATGCTCTATGCATATCGCTGTGTCAGCGTTCCACCAAACTGCTCCAATGCCATGTGAACATGCCGGACACAACTTGCGTTACACGAGTTCCCACTCTGCCACGCCCGCAAAGCTCATGCCGCTCGTCTTCCTCCGCTCCATGAACTCTCTCTTTGTCATGCCACGTGCGTCTTGCCCGTTCATCGTGTCAATCGCGTAGAGCTTAACTGTCTCTCCCGGGCTGCCCAACTGCCTGTGTGGTATATCCACCCACCAATACATGTCGTCCCTCTCCAGCGGCACTAAATCCTCTGCATATGCATGCGTGCCGCCGATTTTAATGGCTAGTAGGTATGGCTTCGCTCCTCCGTGCCTCTCAAAGTCCCAATGTTGGCACAGTCTTGCAAACTGGAATCGTGTTGAATCTCCATCATTGAGCTCGATATTTTTCAACGGCGGCAGAATAGTCGCCTTGTCAATGCCATGGTTTTCCGTGTTATATATCTTCAGAGTCTCTACGCCTCGGTGAGGCCCAAGAATATACTCTTCCCAAGTCGGCACTCTTCTGTCTGCACGGAAAAAGTGTGCCTTATTAGTCGGGAAATGCTTAAGGCCAAAGTCCTCATTAGTGCCTGTAAATTGCGTAGCTGTGAATGCACGGTGGTACTTGTTATCTCCACCCAGAGCACCAGAGCCCCAGCATGGATCGCAAAGCTTCCATTCTCCGTCATCGATCCGCACCGCGTTCCATGCATGACCCGTGGGATTCGCAGGTGGTATCCGTTGTCCTGGCCCAGTAGCCACATAACCGTATCCTTTACCATGGCCTCCAACGACAAGACACTCCAGGCCAGCTCGGACAGCGATGGCGGCAAAGACACCGGCGTAACCTTCGCAGACACCCATACCTTTCCGAATGGTTTCATCGGGGGTCTGGGACTTGACGCGGTTCCCTAAGAAGGCGTCGACGTCGTAGTCTATGTTGAGATGACACCACATGAAGATTGCCCGGGCTTTGTCGGTGTGAGATGTAAATGGTCCACATAGGCCATCAGCTAGATAGTCTATGCTATTCCCTCTAGGTAGAGACTGGCGAGGGTACTTCGCCGCCACTTCATCCGGACCAGAGAAGTCACGGCAAATCAGACAAACTTCGTCCGAAGAAGTGGTAGCTTGCCTAGCTTTGATAGCATCTATCTGTCTCATCGATGGCTTCGAAGATGACGGGATAGGTGGTGGTGCCGAGTCTGTATTTCCGGATGGCCGACTTGGCATAGGCGGTGGTGCTCCATCTCTTCCTGCGCTTGTGGCAGGTCGCCTTGGCATAGGTGGAGGTGCATCGTCTTCATCACGGAATCCCCGTACATTAGACCGTGATCGCGATGGCAATGCCGGTGCCTGACTAGGCCGTGATGGTAACGCAGGGCGAGAGGATTCGTTCTCGCCTTGACGCGTAATCCGGGGAATGGCTGGGGACGACTGGGTGGAAGTCAATTGTCCCCGAGCAGCTAGCCGTGCCTTCTCTTCCGCCTGCTCTCTCCGCGACGGAGGCAAAACAGGCAAAGGGGCCTCATCCAATCGCGGCGGCAGTTTCCGTACAGCGTTCGTATCAATAGACGATGCACTCGATTTGCTGCCACCGTACGAGAAGCCAGATTGTGTAGAATAGTTCGACCTAAACGATTCGTTCGAGGCCTTTCGCACAACTAATTGTTCCGAAGGTCGTCTTGCTGGCAGAGCTGGCAAGTTCAGCGATTGTTGTGAGCTCTTCCGCGATGGAAGTGGTGGGGGTTTCTTGAGGTTTCGTTCGGACAGTCGAGGGTTCCGCTCCTTCAACTCGCGATCAAGCACTGGCGGTGGTAACACGTCTTTTGGTGCAGCAGGCTCGTTTCCGATATTTCTATTAGCTGTCGGAATAGCTGGAACTGCATTGCTTCGAAAGTCGTTCAGAGGGCGGGAGGGTTTCGGGACTGGTGGAGGAGGAGGTCGCTTTCCAACAAGCGCCACGGTGTTGTTCTGACTCGGTGCTGGGCCATTCTGTGATAGACCGCTTTGGTCTGCTGCTTGTGACTGCTTCAAGGCAGCAATTCGCTGTGCCAGCGTCTGGAATTGTGGTTCTTCCGCGTCGCCCATCGTGGATTATGGAGTCGGACTGTATTTTGGGGTTCGGTTTCTGAGCGGGGTAGAGGATGAGCTGGTAAACGAGTGTCGTGTTCGTCGAGATGTTGCACACCAAGCCCACGCACGTATGCCAAGGTCTTGTATGCAGGTAAATTAAAAGAACGAGAATGAGGACGAAAGAATGAAGAATAGTGGTAGAGACGCGGAGAGGGAAATATACTGCCGTCGTTGTTTCTCGCTGCCAAGTATTCATAGCCCTGCTAGAGGACTCACAGTAGGCAGATAAGGCTGTGTGCGAACTAGCCCCTCCGCCAGCGACCCGCAACGAACATCAGTTCCTTGTAGTTCCTTGCTAATACCCGACAGCGATCCTATCAAACTCACTTCCCCAACACGCCATTCCGTGCGCTAAATCTATTTATTACCACCCACGTTCCTGGGGCCGATGTGCTGTGCCGCATATCCACTGACGGCCCAATCCGGGGTTGGAATTGGGCTGGAGAGTATGCACATACAATATATTATTTATAGCGGCTATTTTGCTAGGAAGGTCATGGTCTCGGTGAGCCAAGTGGGAATTAGGAGGGGAAGGAGCTAGCGGATGTTTCATATAATGAGGATGTTGGTATTGTCAAACGCTGAACTACATACAGTACATACAAACCTGCGCCATCACCAGAAATGGAGGATTCAAATCCCTTGCTAAATTTGAGCAAGATCAACCCTTCAAACTAGGCCACTCCATACACTGCATTTGCCTCCAAAAGATCGACGGCTTCGCCACGGAAATACATATCATTGACCCTCCAAGGTTGGACCAAAGAAGAGCGGCCGTCTCTTTCCGAAGAAATCGCAAGGGTTAAATCTCCAGACTGACCGATACTTCCTGGATAGCCAGTAAGCAACTAGATATATCACGAATTGCGGTACTGGAGGAAATTTTTCGCCTCCTTTAAATCCCTTGTCATGCGATCCAACGACAAGCGGATATAGCTCGTCCTATAAACGGTCAGTACAGATCATACTGTTGTATTCCAAGAGCTTGCTAGAACACATACCTTCTTGAAATCCGCATTCTTTATCACGTTCTCGAACTCCATATAGACCGTGTGCATTTTCTTCTCGTCATACTTGTCCAGCGAGAGTAGAGTTGGGATCTCATCTGCCAAGTGCAGCGTCAGTTTCGGCGCAAACCCGTCGATGAGCTGGCGGAATTTGTCGGCTTCGAAGCGCTCCTCGGATTTGGCGTCCAGGCAGTCCTTGACGTATTTCACCCAAATGTCGAAGCCTGGGGCGAACTCGTGGTGCTGCACGACGTTGGCAGCCATCATTCCCTCGACGCCAGACTCGCGCTCGAAGCCGGGGAATAGGATTTCTTCTTCACACTCATGGTGATGCTAGGGACTGTCAATACAGAGCTTTTTCACCGAGACGGGGAGAACCGTACGTGAATCCATTCGATCCTATTAAGTCAGAAGCCATTCCACATCTTTGAGTCGGGGTACCTACCAAAATTTGGCATATAAGAGGAGGTCACCGCTATCAGCCTCTGATTTGAGATACGGCGCCTGCAGATACATCGCGTTCAAGGAGCGAATCATGGCATTATGGGCAAGCACCATTTCGTTTGCAATATGGTACACAGTCGGGTTAACCTTCACATCTCTCATCACCATAGTTGGGATTATCTTGAAGGGCTGATCCGCCCATATTTCGGCCATTATGAGAGAGCAAGGGGGGGTGTTGGTTTGCAAAAGAGACCAGAAGACGGAATAGGAATCGACAAGCAGGTAGGGCCAACAGAGTGAGGAAGATGTCAAACGGAAACCTACATTGCAGACGGGATGCACTTGCCTTAAATACAGCTTCGTCAATGGCAATGTTATGGGCGGCTGAGAATAGGATCCACCTAGTTTGAATGCCATGGCGTCGACAGTTTACATTAATTTAAGGAGCTGAAGCTGATCCTTTGCATCTCATATAGACCAATGGCGCTGATCGTGAGTAATCCAAGATTACCATTGGTGGCATACCAATACTCCAACAAGTTTTCTGAAGATGTACGTCAAACTCCTCAACGAAATCCCTATATAAAGCATACGAACGCGGGCTTAGCGCGGTGAGCTATACCCCAGCACGCTTCCAGACCATCCAAGTGCTGAATCCCAAAGGATCATAAGCTTCCAATAGCACGAGGTAAGGGGTGGCAGGCTTGGCAGAAACGTGATTTGACAGGCCGCTGGTGGTATTTAGTGCTGACACGGTCCATAAAAATACGTGTAAGCTCCAACGCGTCTCACCTCAGACGACGAAATTGGCTTCGTTGGCAAATTCCAAATCATACGGAGCGAGCTATCCCTATCGGCCCATCACCACGATAAGATCTATCGCGTGCGTGGTATCACGTGGTATCAGCTGGGCCGGAATACCGGTAGGGGCGAAACGACAAAGCTTAAATTTAATAGGATGATTTAGCTATAACTGTCGAATAACGTTTTTGCCTATTTCGTCTCTGTTAAGATTTATATTGGGTTTATGAAGTAGGGTTATTTAAAATTGAGAAACTAATACTAGCTTTCAGGCCGATGGAAATTATTATTTGTTATTTTAGTTGTGGTTTTAATGAACTATCATCAAAAATTATAGCCCGAGTTACTCAGAGCATTTCTTCCCCTTAGAACTGCCGTGAATATCACCACTATGAACATCTACTCACGGGACATGCGAGCGACACAATTACTGATCGTATAACTTGTCAGCTTACGGCTCGATAGCACTTATCGCCTATGATATCCGAGATATTTGTCAATCAAGCCTACTAAAAGAGCCTAGAGGGGCATTATGCGGGGTAAGCGGGGTTAGACCGTTCGTATAGTCCGATTTGTATGGAGACCTCGGCGGGTGGCACATGTATAAAGGAGGGGAAAAGGTGCTAAATCCAACACTCTTCTTCTACATCATACCATTCTACCATATTCACCACCGAGATCCATCAATCACCATGTCTCCTCCATCCGCAACCGGTTTTGAAACCGCCACGATAGCGTTGCAGTCCCAAGATGGAGTCGACACCGCCGCCGCAGCCATGGGCTCTAAATTCCCCACCCCCCGCAAGTTCGACGACAAACTCAAGGAGCGCGAATACCTCAAAGGCCGCCTCATCCTCGCCTACCGCATCTTCGCCAAACTAGGCTACGACGAAGGCGTCGCCGGCCACATCACCCTTCGCGTGCGCCCCCTCCCCCTTCCACCTCCCCAAAGCCGCAACTAACCGGCCCCAGGACCCCGTAGAGCCGACCTCCTTCTGGGTCAACCCCTTTGGCGTCGCCTGGCCTCTCCTCAAAGCCTCAGACCTCATCCTCGTCAACGCGGCCGGTGAGATCGTCGACGGCGGCCCCGTCCGCCTCCTCAACAAAGCAGCCTACATGATCCACCACGCCGTCCACACCGCGCGCCCAGAGGTAAACTGCGTCGCGCACTCTCACTCCATCTACGGTCGCACCTTCTGCGCGCTCGGTCGCGAACTTGACATCATCACCCAGGACGCATGCGCCTTCTACAACGACCACGCGCTGTACGACTCATTCAAAGGCGTAGTGCTCGGTGAGGAGGAGGGGCAGGAGATCGCTGCTGCGTTGGGTGGGAAGAAGGCGGCGCTGCTGCAGAACCATGGGTTGTTGACTTGTGGGTTGAGTATTGAGTCGACGGTGTTCTGGTTCACGTCGCTGGAGAAGTGTTGTCATGCGCAGCTGATGGCGGATGCGGCGGCGGGGGGGAGGGGTGGGGTGACGGTTAAGGTTAATGATAAGGAGGCGGAGTTTACGGGGAAGGCTATTGGGACGGAGACTGCGGGGTGGTTTAGTGCGTTGCCCGCGTTTGCTGTGATGGAGAAGGAGGTGGAGGAGGGTTATGATCAATAGGTATCATTCTGATTAATGTACAATCAAATGTTCTCCATGTTAAGATTGAAGGCCAACAGGAATCATTGTTTTTGTTCTATTTGTGAGGAACGGGCGTATCAGTTGTAGTCCTGAGTGGCTGAACACCCCTATTTTAATCACGGCCACTATACTTGGTGGTCAGTCCAGTTGGGCGCTTAAAAATATAAAGCCATACTAAATTTATCAGGTGAGAATGAGCACTTTCACAGTTTGGTACCTGAACTAGCCCCCTGAGTCACCAGAATAGCGCTGTCAAATACCAAAATTATGGCCTCATTCTTAGAGAAGTGTGTGAATAGTCTTCCCACTTGCTTCAAACTCCACGCCGTAGCATCGTCGGCTCCCCATCTTCCCCTTGACTCACCGGAATAGCACCTGTCAATCCCTATGACGATGGACTAATTCTAATAGTGTTAAAATAATAAATAATCCCCTAGCTTCCCCAGCTGTGCTTATAATTCTACGTTGTGCTCCATCGATTCTCATTCTGCCTTCACAATCCTATATACAGCCATCTACGATTATTTGGTCTCATCACCACATACACTTATTTATACTCAGTTTCCAAACAAAATATCCTTACATCAAAATGAATACTCTAAAGCGCAGATCCAGGCATTCTGCTCAACGCCATCTCCAAACTCAGCCCACAGCACTAGAATCGCCCTTCCTCAAGCTCCCACTCGAACTCATATACCTCACAGCAAGCCACCTCCCCACCGAATCAGTGGCATGCTTGAGTCTATGCAATCATTATCTTTATTCAAGCCTCAAAACAGAATACCACCTCAAGACGGAGTCTATCTTCACGATCGATAACCTGCATCCTCCCAGAGACGCCGACTCCATAGTAATGAACGCCTTCCTCCATCTCCTAGAACGAGACCTACCCCTCCACATCATCTGTCCCCACTGCAACAAACTACACTTCACACCCCTCGCCGAGCGGCACCTGGTAACAGAGCGATATTCTCCAACAACCAGCAAGACCTGGTCAAAATGCCGGACCCGGGACTCCCTCAGCCAGGGCGTACGCTACACGCCGCCTCGTTTCAGCTCAACCATCTTCCTCATGGCCATGAAAACCCACCGCCGCGGCTGCGACACCAGCCCGCTCCTCGACCTACTCTCCTACAAAAAGATAGAGAGCTGCGCGGGGTTCACGCAACTCCACATCTCCGAAGCGCGGATCCGGAACGACAGCCTCCTCATCCGCGACCAGAAAGTCTTCATGCTCCCGGCGTCAAGGAAAAACCCCTTCACATTGTTCGGAGAATTCGGCTTCTGTCGCCATTGCGTGCTTCACAGCACGGACGATCTGCTCTGCTGCGGGATCTACGTCCCGACGGTTGAGGAAATGGACAACTACGTGAGTAGGGAGGGGATTATATATTGCAACTATTGCCATACGGAGCTGCGCATCGATTTCAAGAGCTATGGGAAGGCGGGTAACGCGATGTTCGTCACGCGTTGGATGGATATCGGCGAGGGCCGCGATGTCGATGATGTTAAGTGGAGGGTTCGACTTGGTGGAGGTAATGAGTGGCTGTGGGACGAAGTTATATATCCGCGTGGTTCGATCTGTGATGCTTTTGAGGGAGGCGAGGATTTTGAGTTTGATTTGATCATGACTAAGAAAGATGAGATGGAGTTGTTCGCGAGGCGCCCTTTGGTGGCGCTTGCAAGTGAGAGAGGTCAAGGAAAGGTGGAACCGAGTCATATGATTATTGATGGCAGGATTGTTAGGGTGCCCTCTACAGAAATCGGCCGCTGTTGCGATCATAGCCATCAGCAGTATAGACACCGTCCCTTTTGAATAATAGCAGAGAAACTGTTCTTTACAGATAGCAAAATAGAAATCGTTTCTTAAAAATGGAAAAATAGAAACAATTCCTTGAAAATGGCACGATGGAGACTGCTGTTTACAAACACCACGACAGTTTCCAAACTAATCTTCACAGATAGTATTCTCTATACCCCTATTTAAATATTCCAACCCCCCTTCTTCCCCCCATCCATCATAATCGCTACATATGCATCCATAATGCAGGGTATACTTTATCTTCCCCGCCTTCCCACCAAAAACGCCAAACAGGTTATGCCACCCTCCCATAACGCCAAACCACAAATCCGCCGTCATTTAAATCACAAAAAGCAGCCCACCCACATCATTAAGATCCATCCCCTCCTCCCTCCTCCTCCTCCTCCCCCTACTAGCCTCCGCATTGGGATTACTATTATTCGCTCCACCACCCTGCGGACCCGACGGCACCGACGTCCTCCTCCCATCCCTCGCACCAAGACTCTGCATCTCCACCCCCCTCTCCTCTCTCTTCTTAAAACTCCACCCTTTCAACAAGCCCCCCTCGCTCCCCCTCCTAGCCAACGCCCCCTGCGCTGCCTGCGCCGCCGTCATCGGCGGCCCATCTTCCATCAACCCGCCCACATCCTGTAGAAACACCGCCGCGCCCCCTGTATTTGCGGGGTCATCCAGCGGCCCCGCCACAGGGGCCGGGAAACTATCAAACGGCGATGCGCTCCGCCGCCTCGGCGGAACCATCGCCGACCCCCTCCGCGACAGGGTTGGACCAGCTAGGCTTCCTTTCCGCGAAGGGCCTTTGCGTTTATTAACTGGCGGCGGCGGCGGCGGCGACTCCGGACCCAGAAGGCCGCCGACGTCGAAGAAACTGTCGTCTCGGCGGTTCGTAGACGGGACATGGCGGGGATCATAGTCGCCCACCGTCTCGACGTCCGACACGTCGCTGCGTCGCTGCGAGGGGAAGCGCCAACTCCTGTCCACGCCTCCACCCGGCTCTGCGACCGGCGCGGGTCGTGCTATGGATGCGCCGCTCTCAGGGCGGAGGTCGGCGTCGACGCCGATGCCGAGGCCGCGGACGAGTTCTTCGTCGCTGCCCCACTGTTTGAATGCTACTGCGCCGGGGCCATAGACGCGGCCACGGCGGGAGGAGATGGTGCGCTCCATGGAGCCTGCGGAGCCGAGCTTGTACTTGGGTTTCTTGACGCCCTTGTCGCGGACGAAGGAGCCGATGACTAAGGCGTTGGCGACGGCGGTGGCGAAGAGGATCTCGATGCTGGCCCAAATGGAGCGGTAGTGTTGTGCACCCTGGTGACGGATGACGTAGGGGACGCGGGAGAGGGTGATGCCGATGGGGATTAGGGAGAGGCCGAAGAGGATGGTGAGCATGGTTTTGCGGGAGAGCGGCATGTGGGAGTTGAAGATGAGGGGGATGGGGAAGATGACGAGGAGGAGGTCGGTCGTTACGTTGGCTACGGCCATGGTGATGAGTTGGGCGTAGCCTTGTCGGCATTGGGGCCCGGGGTCGGGGACGACCTGCCAGTAGTGTGTGACGGGCCGGCACTCGACGAGGTCGGCGATCACGACGGCAATCATGGTTGCGCCGAGGTAGTAGTACATGAGCCGTAAGACGAGCTCGTGCGTTGAGCGCCAGATGTTTTGTGTGAGGCGCTTCAGGAATTCAGCAATAGAGAGTTTGAGCATCCACAGGCTATAAGTGGGCGGTTAGCAAAGTTCTCATATGGTGGCCAAAACGGCTGATGCGCGGGAGGGGGTTTTTGGGGTGAGAATAAACTCAAAATGGAGAGGCCACTCACGAAGCAGCATAAAATATCCTACTCCCCAGCACCAACCGGCTGCCTATCTCCCTGTGTGATATATTTAGCTGGCTCAACCCATCTGTGATAACATTATTCGTGCCATAGAGCAGCACAACATGGACCAAGGCCATCCTTGCCAGTATGGGTATGATGCAAAGAGAAGCGATGATGTCCTCGGGGAACAGCTTCTCAGTTCGGATATAGCGCCCCGTAACGCGGAACATGATGATAGTTACGGCGAACATGGTGCACCACCAGCACACAATCAGCGTGGCCTTGTCTTCGTTGAAGTTGCGCGCCGGCGGCGGCGCCGTCCAGAACGTCGTCATGACCACGGTTTCGGTGGCGGCGTCGGTGTTGTCTGCCCTCCCGCCTCCACCGGGAGACAGGCGGGTGGTGAGGGTGGTCGCAGGCGGTGTTTATGGGGGGCAATGCTCGCGTGAGGGTTCGTGGGATTCCGTATTTCTCTTTCGTCGGGGTACTTGGCGGGGGAAAAGGCGCAGGCGCAGAGTAGTTTGCGGTGGCGGCGTTGGAAGGCGGATGGACGTCGGTGTTGAACGGCGGCGTCGACGAGATCAATGGGGGTTCTCGGTGGTGATATTCGAGGGTTGAGGTCGGCATGCGACAGGAGATTGGGGAAGTGTGAGCAGAGGCACTCCATGCTATTGCAGTAGGGCAAGATGTGGAGAGAAGGCTGGGCCCAAAAAAGTAAGAGTGAGATAGGCGTTTTTGTTAGTCAAGTAGGGTGGAGTCCCATCACGGTCTCTGGTGGGGAGGTAGGTGGGTCAGCGAGATATCCGAGAGCTCTGCATGGTTGACGTCGATGGGAGCGAGGGAGGGAAGGACCAGGGACTGTCGATCCTAGGGCTCGAGGATAGCACTGGAGCAATATAGGAAGTGGGCTGTACCTGCGAGTAGCGGCAGGGTAGATAAGAGTATGAGGCGATGTCGAGATGCAGGGTAGTTTGAGCGGGCGTTGAGTGGCGTCGGGGGGGGGGGTGAGATGAGAGAAGCCGAGGGAGATAGTACAGAGTGAGTACGGGCAAGTACAAAGAAGGGGAAAACTGGGGGAGATAGTAGGAGCACAAGCAGTTGTAAGAGCCGTATTAGGCGCCGGGGCAGAGTAGCACAAAGGAGGAGGAAAGAAGGAGAAGGAAGGAGGCGACTCGAGGACCATGCACACACGACCAGCGATAACGAGGCTTAGGCTGACTGACCTGACACTGGCAACCACTTCCTGCGGCCGCATATAAAAAGGCAAGTGCGGTGAGAGAATTCGGTGCCGACTGGTCAAAGGCTGTGCGTAAGATGGTAATAATGGGGTAATAAAAGGGTAATAAAAGGTGGTACTCGAGTAGGAGTAGGTAGTATAAGTAAGTGAGTAAGTAACTGGTAAGGCGGGCTGGAGGGGAGGAGGCGTTGTATTGGAAAGTTGACAGGGTTATCGGGGTCTGGTTGTTCTGTGCAAAAACTGGGTTTTTGGTGAATGAAAAGGCGGGAACCTGGTTCGCCCAGGGAAGGAAGGGACGAGTGGTGGGATGGGGATGAGGGTGTGGGATAGTTCGGCTCGGTACTTAGATTGTCGCGTGTGATAACACGCAAAATTAAGTACCTGACCCCACCTGTCCCACACTTTTTCACTTTGGTCCCTGCGCTATTTTGCATGTACCATAACTCGAGTACACAGCCTCTACCCCCAGTGGCGAAGCCGAATGATAAGGAGAATGCGCCAGCAATGCGCCAGAAATGCGCCAACAGAGATGAGACCATGGATGTTGTATCGTTGTTGTATCCTCATACACGGTCCTGAAAGCCCATACAGAGTCATGAACAACTCATCTGTATGCAAGGACGACAACAGCCTTGCCCTGTTGCCTTGCTGCCTTGCCTCGAGGTTCTTGTTGTCCCCAATACCGGCAGGCATCAATATAATACCTATGCATCACGCACCGTATCAGCCAGCGTTATCATGAACCGCATCCCCCCAGCCTCCTCGTACTTATCGCTCACCTCACATAACTCTCACTCACCGTCGCCGGGCACTCCCTCGGTCTCCTTAGTCTCGATATGCATGGATGTGGGAATCCTCTGTGCCTCTTCGGCCTATTTCCGAACTATGACGATGGCCTGTGGTCGAGGTTGGAGAAGTCCTTTCCCTCCCGCTGACCCGTCCACGACCCGTGGAAATAGACAAACCACAAACCACAGACCTCCGGAGGATCTCCGGAGACTGCTATAGACCACCAAGAGAACACTGACTAACAGCAACAAGCATCCCATCAAAGCGCAAAGAGTGGCTTGACACCAGTAACCATACTCACAATCACCACTTCCCCTTTTCCTTCCTCCTTGGCCCCCTTCCCCATTTTTCACCCGTCACCCGTACACTTCCCCATCCCCGATCCACCAGTCCCCAAAGGGAAGGTCGTTCCCAACTCCACGGGTCTAATCGGGAAAGGGAGGGGGAGGAGTGGAGAAAAGCAAAGGCCTTGCGCACGTGCTCTTCTTGGATTGCGTAGATAAGTACTCCCTTCCTACGGAGTATGCCATGTCCAATTCCAACGTAGTTCGCGGTACGTACCTCTCATCGAGCAACTGGCGCGCACCTTATTAGATTCCCCTGCCCTGTGCGATCCATCCAGCAGTCATCCAGGCCACCAAGAGGGTTGATGTGGTGTACCATGGTGTAGAATACCAGACGAGGAGGAGCGAGAGCGACGTGTGACAGTGACGCGCCGAGGACAATCGGGGTACTATTGGACACCAAAAGCTGTAATCACCGAACCCTGAGACATTCCATTCCCCGAAGATGCGCCACGCCAATAAAACACGGCTTCCAGAAGGCCTCGTCTCCCGTCCCTAATGTCTCGGGAAAGCCATGACATACCATGGCGGCGTGGCATGGCGTGTGTGTGCGTTCATGTCGCGCGCGCCACGCGCTTTTCATGTCAAGTCTGTCACCTCAACCTGTCGATCAATGTGACAGAACCCCAACAAGCAACAGTGGCAGGTTGCTGTTGTGCAGTACCGACTCCACCTGCTGCGAGTATGTCCTCCTCGGTGCATGTGATGATAATCCGCATATCGATATCAGGAGTGTGTCTTGAGATAGCACGACATGTGAGGACCATCCCGTAGAGTATGTAAACAAAACCCCCCCAGGCGGCTGCTACGCTCGAACCACACCGAGATCGGGGAGAGGTTTCGTTCATGCACGCGCGCGATATGTTTAGCGGGATTCAGCTGCCTAATGCGGAGCCTGGAGGCGTCAGTCTGTGCCGTGCCGTGCGGAGGTTGGGCTGGGGGTCGACGGGTGAGCGGGTGGTAGAGGTCCCTTCTTGTCTGTGGTGGTGTGTTCGCGTTTTGGAACTGCGGTTGGACGTCTTGTCAGTTTGTCGTGGCTGAACTGGTCTGGGCTGGACTCGATTTCCTCAAGGTTTACTCGAATTTGAACGGTTGGTATCGTACTGTCATGCCTGTGCAGTATCATTGCAAGGTTGAATCCGGAGCAACCCGCAGACGCCCAACGCGGGATTAGACGATCCAACACCCTCTCCCGTGCTGTGGCTTGATCAATACTGTTGTTGTGTTTTAGGTAAGTTGGAGCATCACCTATTTCGAGATCTGGTGCGGGTGCTGTAATAGGCAACTCGCTGCATGATCCTTCGGCTGTCGCTTGTGCTGGGTGATCTGCGACGCATCCTTGAGGTATTTTTGGCGATGGGGGTGGGGATTGGAGATGTGATGTGATACGATAATCTGGAGTGTGATGGGGTAGCTGTGGTGTTGGTGTTAGGGATCTGTGGAGGGAAGGAGGAATTGAGGGTTTTGGGAGCTTGAGGTGTTCCCCATGGGGTTTTGTGAGGCATAAACCAATACCGCGTTTTTTGGCTTAGTATGAGCACACGCATATATCACATTGATTGATATTATAACATTCAATTAAGACTTGAAACATTGGCCTCGGTAAGTTTTGGCTTTTTAGATGTACGTTTCTTTAGATTTGACGTATCTGATTCTCTGTGGAAACATGAATGTGACGACCTCATAGCGTCGCTTACAGGGAGACAAAGGGGGTTTGATAAGTGGCAGCGCTACAAGTAATAGAACAGATTAGGGGTCCAATGGTGAACTTACTACAGTTGGTCGTTGTCTCTGCTGATGACAGTATCAAAATCATACCTTTAGACCTGCGAGCTGGCATATGCACCATAGCCAACGTAACCAATCCAGCCCTCCAGAGACGACTATTTATCCGTCGAGAGCCTCAAAGTAAGCGTGCACTTCAGCTGCACTAACCTGCATCCCCCAGCAGCGCGTGATAATATCCCCACAAGCAATTTCCGTTACATCAGGGAAGGTGCGTGATCCATATAGCTCCTCGACCTCATTGCTAGGGGTATCTTTGTAGGGATATGCGTCTGTCATGATGAAGTAGATCAGCGAGCCAAGACCAAACACATCTTCTTCAAACCTAGGAGGCGCATCCCAGTCAGAAACCGGATATCGGAACGGCGTCCCTGCAACAGCAGACGCCGCAGATCTAGCTAGAGATCCCCCCTCAAAGTCCGCAATTTTCAGGTGAAGATCACCGTCAAGCAGAAAGTTCCGCGGCGAGATATCGCAGTGTATAACGCCCGCAGCTTGCAGTACGCTTAACCCCTCACTTGCCTGCTTCGCCCACCGCTGCCGTAACTGGGGCGTCAAGCTCTCCGAATTCGTAGTGATGTAATCCTTCAGCATGCCATTCTCGAGGTACTCCATCGTAAGGCAGCAGGTCTTCAGATCCCAGGAGACAATCCCTGAGATACGGGGATGCAAACCAACGGCATCGTAGATACGAGCCTCGAGCCTCATGTCTTGACAGTGCGCTTCGAAATAGCGCTGGTCTAGATCAGGTAGGGGCGTCTTGACCACGTCGCCGGAGGGCAGGCGTTCGAGCCGCGCAGTCACGCCCCATCCGATCTGTTTCCCCTTGGTTATGTATGCGACTTCGCCGGGCTTGAGTTGGGGGGGCGTGAATTGAGGCCTGGAGGGGGGTAGGCGCGTCGTTCCCAGGGGCCGGGGATGGGGATGTAGGAAGATGTATGTCCGCACTATTCAGGATTCCTTCTCTATTACGAATAGAGGAGGGAATCCCCACCAATGTTTAGTTCACAATGTTCTTTCCAGCGATATATTGAGCACCCAGATCGTCAACTAAACTAAGCATTTCTCAAGCAAATTTTGATCCAGTTGCTGCTCGCACTAGACTTCTTACATACCGAATGCCATATCATCCACACAGGTTAGTTTGCTCTTCTCACCATGCTTTAGAAAACATACTAACAAAATGCTAGATATAAAAGAGGAGAATATCTTGCGCGGTTTAGCCGATTCATCTATCGTGGAACAACTAGACGCGGAAGAAATCGCAGAACTGAGCTTTTATAAAAGCATCAACGGGTACAATATCTACAGAAGCGCAAATTTTGGTATTCCAAAGAGGTTTGGCCGGTCAATCCTGTGTGACTTCTCTCTCGCTCGAAACGGACAGGTTGAGCACTGTCATGACATCCAGCCGGATCCTTACCGGGCTCCAGAAGTCCTTCTAGAGATGCCATGGGGCTATCCTGTGGATATATGGAACGTCGGGGTTATGGTGCGCGATTTCCCTTCAAATATCTAATATTACAATGCGTCGTGGTGAAACTAACGGGACTTCTAGATTTGGGATATGTTTGAGAATAGACGTATGTTCGATGGGCTGGACCCAGAGACTGGCAAGTATGAGAACCGCTTCCAACTTGCCAGCATTGTTGGTCTTTTGGGACCTCCACCCCCCGAGTTCCTCCAGCGAGGCGAATACAGCTCCGTTTACTTCGATGATAAAGGTAAGCCCCTGATTCTAAGAACGTGCATTTACGGATCTAATACACATACGACAGGGAACTGGAAGTGTGTGAATCCTGTCCTACTAGTGTTTTGGGAGGATTGTGAGAGAAATCTCCATGGCTCTAATAAGAAGGACTTTCTCGACTTCGTCCGCAAAATGGTTAGATGGACACCAGAATCAAGAGCGTCGCCCGAGGAGCTATTGCAAGATCCTTGGCTTCTTGGAGATGTGGAAGAATAGAGGCTATCCCCCTTTCTCCCAAGCATGTCAAGGTCAGGGGCCAAAATTTAACATATTTCACAGCCTCTGTCTGCGTCATATGTTTTCTTTGAAAGGTAATCTGCTACCACAAGACGGCCAGTCCTTACTCCTGACGACAGACTTGCCATAGCATAGTGGCGAGGTTGTTCCTAATCTACTGTTGCCGAAACCGCTCTGAAAGAGAACTGATAATTTGAGCTTGAATACCGATACCCATATGCGAGTACTCAAGTACCCCCAAAAGTGCTGGCATATTAAGATATAACTTAATAGATAACATTATTGAAACCAATTTAGCTCTCATTATCTGCATCGTCACCGCTGTCCTCGTTTTCTGATGATGTCTTATTTCAGACCGCAGGCTATTTGTAGATCTGCTGACCGGCTATCTGTTATGGCCTCCATCATGGGAAGAAATAGTAAGTATTGTAGTTATATGACTCCCTCCCGCTCATATCCCCTTGGGCATTCCGCCTAAAAGCGCCATGTCCCATTCGCCTTAAAACAAACCCAAAAAATCAAGGACCATGTCAACAAACAAGGTCATACCACCTCTTCCACCTAGGCCACTCCTCCTTCTCCTCCCTCTCCGCCTTCAACAGCTTGTCTAGATTCAACTCCCGCCTCCCTGTCTGGAGATCCATATCCCTTGCCCTCCACACCTTGGTCTTATGCCGGTATTTATAGACCCCATACATGATCAGCACGGTCGGGGCAGTCAGGTACGCTAAAAAAAAGCTCCTCAGTTGCCCCCTTATGCCAATCTCGCCGTAATTAATGGGCCACGCGCCCGTCCAGAACTGCGCCACCAGGACAAACACATTGAAGATGAATCCCACCCAGCTCCCCACTAAGCCCGGCTGCGACACGAATGCTAGCTCGTTGAGGCTGTGGCCCTGCAATGCCCAGGCACGCCGGAATCGGATGTGCGACAGGCAGATGGAGCCCCAGGTAAAGATGCTAGAGAGGCCGGAGAAGGAGAGCATCCAGTTCAGCACCGTGCCCTGCTGCCCGCTTTCAACAGCGTAGGCTATAAAGCCCACAGCGCAGGCGATAGCGATGGCAACGATGGGACGGCCTTTGCGGTCAACGTAGCCTAAGATCTTTGGTGCGTGGCCCTGGTCAGCTAGCGCAGCTAGAGTGCGGGTGCTGCCAAAAACAGCGCTGTTACCGACGGATACTATGGCGATTAAGATCACGGCGTTCATCACAGAGGGTAGGACGGCGATGCCGGCGTCTTCAATGGCGATAACGAAAGGCGAGGCGCTACCGTTAGCATTGGCGGAGCCTTCGTTGAAAAGCCGCTCGTCGTCATGTGGCACTAGGAGACCCACAACTGTCAAGCTCACGATGTAAAATAAGGTGATACGCCAGAAAACCTGCTTGATGGCCGTTGGTAGGCTCTTTCTCGGGTTTGCCGTCTCCGCTGATGCGAGGCCTATTAATTCCGTGCCCGCGAAAGCAAATGCAGCGGTTATCATGACAGAGCAGAGGCCCTTAAAACCGTTGTTAAAGGGACCCGGGTCGACCCAGAATTCCCCGCCGATGTAGCCGCCGTCGGGGTTGCCGGCGCAGTTGATAATGATGCCGAGGATGACGAAGCCAATCACCGCGACAATTTTAACGACGGAGAAAAGGAACTCGGCTTCGCCATAGCCTTTGACGCCAAAGAGGTTTATAGAGATAATGAGAACGAGAAAAATCGTAACAAAGATGGAGCGTGGGAGCGTGGTATTCCAGTAACCCATAGTTACGCTAGCGGCGACAATCTCGAGCGGGAGAACGATGAGCCATTGCGTTGCATAGCTTGTGTTGTTAGTAACCTTTACCCCTAGCAAGTCAACGGATATAGGACTTACGCCCAGCCCATGGCGAATCCCCATGCCGGATCAAGAAATCTTGTCGAATACGCAGAGAAAGAGCCAGCTACTGGATATAAGACGGCCATCTCACCTAGAGCATGCACCGTACAAAATAGCATGCTCCCAATAAGTGAGAAGGCGATTAGTACTGATGCTGGCCCACCCTCATGCAGCATCCTTCCACTCGTAACAAACAATCCAGCTCCTATTTCCTAGTTAGCTTCTTCCATTTCTTGCTACACTCCCATCACAGCATCCTAACTGACCAACACTCCCTCCAATTGCAATCATCTGCAGATGTCTTCCCTTCAACTTTCTTGCTAGTGCTGTGTTCGCTGTCGCTATTACCGCCATATGCGGATCCAAGGCACCATGGTGGTCAGTGGAATTAATAGACTGACTAATGGAACGTTGGCGATTTGGGTCCCTCTTGAAGCTATCCACGAACCTCTGAGATAAACTCGGATGCTGGTCCCTGTCAACTCTATACCAGGGTTCGCCGCTGGAGTAGTTCGTTGAGCTGTTGTAGTAACTCTGCGCGTTAGAGGTGAGACGGGAGGGGCTTGAGAACTCTTCAGGGTACTCATGGTGCGAGGGGAGCGAGTGGAGCGAGTATGACTTAGGCATTGTGGAGGTTGGTTCGGTGGAGGCTAGGAGATGATGGTAATGCTTTGAGAGTCTTGGGAGGGAGTTTGTAGTTCAGCTATGCGGTGTGTATTAGGTGTATGTAACCGGACGTCACGCCGAATATATCTGTCAAACGTCGAATGGGTATTGAAAGGAGACACAGTACATGCAAAGGTACACCGTAGTAGATACCGTAAAGGGGCCAATTCTCCAAAGTCGCATAAGGAGTTGAGCTTAGCCAAAACAGCAATTCCTCTGTCGCTGGGTTCGCTGCAGCAGAGATTGGTCATTCTATTCGCTGTGTCACACACGCATGAGCTCCAAGACGTCTGTCCTGCACTATCTTCTACTCGTTGAGACGAGTGTGAACAACGAATTGCCCCTCGCTGAAGTAGATCCAAGAGCTGTACAGGTCGTACGTAATGTCTGCCGTATCAAAGGCTACAGCTCCTTGCAATCCGCCGCCGTCAATACCGGAAAGAGAGCAGAAAAAGCGATTGAGAGAGTTTGAGAGGGTGGCGACCAGAATTATAGTTTTGGACGAACGAGATCTTATACTGTTGGACCGAGTCGACAAGAAACGCGACGAGTATTGGGGAAGGTATCTTGGGGTAGGTGCGTTGCTTTTACGCTTTGATCTTAGTCGCCGTCGCTACCAAAGGAATGCCACTAAACCCCTCAAAGCTCGGACCTAACTGTAGAATCCACAACTTATCTTTGTATCTACTTATAATGGATTCCAATTATGGAAGTAGATCCAAAGATAAGAAAGCAACAAACAACGTCCTAATTATTACGATAATAACGCCAAACTGACATGAAAATGTTGCTTCGCCTCACTCACCCCACTCACCCAGCTCACTCCCCGGCTCACCCAGCTCACCCTCGCTCACCCGTCGCTTCACCCTTCAGACGGCAAGGGGCCGCCCCGATTTTGCGCTATGACTATTGGCACGATTGAGACTATTATCCATAAGATACGCGAGCTTGTGTATGTCAGAGCGGACGGACAGGATGCCCCATTCTGTTGAGCCTATGGTCGTATGTGAGAGTTGTGTGTATGTCGGGGACTAAATACTCTGTTGGTTGAGTAAATGGGCGCTCTCTCTGCTCACTTACAGATCTACGGCAACGACTGTTTCCCCTAACCTCAGAATATAAGTATAGCTTCCCCCCCTTCTTTTACAAGAGAACATCGTTATAGAAAGTGTCACAATCTTAATACAGCAAAATTGAGACCCTTTTGTTTTCAGAGGACAGGGCAACAGATTATATTTTAAGTATGTTCGCTCGCTACCTTCCATGCCCTATAGAAAAATGGATATACATCGCTCAGGCAGATTTCTTACCGCGAGCCATCGAGGCTACATATGAGCCGGCTGGACTGAAATCCACGAAGCCGTGTTTCTTGTATAGGGGTGCACCCGCCTTGCTGGCGTCCACGTAGGCAGCTACGTCGTTTTCGTCAGCCAAGTCGCAGCCCCATTTGACGAGCATCGCGCCAGCTCCACGCTTTTGATAATCGGGATGGGTGCCTACGGTATCCAGGTCTGCCTCATACCGAAAGTTAGCAACCAACTCTCTAAATACTCAATTACCCGAGCCATGAGGGTGGGAGGGCTCATTCCATACAGTAGTTCTTCTCGTCGCCCATGACACGCTTCCTCTCACTTTCTAGCCCCGAAACAAACGCCTCACATTCCTCCTGAGGACAGTCCGGATGCCACGGCGGGAAGCGACGGCCACGCTCTTCAGGCATAGCCAGGTCCCAGATGCCAAAGGCAACGATTCGCGGCCGGCCTTGCTCATCCTTCGATTCGGGGTCGACTATCCGTAGGTATTTGGTATCGGGCCTAGTCTGGAAGTTTCCCAGATGCCAGTCACGGTGCCACTCGCGCATGCCGGGAGTGTCGGGGAGTAGCTTCCTCATTGTCGGTTGCGTGAAGGCCGCAAACCAGACATCAATGATGGCTGGGACATCTTCCGCGGTAGCCAGCTCGAGCACGAGAGAGTTGGTAGTTGATGCCATATTGGATGGTGTTTCAGCCTGCATGAATGCGCGTCCCGCCATGCCGTGCCGAGTTTGTTCAAGTGTACAATGGTTAATTGGCACGGGAAATGGCTGTTTGATAGAAGGGGAATCAAATGGAAGGGGGTTGATGCGAACAGATATATTGTTAAACAGGTGAGGGGCTACAGTCAGCACAGATAGGGAGGGGTTCACATATCGCACTTGATAATAGACTTGTGCATATATACGAGTTAAGCTCGTAATCACTAATCCTAACACATATAGCTTCTTTTTTAGTTAACAGATCTCGACCAATAAACCTTTAATCAACCCACAAAAAGGATCGTATAACTCTAGTGCACTGGGCCTGTAAAGATGGCTATTTTACAGTGTTAGAAGTGCTACAACTCCGTACGACCTTCCTAAATTGTATGAATATTCAATAGTGAATAAGTGCGCTGCATAAAATAGCGATGTAAGCTGTCTCTTTTAGTAGCCTTTTTGCCTTCGCATTGTTAAACGGAGCTTATTGATTGTATCCCTAAGTGATTGAACGACCTTACTTGAGTTATAGTTGCTGTAATCGTTGTTGTTTATAAACAGCCCCTCTATAGATTTTAGGTGGCACCTACGAACGACTACCCCACTAAAATCTAAATTAATTGATCCATCGTTTTAAGGTTTGGCACAAGGCCTCCAACCTCAACCCCACCAACCTCAAAAACTAGACCCCACCAACACTCCCCAGCACTATGCCGAAAATATAGCTTCAAGGAATCCCTAACAATATCTGCCGGAGCCCATCCAGATCCCAAAAATGGATGCCGCGGAGGACGACAGAGATATCAAGCTCCAAAAGCTAAGCTCCACCTTCATCGCCGACTTCGAACTCTCCCTTCAGCCCTTCCTCTACCGCACCACTGCAGATGGAACCGCAAAAGTTCGCCGCAACGTGCGCGCGCGTGAAGCTGACCGTCTCGTCGGCCTGGTACCTCCCCTTCACCCTCCCAGCTATCCCCAGCCAGTTGACCTTTGTATCTAGCTCGAACCCTTTCAAGAGCTCCCCCAGCTGCTTGACCCGCACCTGGGCCGGTTCCTGCCCGTGCTAGCGGACGCGCTACTAGCGTACCTGCGTGCGCCGCCGCTGAAGAAGGGCGTGGAGCGGCCGCAGCTCGTGACGCTTTCGCAGGCGATTTGCAGGCTGCTGTATACGTTTTGTAAGATCCGAGGAGAGAAGGTCGTGGTAAGGTTCTTTGGGGCAGAGACGAGGAATCTGGAGTTGTTGCTTAATACTGTTGAGGATGCCGAGAGGAGCGAGGAGACAGGGAAGGGAGATGAAGAGGTGAAAGAGTGGACGTGGGAGGAAAGGTACATTTGCTTGCTGTGGCTGTCGCATTTGCTGTTGGCGCCGTTTGATTTATCAACCATTTCGTCGGCAGGCACAGGGGACGCGAAGAGGCCGGAGATAGCGAACTTGGTATGGCCGGAGAAGCTTCCAAGTGTGGCAGAGCGGGCCATCCCACTGGCGATCAAGTATCTGGGAGCGGCAGGGAAAGAGAGGGATGCGGCGAAGGCGCTACTGGTGCGCATTTCTATGAGGCGGGATATGCAAGCACTGGCGCTACTGGATGCGCTTGTACAGTGGGCCATGGCATGTTTGAAGTCGTCGACAACGTTGGCGTCGAACTCATCATACTACTACATTGGTGTGCTGTCCTATCTAGCCGGGATCCTGATCTCGTCGCTCAGCACGGCGGATATGGATCCGTACCTCCTCAAGGTCTTCCGTACGGTGCAGAATATTTCGGATGAGGAGAATGTTGCATTCAAGATTGTGCATGCGTCCGCGATTGCGAGGAAGACCGTTATCAAGGTCCTCCGCACTATTGCCGTTCTGGCGCTGAGGAGAGAATACTCATCCAAAGGGAACGAGGTGATCACAAACGAGATTGTCGAGTCTACAGTCGGCTATCTCTTGGACGCCCTGGCTGATAACGACACCCCCGTCCGCTTGGCAGCCAGCAAAGCCCTCTCAGTCATAACACTCAAGCTCGCCCCTGACTTGGCTTCCCAAGTCGTCTCCGCCGTCCTCGAGTCCCTCACCACTAACATTCTCTGGACCACCCTCCCCGACGGCACAAAGACTCAGGACCTCACTGCCGTCAATCCCCAAGAATGGCACGGTCTCATCCTCACTCTCTCCCACCTCCTCTACCGCAAATCCCCGCCCCCCGACTCCCTCGCTCTCATCCTTCATGCCCTCCTTACCGGCCTCACATTCGAGCGCCGGTCCACTTCCGGCAGCTCAGTCGGTACTAACGTCCGCGACGCAGCATGCTTCGGCATCTGGGCCCTTGCCCGCCGCTACACCACCCGCGAGCTACAGGATGTCGTCACCGCCGAGGTCGGTGCTGCCACAGCTCACACCGGAGAAAAATCAATAATCCAGATCCTGGCCACTGAGCTTGTCGTCGCCGCCTCCTATGATTCGGCAGGGAATATCCGTCGTGGTGCATCGGCCGCACTGCAGGAGTTAATTGGACGACACCCGGATATTGTCACTGAGGGCATTGCGGTCGTGCAGGTGGTGGATTATCACGCTGTTGCTCTGCGATCGAGAGCTATTCTTGAGGTTGCACCTGCGGCGGCCAGACTGGGGGATTGTTATGCAGACGCTCTGATGCGAGCGTTGTTTGGGTGGCGCGGGGTGGGGAGTGGAGATGCGAAGTCGAGAAGGACTGTGGCTGGGGGTGTAGGAGAACTGGTGAAGTTGTTCGCTGGGAGTGGGAAAGAGAAGCCGTGGCGGAGGGTACAGGAGTTGATTGAACAAATTGACAGACAGCTGGGAAATTTGAAGCCCAGGGCTATAGATGAGAGGCATGGGCTGGTGCTGGTGATGGCTGCAGCTGCTGGGGCGCTTCCTGCGCTGTTGGACGCCAATTCTGCGAAAGAGTGGGAGGATCTACTAGATGCGGTGAAAGCGATTCTACGAGTTGTTTTATCGACACTGAAGAGTGCTATGGCATCGACATCTCGGAGGCCTGAACTTGGCCTTGAGGCTACATGCAGGCTGATTGTGGCTGCATGTCCGATAATTAGGATGGAAAGGGTGCTTGGTCATGCTGGTATAGATATAGTGGCTTGGGAGAAGATTTTGCACAACAAAACTTCCCTAAAATGTATCCCAGACGATTCATTCGACTCAACTGAGGTACGAGAGATCGTCGGAACCTCGGGATCCCTCATCGACGCCTCCCTCCGTCTCACCGACCTAGACACCATCGAAGCCGCCGTTGCCGCCGCAACAAGCCTAACTCTCATCATCCCCACCGCCGCCAGCGAATCTCTTATCCACTCCTGGGCCGTCGCCGTCACAGACCATTCAAGTCGCACCCGCCACCCAGGCTACCTCTTTGTTCTCGCCAGCGTCTTCACCCACACCCAGTCGCAAGACGCGATCTGTGCCCTCATCTTGGGCCAATGGCAACAGGCGACGAACATCGTGGACCGTGTGTCCATCTTGCAGTGCCTCAACCGCGCGCAGATCTTGGATTCCCACACTGCGCGCTTCATCCCGTTGATTGCCGAGGGACTGGATGACTATACGACGGATGCCCGCGGGGATATCGGGTCTCTTGCACGCATTGAAGCGCTGAAGGCGACGAGTAAGGCTTTTGCTACGATCCCATGTGATGCACAAAGTGGTGCTATGGTACAGGATGGCAATGAAGACTGGTTTGCCGACGAGGACCTCTTCGGCTCCCTTTACAGCCGCACGCTGCGTCTCGCAGCAGAGAAACTTGACAAAGTCCGCGGCGAAGCACAAACCGCGCTGGCCATCCTAATCCAGGATCCCATGTATGTTTCCACCCTTCCTCCTTAAGCACAAACTTAGAACTAACCCCCCAAAGCCAACACGCAGCCTTCACCTCCTCCCAGCATGCAACCCGCGTCTACTTCCGTCACCTCCTCGACCTCCAACTACCCTCATCCGTCTCCTGGCTCTCCACCGCCTCTATCCATCCACACCAACGCTGGACCGCCCATCTCTTCGATGGCTACGTTAGTGCCGCCGACTCCGGTGCCGAGGGCCTCATCCGCGCCTCCCGCGCCGCCCTAAACGACTTCTGCTTCGCCGCCCCCGCCAACCGTGAGCTCGTCTGCAACGCACTAGTCGGGTCCGTGAAACGCCTCCACGACGCCGGGGACGAGCGGGTGCTGCTCCCTGCGATGTCGGTAGTTGCGTTTCTGTTCGATGTGGGGATCTTAGAAGGAGGGGAGAAAGGGTTGAGGGGATTGTTTTTAGCGACGCAGCGAGCGCATTTTAAGAGCGGGAGTGTGAGGAAGTTGGAGGTTGCTGTGAGGGTTTATGGGGGATTGTTAGGGGTGGGGGAGGAGGAGAGGGAGGTGGAGAAGGTGCTGGTGAGGATGCTGAGGCATCCGTTTCCTGGCGTGAGGAAGGCGGTGGAGGATGTATTGTGGGTTGGCAGGGGAGTGGGGAAGGGCGGGGTGGGGGTTCAGGGGGTGAAGAAGGCATTGGAGGAGAAGTGGGAGAGTGGTGGTGAGTGATGCTGGGGTTATCCTCGGGAAAGCTGTATAAAGTTGGCGCAGTCAAGATTTATTAAAATAACATCCTAGTTTAATTCTATGCCATGAAGTACTGGCGCTGATTAGCTAACCCGGTTTGCTCTTGTCCGCTGTAAGGATCGTCAGAAACCCATACGGTTTATCAAACCAATCTTCCCAGCCCATCTTTCCCGAGGACCAGAATCTCTCAAGAGCATAATTGCAAACGGACGCCGCCGCGCAGCATCCGTTCGTGTGCGACTCCCGTCGGCTCTCCAGACGAAGCTGAAGGTTCGTAGCCGGCACCACGGACAGGTGGGAGTTCGACTTTGCCGGCCGACCTCTCGGGAAGATTCCGTCTTCGAGGCCAGGGGCATTTAAAGTCCGCCCCCAAGACCCCTATAACAATATTAGCCCATTCTCTAATCGAAATTAAAGGTCGCAAAGGCGCTAAAATTCCGTGGAGCGCGGGCGCGCTGTTCCGTGACCAGTGTCTCCAGTAATTCGACCATCCGATCATCCACTTCGGCACGGCGTCGTCCCTGGCGTACAAGTCGGCGGAGGTCCTTCGCTATCAACCGTTGCATCCAGTCCTTGTTTACCTGCCTGGCAGTCGGCTTGGGGGAGGAACCACGGGCAACAGTTGCATTAACGATTATCGTAGGGCGTAGAGCTTTGGCCGTCTCACCGTTAGGCCGAAAGAACGCCCAAGTTTGCAAAAGAGCGTGGGGTGTCGCACAAAATCCGAGGACCAGGGCGGCGGCGGCGAGGGTGGTTTCAACGATGTCCCGAACGGACCACATTGCGAGCGAGAGTGTGTGGATGTAAACGAGCGTGCGCGAAGAGGAGAAGAGAAGGGAAAAGGGAAATCCACAACAAGACGGGGATATATATGGCACGGTGGCATAGCATTTTAGGAAAGAGCAACGGATAGATGATAATGTGCATTTAGTTGTAGAAGGCATAACTCATAGCATCGTCGCTTCCTCACTTAGAATTTAGGGACGAGCCTGCCGTTTCTAACCATATAACCTATTCCAACTTCTTTACCTAATACGGTAACATTAATGGGCCATGACCAATAGCTCGGCGTGCGTAGGTCCTTCTTATCCTTCTCGGTCAGAAGGGAATCAAACTTAAATTCGGTGTTCTGCTCAAAGGCGGCACAGATGGAACCTCGCTGATACGTGAGTTTTTTCCGCCGTTCAGAACCATCGAGTCGAATTCTCCGCTTAAAGTCATTTGAATCTCGCCCCTGTCCTAAATCCATCCATATTGTGATAAACAGCGCGTTTCCCGCCTTCCCATAGCTCTTAAAATCAACTCTAAACTCGGTGTGGCAATGCTGGCAATATATTATACCTTGCTTGTTCTCATATCCGTGAATTTCGTCAACTTGCGGGACCCGAATCCCCCACCAGTATAGGTCTGTCATCTCCGCAAGGGGTATATGACGACAGATTCCAAAGCCACCACACCATGGGAGAGGAGTTTTCTCTGTATCTGGAATCATGAATACCTTCTGCTCACGAACGAAAAGCGAGCCGTCGCAATTCGAGCCGTTCCAATTCGAGCCATCGCAATTCGAGCTGTCGCAAATCGAGCCGTGGTAAATCCGCGCTTCAGCCGTGTGGAGTTCCACAAAGCCTATCTGATATTTCTCTAGATTTCTATAGGACAATAGGCGTAGAAGAGTGGTAGTGTCTTTCCCTTGTCTGTGGGATTTCATAGCCATGCGGAAGATGGTCGAAGAGAATCCGCCTGGAATTCCACCAATGTAATGGCCCTTTGAATCTGCAATTCGACACTTCAACGAATCTTTTCTAACGGGCGAATATAATTGGGATGCCAGGTGACGTTCAGCGAAAGGCATATAATGTAGTTTATTGCATTCCGGGCAGACGATGTGAGCTGGTAAATCTCGTTCTAGTAAATGGAGGAATCTGTTCATGACAGAGTATTCAGCTTTTTTAAGAGGCTGTAGATACATCATCGTAAGACATGAATATAGGTGAAGACACGATAGACTTAAACTTGCAACTGATTCGAGCGGTAGAGAGCTTGCTATGTGGTAGATGAGTTCTAGTGGGAGCTCCCGGAAAGGCGACGATTCTAGTGCGCTCGGTCGAACTATGGGGAGAGCTGGGTCCGTTTTGGAGAGATGCCATCCAAGACGCTCAAATATGCGAAAAACTAAATCCATTTCGAAGTATAATGCCGTGAAAGTATGCCGTGCAAGGCAAAGGTCAGAAATGGTAATTGTGCAATAGCATCCGGACTTCTGGTAGAAATATGGAAAGTTGCCGAAGCCACCACATGGCGTGGGTTATAACCACTACTATGGGATGTATGTGGACTATTTATACATCATTCGAAGAATAAGACCATGATTTTAACGTTTGGTGGCGCTATTTTAGTAAGTTAGGGGGGGCTCGTTCCAAGTAAGTATTAAACTTAAAATGATAATTCTAACCTAAGAAAATTAGTATGACATGATTTATCTATTCACTGCCGAGAAAGTAAGGGGTTATACGCACATAGTGGTATAGATTAATATTTCAGTGTTGTAGTATAGCTTAGACTTTGGACTTCCCCACTAAAGGAAACTAAATAGCGCTCAATTATTTACCGCCACAATAATAAGTTAGTTCCTCAGAGAAGAGCGAAAGTAATAATTTTGACGAAAGTAATACTCTTAAATATGGCCAGACATTTATATCTAAGGCTTATGGAGGAATTTTTACAGCCTGAAGAGGCACTATACTATATGTACCCAGTGCTGAGGGATATTATGATACGACACATGACAAAACACTAAAACAAAATCAATTTATGGTTATTGTCAACTCCTGTCCTCGTTACATATCAGTTATACATGTTGTCGTTACATATCCTGGGTATACCCAATCCAACTCCATCGCCGCTAATAATACATGGTAAAAACATAACCCAAAGCGCCCGCCCACTAACTCCGTCTCTGAAGTCTCAATCCTACCTTCTCCTCCTCAAGCAAATACCCCTTCCTCCTATCTACCTCCTGCACACCTGCCACCATCTTCTCGAACTTCTTCTTCCGCTCCCTGCCGCCCTCCCCATTAAACGTCATCTTCACATGATTCAACTTCTCCTTCTGACCTCCTCCTCGAGGATCATTATAATGTGCCCCCAGAGCCGCCAAATTCACCATGCCACCTCTCCACCACTCCGCCAGAAGCGCACCTGTACCAAATCGTTTCGCAGGCCCCATAATAGAGGCGTGCGTGCATGGAGTGCCACCTTTCTGACATGAACAGTTCCTCTTATCCAGCACGGCTTTGAGCGCTCCAATAGGGATCTTGAGCAGGGTAAGCCCACCGCCGCTATCACCCATCTCTCCCTGCGACATACGCGAGGGGGGCAGCTTCTCAGGGCGAAGGAACATCACCACGAGCGGCTCGCGCAGGGATTCGAAGATAAAGGCCTCGGTGTTGCTGTCGCGCGGGTCGGAAAGCGAGGTTACGTCTGCAATGGTGGTTGCCGCGCTACGAACTGAGAAAGAGGTGGCTCTTGACGACTGGAAGGAACTTTTCGAGGAGAAGAAGATAGATTTGCGTGGCGAAGAAAGGCGGGCCGATGAATCGTTGGAGGATTGACGGCGGGCCGTTGCCATGGAGGCATTGGAATTGGATGGTGGGCGTATGGTACTTGCTGACGTCGCGTGGGAGGGATTATCGTAGGGAACGGGCAAGGGGCTCTGTGCAGGAACGCTGGGCGAGAAACTCCAGATCTGGATGCGCGCCTTGTAGTGTGTTGGCTTGTCGGCCATGACAATCACGTCGACGTCAATGATGTCGTCGACGATACGGTAGCCTGTAATGGCTTCCTGAAAGCTGTAGAGAGATTGATATGTCTGGAAACTAAGGAGGTTGTCGTGCGTGGGCATGCCGGATGTGTAGAGTCCGATATCCATACCAGAGGTCTGATTTTGAGGATCTGCATAGATAGGACTGAGAGTAACGGTACGGAGGTTAATTTCTCGACTGTACTATCTGTTAGCGTGGGTAGTATAAAAATCGTAGGAGGGGGCACTTGCGATCGTAATTCTCTAGTTCGCTCCAATGCAGAGGTCTCTTTAGTGATCATTTCCAGGATAGTCTCGGTCTGGCGGAGTAATACAAGAGACCTTTGTCGTTCGGGGTTCAAGTGTACCAGCGGAGTCCGCAAAATTGTCTTCATATCGTCAATTTCCGATGCATGAGGACGGTCATAACTGCGCACAGGTATAGGCCAGGTCAGAAAGGCCTCTTCTCCGAGTAGGCCTAGAGACATTTCGTCCGGTTCGTTTTTAACCCTGTACAGGTTTACTGGCCTATCCGAGTGTTGATTGAAGGCGTACAAACACTTCTTCGCCAGGTCTTCAACAAAGTATTTCAGAAGCTGGTTACCACGTGCGCAAGAGTCCACGTATTCGGCGCTGCTTTCGATTTTCTGGATGAGCCAGATGCTTCGCATCATACCAACATATTGTCTGGGCCACTGTGTTGGAGAGGCTGGCTGGACACCACGTGAACGCGACAGCCTGGCAGCCGCAGCCTCTTCCTCATAATGCTGAAGGAATGCATTGATGCCATCATGCATTGGGAATGTATCACCAGATGCAGCTCTTGGTTTGGCATCTATAGATAGCTTTTCAAATCTGTGGAGTAAATATGGTGGTATGACGATCTGCTGGCATCGAACATCTTCCTGGGCGCCAATCGTTCGGGCATCTCCAAGTATAAGCTCCTTGATCTGACCCAGTACTAGTAGCATGGCTTCGCCATAGTGAATCACCAGAGACTGGATATCGAGGAGTAGTTTTCTGTTGAATTGTTAGCAGCATGTTTTAAAAGTACGGATGATAGGAACGTACAGCTCAAGAGGTTTCAGTAGTGCGATGATCTTGATATTATGAAACATGACCTTCTTGTGAAGTATTGTAACTTCGTCCTGGACAAATCCGTTCCAGATTATATTGCAGATGAAACCACCCTTCTCTTCGAAGCAGTCTCGACGTGTTAACAGCCGCGAACATTCCTGAACAGTAGTGTAGGGATCGTCGAGTATTGCGTTGAGATCTCTAGTATCATAAAAGCTGGAGGTACCTGGGATAGGACACGGTGGAATGCTTTGGACTTTTTCGAAGATTATTTCCAGTTGATGGAGATTTGTATGCAGGGCGTGGACCGATTGGCCGAATTCGGTATATTGAGTGTCTGGAAAGAACAGAGGTCAGACAGATAGTCCACAATATCATCCACAAAGCAAGTCGAACTCTAGAAAATAAGAATGCGAGGAGTTTGTTTGGTATTATTCCAGTGCTTACTTGAGTTATAGATTTCTGTGAAGCCATACTGATAGAGTTTAAGCGTGAAGTTCGCACACTTCGCGATATCGCTAATGCTAATGAAGGACATCGTCGTGGCACGCGCTATTCAGCGCCCAATAAGTGTGTTTCGCAGTTATGGAGTATAGTTTTGATAAGATCAGCAGAATGTCTGGGATGGGTGCGTCGACTGTTTTAAGTATGACTTGGGGCGGAGCAATCCAGTTGAAGGCAAGGCAGCTGCAGGTTCATGGATACAAATTAAACAACATGCATGTCATTCAGCTCTAGTCGAACACGATCCGAGTCACTGGTAACCTCAGGCAAGGGTAAAAAGGAAATATAATAGAGCCATATGCAGGGACTCGCGTCCGTCACAGAGGAGGAAACCAACTCCGTGGGTGGGTGATAAGGCTGGCGGCTCGGTGAAGACGGAAGCAACGAGGGAGAAAATTGGCAATATGTCTGCGTAACCTTTGCGCAGCTGCTTCGTATTTAGGAAGGGTGGCGCGTGTAAGCGGTCTTGTGAGGAGGAAGGAACGCCTGGATGTGTGCCTCCCTTATCTCTTATTCTTGACCGACTTGTATTGCGGGAGAGACAGGGTATTTTTGGCGCCCGTGGTGTATGGCACTTGTGCCGCTGTCGTCCTGTTCCAAGAGGGGCTGTGAAGAGCTACCGAGGAAGAGAATCGATGACGAGCATGCCATTTGTCCTGGCCTTATCTCATCCACCGGCCCGTGACGACGCAATGGTGGTCATGGTGGGTGGACACAGTGTTTCGAAACGAGCTTCTGCCTTGCCTTGCACTGTACACTTACACTACTGCACTACTACTGCATTACTCCAGTCCGAATGGGAAGTGAGGCTGCTGTGAGGCTGTGAAGGTGCAGGGCCAAGGCGACGTAGATGCTTATGATTGACGGGAAGCTTGACGGGGAGCCGGCTGTTAGCACGCGACATCAATATTAACCGGATTAGCTGCATCAACCCCATACATACCCCACACCCAATCAGGAATAGTTACGCGACTCAGCTTTTAATATTGAAAAATGACCAGCCCTTGAAAGGCTGAAGAAGCGCCAGATCTAGTGAGTGCTGCTCGAATAGTATTTTTTATAATTATATCATTTAACTAAGATTTATGCATCAATTGTGGATGGTTTCTTGGAAATTACCATACTCGCTCGCCGTATCATACATAGCCGAGCATGCACTCATCACCCATATACGACATATCATGTGGCACGCATTCACACCGGTGCGTCAATTGCTTCCTCTTCTGTCCCAGCCTTCTCCCTCCCACCCTACTGGAACTGTCACTACCGGGATAGTTAGTAGCTAAACTGTTATCAGGGACGGGACACCCTCGAGGCTGTGCACGCACCTCAACTTATCACTTGTGGTCAACCCGTGGTGAGGCTCTCCAGCCTCCCAGCCTCGTACAAGCGTGGACGCCACGAAACAAATTCAATATGTGTAGCGCCCTGACGTGTAGGTATATTCTATATCTACCTCGCCTGTCCCGCTTGTGCTGGCCTTCTATGCACCCTGTAGTCTCATTTGCACACATGCCTCGGATCTGACATGTCGATACCGATCGAGCAAGGCTCGAATATACCAATGACCGAATACTCCTACTCCAACTCGCCCTCTCCTTTTAGCGTAGCTAAAAGCTACGACGATGGCCGCAGCGTAGACAGTGTCAGTCCCATACCTACTAACCCCCAGGCTAAGAACCGGGAGTCGAATACGCCGGCTTATGGAAATGGAGTCCCGGCTACTGCCCCCAATCAACCGGGTGGCATGGGCCTGGCGCCCGAAGATGAATTCTTGCTCAACGAAGCCGATGTCCATGCGAAGGCTGTTGCAAAGCCAATGCGACTGGGCTCTCTAACAGTGATGTGCTTGATTTTTAACCGCATGATTGGTGAGTTTTGAGAACTTTCAGTCTGAGGCACTGAATGAAGAAGACTCGTTCTAACGTTCTGAGAAGGCACGGGTATTTTTCGGACGCCAGCTGTGGTCTATAGTTATACACAGTCCCGAGATATCAGTATGGCTTGGTGGGCATTGGGCGCTGTTTCTGCCATAGCCGGTATTCTGGTGTACATGGAACTCGGCCTCACCATTCCCATATACAGGATTGGCGGCATAGAAGTCTCGGTCCCGCGAAGCGGAGGAGAACTCAACTACGTTTGTCTCCTCCTAGTTATTGACAAGTTCCAGTACTAACATGGTGCCTAGCTAAAACACATCTTCAGAAAGCCCGCCTTTTTCACCACTTGCGTGTTCGGCATTGCTTTCATTCTCCTCGGCCATGTGGCTATGAATGCGATCGCTTTTGCAACCTCTGTCATGGAAGCATCAGGCCAAATCAACCACCCTAACAGTGAAGCCGCTATTAGGGGAATCGCCATATGCACAGCGTTCGCTGCCTGCTTCATCCACGGCGTTTGGCGCCAAGGTGGCATCATCCTCAACAATATCCTTGCTACCGTCAAAATTGCCATCCTCATCTTTATGTTTATTCTCGGCATGCTCGCCACAAGGGATGATATCTTCCCCCCTGTATCCGCCACCCAGTTCCCCCCGACCCCCTCGCGAGAATCAAGAGCCAGCGCCTACACCTACGCCGAGGCATTCCTCGCCATCATCTTCGCATTCGGCGGCTTTAATCAGGCCAACTACGTTATCGGGGAAGTGGATGACCCAAGACGCCGCTACAAATGGCCCGCATTCTCTGCCGTCGTGATCGTCTCCATACTCTACCTCTTAGTCAACGGCGCCTACTTCGCCGCCGTCCCCGTCGAGTATTTCTCCGCCGAAGACCCCTTCAACGTCGCCCACCGCCTCTTTCTCTTCACCCTAGGCACCATCTCACCCGCCTGGGAGGCCCGCGCGCCGAAACTACTATCGGCATTCATGGCCGTCTCCAGCCTCGGCAACATCATAGTCATGACCTACACCGCCGCGCGCGTCAAGCAAGAAATCGCCAAAGAAGGCATCCTCCCCTTCCGCAGCCTCCTCTCGCGCTCCTACCCCTCAGTCCGCATCCCAATCCGCGCCCTCTGGGGTTCCAAGCGCCCAACCCTCCGCGAAGATGTCCCACTCCCCGCTCTCGTCCTTCACTTCTCCGTCTCCGTAATTCTTATCCTCGCGACCTGGCGCCTCTCCACATCCGCCACCTACACCCTCCTAGTCGACCTGTACTCCTACACCGTCGATGCTGCCTTCGGCGCTTTCATCGGCTTCGGGCTGCTGTATATGCGCTTCCTCTCCAGCCGCGGATGGGCCGCCCAGTCCCGCGCTAGTGGATTCCAGGTCCCCGCCTATGTCAGTGGCCCTGCGGCACTCTTTTTCGCCATCGCGAATACGTTCCCTATAGCGGCGAAGTGGGTGCCTCCCGACATGGCAACGAAGGCGTTACTGTTGGTTCCGTGGTTCACGACGGGGACTGTGGGGACGGTGATTATGGTCGTTGGGGTGCTGTGGTGGGCGGCCTTCCGGTGGGTGGTGCCGAAGGTGGGAAGGGGAAGGGTGGGAAGGTTTTTGATGGTGACGAGGAAGTTGTGGTTGACGGAGAGGGATGGGTATAAGGTGCTTGAATATGAGGATATTGAGTTTAGATGGGTGACGAGGGATGGAGAAGACGTGGCCGGGCCGTGGATGGAGAGGCAGGTGGTGGCGGGTAGGGGGGAGACGGAGAGGAGGATGGCGGCCGATGGGAATCTATAGTGGTTAAAAGGGTAGAGGGGGTGGCGGAAGATGGACCAGGAGTTCCATGTAATTTGTACGTACTTAGCGTTTTGGATACCCTTTTAATAGACAGCAGTTTTAAGCGTTTCATGCCTACATGTCTTGATCATAAACCTGGCATGTTATCGGCGTTTATCTTAAACTAATGCACGTGATGCAACTGCGGTTTATGAGATATCTCGTCTATACTACCAGTGTAAAGTAGATTATCCGCAACCATCAGGAGCCAAGATGTTCCTCCCATCCGATATGTGGGGTTTGTTTCAGCGGCTCCAGTTTATCAAATAGAGACGGACATACGTGGGCCGTTGAGCGCAACGGGTGGACTTGCTGTATTTATCAATTGTAACTTTTTTATTGGGCGCCCTTCGAGAATGGCATTCTAGGAAGGGCGGCCCCGACCATCCGATCGTGTCGATGTTTATACTCGGATGCATGTACGTACTCTATACTCGGTGCATTTATATATGGAAATTTCAACACGGGATAGCTGGACTCGGCAGCTCGTCAGTCAAACGCAGCTATCACCGAAACCCGCTCACCCCGTCAAACGAGCACGTTTCGTATGAATAACCCAACACGGCAATTCGTACGTCGAATACTGTGACAACCGAACTCGCATACTCCATAAAGAAACAGTTTTCATATGAATAGCCCGATTTGGCAATTTATGAAGTTGAAGTCCGTCCCCTTCTTGGAACAGCGCAACCGAGCTCCTGCAAGCGAACTCCGTTCCTGGGACGGAAGTGGGAACATAGGTCCGACGGAAGTCGGCATACTCATGGGCCGTCCCAAGAAGGCCAAGCAATTTCGACCGTGGCGCAGCCAACTTTTATCAGTTCTATCCAGTCCACGTCCAATCCTGTCTATCACCGAGGAAATCGCGGCGTAGCAACATCCTAGCAAGTGCCGTCGCTGGCTTCCCCTCCACTCTAAAAAATCACACTTGCACCGTCTGCTAGCATCTGGAAACCATGTGGGTAAATGTCTCCCGTTTACAGCCAACCGCGGAGGTGGGGAATCCCCGATCCTTTCCACCAGGGGCCTAATTCAACGTCAAAATTACAATCTACTACTCTTCCACCTGCTTGTTCCCTGTTGACCTTCGTGGCCGCGCGTCAATGTTTTCCAGATGTGCTACTAGATCCGCTCTGCTAGCACTTTGTCTGCCCTAGGGCCTTCTTATCTGTCCCATCACCCGCTGTCACGGTTCCAGTAACCTGAATTTTGTACTGTGTTGTACTCTACCTTCGTTTTGTTGCCGTTTGGAGCGACACACGTGATTCGCGATGGGCTTCCTCAAACAGGTCTGGACTCTGACGGCGAAGAATCTGTTGATCGCTGTCAGGCGGCATCCCCTGCCGACGTCCATCCGGACGTTCATCCTGCCCGTGGCTTTTATGATATTCCTGACCTATTCGCGCTTCCTCTTCGCCCAGCCAAACGTCTTTGGTATCGGACCTCCCCGCCCCATACGCTCCCTGGAAGATGGCATGGCAGCTGCGACCAATGGGAGGGATAAGGTCATATTTATCGACAATGGGCTCAATGGCGGCGACATTGATCGCGTCATTGATGCCGTCTCGGCTCCTATTATTGCGGCGGGGAGAAATGTCACTCGGCTCCCCGATGGAACGGATTTGGCCAAGATATGTCGGACGAGCTTCAGGGGCATTACTAAGTGCTATGGAGCCGTTGAGTTTGCCTCGTCGCCATCCGAGGGTCCGTATGGACGCTGGAACTACTCCCTACGGTTCGACGGCGCCCTTGGCAGTATTGTTAACATGCAGCGCGGCGACAATGATCACCAGATCTATGCACTACCTCTGCAACGGGCAGTCGACTCAGCTATTGCGAGCGTGAACACGACTATTGACCACTCAAAGCTACCCAAGACTGTTATGGAGTACCCCTACACGACTATCACAGAGGAGGAGCGCAAGAAACTTCTCCGGACGAAGTTCCAACGGACTATCATTACCGCTCTTGGGATCGCATTTCTTCTGGCTATGGTCGGAGTCGTTTATCACCTCAGCGGCTTCATGGCCACGGAACGAGACATTGGTATGTCCCAACTGATCGAGGCCATGATGCCGAACGAGAAGCGCTGGCAGCCTCAGATTGCCAGGCTGTTGTCCTACCATCTATCCTTCACCATCATGTATGCCCCTGGCTGGTTTGTTATGGGAGTTGTTCTCAGCTTTGGCTTGTTTACCGCCACCTCTGCGGAGATCACAATTTTATACCATATCCTCCTGGGACTTTCGCTCACATCATGGTCATACATGGGCGGGGCTTTCTTCAAGAGAGCTCAGCTCAGTGGGATCACCATTACCATCATCACTCTGGTGCTCGGGATTATAGCCCAAGCTTTCGGTTCAAAGACGGGCAGTGGAGGGATGGTTATGGTGCTAAGCGCCCTCTTTGCCCCCTGCAACTACGTCTGGTTCATGATGTATATCGCCCGCTTCGAAGAGCACGAAATTCCAGCGAATCTGAACCAGAATGCGCCTGATCTGTGGAAAACAAAGGGTACATGGTTCTTCGTTTTTCTCTTCATACAGATATTTGCGTACGCTGCCATTGGTGTGTTTGTGGAGCGATGGCTACATGGCACACAATCTAAGGGGCGCACTACTGTCAAGGAGAACATGGGGACTGGGCTCGCACAGCATACTGTCGAGCTATCGGAATTTACCAAGGAATATCCCGCGAAGTTTATGAGGCGGATGTTCCGTCGCTCTAAAGGTACTACGGTTATGGCAGTCAATGGACTGAGTCTTTCTGCTTCGAAGGGAGAGATTATGGTATTGCTTGGCGCCAATGGGTCGGGAAAGAGTACAACCTTGGATGCTATTGCTGGCATGAACCCAGTTACAAGCGGAACAATCACTGTTAATGGAACTGGTGGCATTGGAATATGTCCTCAGAAGAACGTTCTTTGGCCTGAGTTAACGGCGAGAGACCATATTCGCATCTTCAGCAATCTCAAATCGACCGGAGCTTCTCCCACCAAAGAAGAAAACGCAGAACTGATACGGAGTGTTGATCTGGACCGGAAGATAGACGCCAAATCCCATACTCTGAGCGGTGGTCAGAAGCGAAAACTGCAGCTCGGAATGATGTTGACGGGAGGGAGCGCGGTGTGCTGTGTGGACGAAGTCTCTAGTGGATTAGATCCGCTCAGTCGAAGGAAGATCTGGGATATCCTGCTTGCGGAGCGTGGAGCACGCACCATTATCTTGACAACTCATTTCTTGGACGAAGCTGATCTGCTAGCTGATCGTATTGCGATTCTTTCCAAGGGAACGCTTCGTGCCGAAGGTTCATCTGTCGAGCTCAAAAACAAGCTCGGCGGTGGTTACCGTGTTCATCTCCATACCACGTCCGTCGACAGGGAAGTGCCTGCCATTGATGGCATAACTGCAGTTAAACAGTTTGATCAGATTACATACAAAGCAGCCACCTCGAGCCAGGCAGCCCTTATCGTCAAGACGCTCGAGAGCCACGGTATCGAGGATTACGAGCTTTCAGGTCCCACTATCGAAGACGTATTTTTGCAGCTGGCAGACGAGATCCGCCACGAATCCGAGACAATCGCTGGAGCTGCACCCCCGGCCACTGCTGCAACTGGTGCAAGTGATGTCCGCCTTGTGGGTGATAGAAACGAACCCGTACTTGCGACGCCATCAAGTGATAACCAAAGTCTGGATCTGATGCAAGGGAGGCCAATAGGGCTTGTGAGGCAAGGTTGGGTCATGTTCCGAAAGCGCCTGACTCTCATCCGCCGCAACTTTTTGCCTCCCCTGGCGGTCTTCTTCATTCCAATTATCTGTGCAAGCTTAGTTACACGGCTCGTTAAGGACCAGAAAACACCCACTTGCTCTCCTGTTACGGCGAAAGATGCGAAGTTTGAAACTATTTCGAACCAATATGTCTACGACCTCATCGTTGGCCCGTCGAGCAAATTTGTGGGTACAAGTGCTGCTGCATTCTTTGGGAAGCTATTCCAGGGGCTTCCTGAGGCTAGCCTCATTGCCAATTATATTACGGATGACAACTTGCACATCATGCCGACCTACTCCGATTTTAACAAGTACATTGATGTGAACCATCAGAACGTCACACCAGGAGGCTTTTGGCTGGGCAACGCTGACTCGGCGCCCACGATAACATATCAAGCATCCCACTATTTATATAGCGCCATTTTCGCACAGAACATCTTGGGCTCGCTGATGAGCAATATCACGGTCACCACTCAGTTCAGAGACTTCGAGAGCCCATGGCAGCCTGGCACTGGTAATTCGCTGCAGCTGGTTGTGTACTTCGGACTTGTCTGTGCTGCCGTCCCGGCTTTCTTCTCTCTATACCCTACTTTGGAGCGCCTGAGACACGTCAGAGGTCTTGAATACTCGAATGGAGTTCGCCCCGCGCCGCTGTGGTTCGCCTACCTCATCTTTGACTGGGTGGTTTTCCTCGTGTCCTTGTTGATTGTCACCGTTATCTTTGCTGCCCTAAGCAAGGTCTGGTATCACATCCCGTACCTGTTTGTCGTCCTCCTCTTTTACTCCCTAGCATCCATCCAGATGGCGTACATTGTTTCGCTATATGCCAGGGGTCAACTTGCATCATTTGCCATTGCGGCAGGCAGCCAAGCCATATTTTTCCTACTGTATCTGATTGCATTTATGTCTGTCAACACCTTCCTGCCTGTGGACAAGGTTGATAAAGCCGCTCTTGTCGTCCACTACACGATATCGCTTGTCACACCGATGGGAAGTCTTGTCAGAGCGCTATTTGTGTCGATGAACCTTTTCCAGACAACCTGCGTTGGGTTTGAACTCTCACCGAACCCGGGGAGCATGAATATGTACGGTGCGCCGATCCTATACCTTGCAGTGCAGTCTGTCGTATTCTTCCTGTACCTGCTGTGGCATGACAGCGACTCCGTTGTTTCGCGAATCCGAGGATCGCGACAGAAGCTCCCAGAATCGGATGAGGTCGAATTAGACGACCGCGCAGATAAACTGTCTAGAGTTGATACCGGGAACAGTGATGGCCTGCGCGTGCGCCATCTCACGAAGTCCTTCAAGAAGTTCACAGCAGTTGAGAACCTGTCATTTGCCGTCGAAAGAGGCGAAGTATTTGCGCTCCTCGGACCAAACGGCGCAGGAAAATCAACAACCATCTCTCTTATCCGCGGCGACATCCGGCCTTCCAAGAACGGCGGCAACATCTACGTCGACGACATCCTCATCAGCAAGCACCGCGCCAAGGCCCGCCTCCACCTCGGCGTCTGCCCTCAATTCGACGCCATCGACCAACTCACCGTTGCCGAACACCTCCGCTTCTACGCGCGCGTCCGCGGCGTCCCAGACATCGAACATAATGTTGCCGCTATTACTACTGCAGTCGGTCTCGACGCCTTCTCCCACCGCATGGCCGCCAAGCTCTCTGGCGGCAACAAGCGCAAGCTCTCCCTCGGCATCGCGCTCATGGGTAACCCCTCTGTCCTCCTCCTCGACGAGCCTAGCTCGGGTATGGACGCTGCCGCAAAGCGTGTCATGTGGCGCACCCTTGCCAATGTGTCGGCGGGCCGTGCTATCCTGCTTACGACGCATAGTATGGAGGAGGCGGGTGCGCTGGCGTCTCGCGCGGGTATCATGGCAAAGCGCATGCTTGCTCTTGGTACAACGGATCATCTGCGCCGCGCTCATGGTGACGCATATCACGTCCATCTCGTCACCACAACGGCGCCACATACGAGCCCAAGGGAGATGGCCGAGCTGCGCGATTGGGTAGTCAACGAATTTCCCGGCGCCAGCATCGAAGAGAAGACGTACCACGGACAACTGCGCTTCTCTGTGCCAACAGCATCCTTAACATCCGATGCGGCATCCGGTGTTACCGATGAGATCGAAGGCGGTGGCGAGCCGGTGGGGAAGAAGGCTGCCAGCGGGATAGGGGCGCTGATCATGGCGTTGGAGGAGCGGAAGGCGGAGTTGGGGCTGGAGTATTACTCGGTTAGTCCGACGACACTGGATCAGGTTTTCTTGGCGATTGTGACGAAGAATAATGTGGAGGAGGAGAATTATGCAGCGCCGAAGAGGGGGCTGGGGATTTGGGAGAAGATACCCTGGGGGAAGAAGAAAGCTGTTGAGGGCAGCCCTGTAAAATAGTGGATGCGTAGGAGGATATAGAGGTGGAGTTGGATATTAGGGTGGGGGATGTTACGCATCGGACTGTAAACAGATGTTTCATAGAGAATTCAAACAGTATAATCAGTATAAATTTCTTGTCATATCCGCATAGATAACAATTATACGATGCCGCCGGAATTGCCATATGCCATGAATAGCCAACACGTCTATCTCTATCGCAGCCACTACTGTGGTGGTGGCTTAGGAAACCCGTTTTCAAACTGCGTAGCCCCATCCACGCAATTCACCCAGCTGGGCCTTCTCGAGGTAAACGACTCCACTTTAGGAGTCAGCTTCTCAAACGCATCGCCGTCTAAGACGCCCATCTTGACAACGACTATCTCCGTCCGCATCGGCGTCAGTGTCCACATTGTGGAGCCGCAGTTACTGCAGAAATTGACGTATGCAGGATTTCCACTGCCGCCCTTGGCCTCGAACACTTTCGCCTCCCCAGAGACGATAGTAAATGCAGACTTTTGGAATATCGCGTTTGTCGAATACGCAGACCCTGTCGACTTTCGACAGTTGTTGCAGTGGCAGAGACCCTGCGAGCCGTGGTAAGATTTAGGCACTTATATGTCGGCAGCACCTAAATACTCACTATTATGTCTGGCTCCCCTTGCATCTCAATCTTAATCGCGCTGCATTTGCAGCTTCCAGTGTACGTAGCTGCCATGTCGAGGAAGGGTGGTTTAAAGGCAATTGATTACGGTTAAGGAAGATCAAAGGTAGCAAAGAAGGCCGATAGAGAAACAAAGGATGCCAATCCCCCAAAACATATATACATACATGGCGAAGCTAGTGCTTACAGACACTACTATAGCACGTGGACAAACCGCGGAGCTACCACTCGGTTATGAACGTGTGTTTAGAGACCCGCTAATGGGAATTTTAGGAGCGGGTATGTCCGTCCCTTCCGTCCCTTCCGTCCCTTATGTCTGCTTCCCATACTACATGGATGTTCGTATAAACGAGTGTAAGAACAAGAGCAAGGAGGGACAGTAAGCAGATAACGGAGTGCGTCACTCGATTGTACCTACCTGAAAGGTATGACCGAGCACACGACCAGATACTAGAGTGATAGGTTTCAGACCCGCTTTAAGGTTTATCACCAAGTAATTAGATCTAAAGTGCGGGGAATGTTGACTATCAGTACTATGACAGGTAGTTATAACAAGTCTGTAAATCCTTCAAGATTCAGATAACCAGGGATAGAACACTTGGCTTCCAATTTAAGAAAGTCTCAACTATCATTAATCGTTTGGAAATCATGATAAAAAAAAAGGATTAGATAATAACGGAGGTTTGTCGAAATATATAAGAAGCAGACTTGGCTACGCCATATCTAAGAACAATAGCAAAGTTGAAATTGCCAAAAGGTCTTCTCTCAAAGCAACACAGCTTAGCCACCCAACTTCCAATTATACCCAAGTCGTCACCATCAAGTCTAGCAACATGAAGCTCCTCTTTCCTACAGCCTTTGTATTCCTTGGCTTCACTATCGCACTCGCAGTGCTTGAGCCAGAAGCTGCTAGCAATCTTGTGAGTAGATAAAATTATTGAGGATTTGTAGTCCCCAGCTAATGTCATTTCTAAAGATTAAGAAAGCCACGTGTAGGCCTGGAGGTGCTTACTGTGTTGCGAACTCTTTACGCTGCTCAAATGCTTGCATTGGTGCCACTAGACCAACTGGCGGATACTGTTCCTAGGCAGAGCCAGGGGAAGAACAATATCTCATGTTTACAGGCTCATGGTTTCACGATTACAGAGGCTGCATTGTCTGTTGGTAGTTTGCTGCAGAATGGCACCGGGGGTGATTATATCAATCGTAGACCTATTATATTACTATCAAATCAAAACTATCTACGATTTCTAAACAAGAAGATGGCAAACCTGCATATAAGAACAGTACCCCCCTCCCAGCTCACAAAGTCTTTCTCTTTCCCTCCCTCCCAAATAGCGTCCCTTCCCGGTTGGTAGGTTATTCCCTTCTATTGTACAGAGACCCATACTCTCATACCCAACAACCCATCAGTTCATTATCACAGGAGTTCTTCCATTCCAAGTGTTCTTCTCAACAGCATCCACCAGACATCCCGCCACACTAGCCCTAGAGATCCCTCCCAAGCCGGCGAAGACACCCAGTCCCTTCCCATTGTCCGTTCCATCGTCGCTAATATATCGAACTGGCGCCTTTTTGGACATAGTGAGTCTTGCTGGCCTCAACATCACAAAATCCAACCCGCTCTTCTTCAGTATCTCGTCGACCTGGTCGTGGTCTTTGAACGAATGCCCAAGGCTGGTGTGGGAAATTGCCCATCTCATGATGAAGGTGATGTTTGGGAAGGAAGACCCAACCCCAAAGGAGGCCATTGTCACAATTTTGGAAACCCCATGCCTCTTCATTGCGGGGATGAGGTTTTCGTGTGCATCGGCCATGATTCGAGATCCCTTTTCCATGGGAGACCCAAGAGTAACAATCACGGCAGTTGGAGGGTCGCCTTGAACTGCGTTGAAAGCCTTTTCGATGTCCGAAGCCTCTGCTGGCGTTCCCTTCACGACATCCAGGCCTTTCTGGGCTGGAATTACAGTCGGGTTCCGAACCAAGGCTGTAACCGTGTGGCCGCGCTGCAATGCCTCATCAATGACGAGACGACCGGTTTGCCCACTGCCGCCAAGAAGAAGGATACGCATATTGAAGATTTTGTTGTATTGTTGTGTTGTTGTGTTGTCGTACGATACTGAGCGTTCCCAATTGGTATGTGGCGGTTTTGTTTAAGAATGTGAGACAATGTTTTGCGTGAAACTTTGAACTTTGTTCGGAGAGGTAGATGATGAACTGGATATTTTGGAAACGATATATAACCGGCGAGAGCCCATCAGGTATATATAGCTGTGGAATAAACTTTATGGAGGGTGTCTGGCCTTCGGGCATAAACTAGCTCCCGTCGTAGAAACGCATTTCAACAGACACTTGTCATTAATCTGTTCCTACAACGCGGCCCAGCTTCTACCTAGTCAATGATTGCTCAGCGCTCGTAAACTGACGCAAGCTTTGATTATCAATCTCTCTGTTACAGAAACTTACTAAAAGACAGCATTTTCACTCCGTTGTTCTGTGGTAGTCGCTATTTTTGACGGGATATAAGACAGTTACCACGTGATAAATTAATTGCCATTGGTCTAAGTCTACGAGCTCTCCGATTGGTGCACGTGATATACTGCTTGTCATTGGTCCAAATGTACGAGCTGTCAGCATCTCACTGATTAATAAGATATCGCCACAGCCATTTGTGCATAATAGGCGCAGCGCAGTTGGTGCTGACTTCCCTGCTGACTACACAAATAAGTCATGAGCCCAAAATATCTACAACTACATCACCTACGTAAGCATCTGATAAATGCTAGAATGTTAAGCAACTCCCGTGTCTGATTAGATATGAACTCCGAGGGGAATGCAAACAAGAATTCGCAGCAGGTTTAGCCATGGATGGCGTTTCTATCACCAAGTTCTCCCGAACGGGGGCCCCTAAATCAAAGGGGGGTTGCGCCACGTGCAGGTATCCTGCCCCTTTCACCCTCGGGTTTGTTGGCATGCCGCGTCTAACAGGGATTGTAGAAATCGAAGGGTCAAATGCGACGAAGGAAAGCCATATTGTATCCGCTGTGTCAAAGCCAAGCGAACGTGCGGTGGATATAACCCTGTAAAGGGGCGCTCGCGGCAGGACAACGGGCATACCGCCCCCCTTCAATACGCTCTAATAAAACCCAAGAAGCTACCACTACTGCAAGCGGCAGCTAGCTCCCTTACACTGCGTGCACCCTCCTCTGCCTTCCTCGGAGAATCTGAGATTGAGAAGCGCTACTTCAGCTACTTCCAAGAGACGGCTACTACAGGCCTTGATGGCACCTGGGGCTGGTCTCTATGGAACTCGTTAATGCTGCAGAGTAGCCACCAAGAGCCGTTCGTCCGGCATTCTATCATCGCTATCGGCGCCTTGTTAAAGTCGCATGAAGCAGCGTACCTAGCTGGCGTGGGTCCACGTTCCGTTGTCGTCCCGTATATAGCGAGACTGCACCGCAGCTTTGCGTTATCAAAGTATGACACGGCTGTTAAGTCGATGCGGAAAGCTATGAGTGTGGGGATGAGTAGTCCGCGCCAAACCTTACTTGGGTGCATCCTCGTCGTCTGCTTCGAGATGCTTATTGGGAATAGCTACCTTGCCATCAAGCATGCACATTCCGGGACTTCAATCCTTGAGCAATGGCGAACGCAAACGCTTACGCCTATACAAGAAGAGCGCCCACTACTCTCTCCTGCCCCGTTGGTCGTTGAGGACGAAATTGTTGAGGCTTTCCGAAGCCTTAGCATCCAGATCACAACATTGGGGAATGATAACGCTGCCATTTATACTAAGAAAACAGCGAACTACGACTGGGTCAATAGCACGGCGCCTCTAACATGCACCGACCTCCGTGAGACACATGTCTATCTCAACGAAATCGTCTGCCGTGTCTACCACTTCATTACCACGATCCCGATTCCCTCTGGATCCATTGTGTCCCCGAAGAAACTCGACTACGAACCTCTTCAAGAAGACTCCTCAGTGATGACAAACATGGTCATCTATAGAACCGCATTTGAGGTCACCGAAAATGTCAGAGCTCAGCAAGGGCATCTTGCTCAAGAGATATCGAATTGGATGCGACTGTTTAAGCCACTTCTTGAAAGCCTATGTGTTAAGGAGAAGGCTAATGGGGCAACATTCAACTGCGCTTCTCATGTGGCGGCAATGATGCATATTCAGGCCATCGCAACTATGATACTAACTGCGGGCGTGCTGGTCACGAACGAGATGGAGTATGATAAGTTTGATACTCTATTCCTAGAACTCGTTGATCTAGCTACGCTCATTGTTAAACTGAGGCAACAAAGCAAGAAGGGTAATTCTTGGGTGGGAGGACCTTGGATTGATATTGGTCTTACGCCACAGCTCTTTGTGGTTGTGACACGATGTCGCGATCCAATTATACGACGAAGGGCGATAAAGTTATTGGAGGGGTGGTATATCGAAGGGTTCTGGGATCCGGCGTTAATTGCGCAGATTGGATTGTTTATTATGGAAGTGGAAGAGGAAGGTCTAGAGGAGGTGGACTTCGGATGGGGGAAGCAATCCATCATTCCGGAGTGGTCGAGGGCAGTAATATCACGGATTAGTGAGGACTCGCAGAAACGGACTGCATTGATACAGTGTGTACTTAAGAGCGGTGGAGCGGATGGGGGTCCGGTTTGGAGGGAGAAGTATGTGGAGTGGTGATCCTTGGCGTAGCATACATTCCAATCTTGGCAGTAATAATTTTTGAATATTTGAGAGGCTCTTATGCAGAAAGAGGCTCTTATGCAGAAGTCGACGGCCCGGTGTCCACCGGAATAGATCCCCAACTTCCGTCGATTTGCGGCAGGGTTATTAAGTGCGGGGTGGACATAATGCGGGGTGCGGAGAAATATAGATTGCTGTGGGGTAACAACCGCACTGGCAAAAGCTACGTTTCACTTAAACATAAATTATTTGGACAGGCTGAAAGCACAAAGTAGACACGTCTCCATACCCTCTCAAAATGTCGCTTTGCGGAGAATAAACACCATGGCCTCCCCCTCGAGGCACAAGCAGAATCGCAAAGGTCGATCCTTCATCAAACTCAGCAACATTTATACATTCCCGTGAGCCCATAAGCCACACCGCAAACATGGACACTCTCAATGTCTCCCACCAGCGGGAGTACATGGCGCAGATGGCGCGGCAGCGCGAAGCGCTTCTCGCCGCCTCTGCCCGTGCCGGCAAGGCGCCAGCTAAAAAGTCACGCGAAGACGTGCTATCTACCTTCAAGAAGCAGGCGAAGCGCGCAGAGAAGGGACGCATGCAAGCCATTCGCAGCTCTGAGACGCAAATCCAATCTACATTCGTGCCGCCTGCGTACGCGGCGTGCGTACTTCCCGTGGCGGATCTGGAGAAGATGGGGGTTGATGAGTTGAGGTTGGAGACGCATCATCGGGGACGGTATGTGCTGTTGCGGGCAGTGGCGGGGCCGAGTCGGATGACCGCACTGGTGGGAGTTGGGGAGGACGAGGAGGGAAGGGTGGTGAGAGTGCAAATCTATCAGCAGGGGGATGAGAATGAGGTGTGGAAGGTTGGGGGGGTGGTGGTGGTGAAGGAGCCGTATTTTAAGGAGAGTGGGGATGGGGATACGGGGATTCGAGTTGATCATATGGGTGATGTGATGGCATTGCCCGCAAATCATCCGTTGGTGCCAGAGAAGTGGAGGAAGGGGGTTGATGCTGTGTTGGTACGGGAGTGGGTAGATAGGGCGGCAGAGGCGATAAAGGGAGAGAGGTACTGGGAGGCACTTGACCAGTATGTTCCCCCTTTAGACGGCGATTGGACCACAGCTAACAAATTTCTAGGTGCAAATCTGCTTTGCTTGCCTCACCTCCTCCAACACCCGAGGAGGCCACTGAGATCAAACTCAAACTCGCTGCAGCCTACCTCAAAGTCGGTTACTTCGAAGCTGCCGAATCGGCCATTGACAGCGTCGATCCCACCCCCGAATCCCTGAAACTACAAGCAGAAGCTTTCTACAACCTCGCACGGTATGATGAGTGTATGGCATCCCTGGGCAAACTTCCCGAGCAAGACTCTACTCTGCTTGAGAAGGCCAAAACGCGTCTTGTAGAGCAAGAGACTGGCGCCTACGACTTCCGAAGCATCTTCACCGAGCTCTCAACCCTCAACCCTCCAACTGTCGACCGAGCAACTTACATCGGACCTGTTGATATTAGGGTTTCACCAGGCAAAGGACGTGGGCTATTCACGACCCGTGCCGTCGAGGCTGGGGAGCTCCTCATGTGCGAGAAGGCATTCGCATATAGCTTCTTCGACCAATCCGCGCCAGCAGAGATGCACAAGACCAAACTCTCCATGGTCTTCAACACCGAGGAAGGAAGCATCATCTTCGGGACCTTAGGCACGCTAATCACCGAAGCCGTACAAAAGGTGGCGCGAAACCCATCACTGCACGATTTCGTCTCCAGCCTATACCACGGGAGCTACAAAGCCCCCACCGTGAACCAAATCGACGACCACCCCGTCATCGACACCTTCCTTATCGAGCGCATAATATCTCACAACTGCTTCGGCTGCCCCCCAACCTCGCTCATGGCCCACGTCACCCCCGGCCCCCCCAAACGCGCCTACTCCTCCGGACTCTGGCCCCTCTGCGCAACACTAAACCACTCCTGCCTCCCCACCGCACGCCGGTCCTTCATTGGCGACCTGCAAGTCGTGCGCGCCACCCGCGACCTCCCCGCAGACACTGAGCTTGTCTGGGCGTATAACGAGGTCTCTGAGGACCCGGCACAGACGCGTAGCGCGCTCGCGAATTGGGGGTTCGTGTGTAGCTGCAGTCTTTGTACCGAGGCGATGCGGACGCCGGAGAAGGTTAGGAAGCGGAGAGAGCTGCTGAGGACGGATCTGCGCGCGTGTGTGATGGTGAAGAATCCGGATGATATTGATGTGCCGAAGGCGGAGAGGCTGGTTGCTGCGGTGGAGGCGACGTACAAGGCGAAGCCAGTAGAGGCGCCGCGCGAGTCGATGTGTGGACTACAGCTGATGATTACGAGAGTGCATAAGAACCGCGGTGAGGCAGCTAAGGTGGTGGGGGCAGCGCTAAAGGTGTTAAGGTTGCTGGGGTTTGAGGTGAAAGGGGCAAAGGTTCCGAGGGGAAAAGAGGAGTTTGAGGTTGTGAAATGGGGTTATATGGCGCATGGGGTTGTGGAGACGTGGGTGCAGTTATGGGTTGCGTATGCGACTGTGGCCCCGGAGTTGTGTGCGGATGCAGAGAGATGTGCGAGGATTTGCTATAAGATTTGTGTTGGAGAAGATGAGACTTTTGATGATAGTTACGGGAGGAAAGCGAGGAAAGCTATGGAGGATGATGCGGCAGCGGCGCCAGGAGTTTCGACGGCTTGAAGCATGGTGATGGCGTTATGGCAGCTGGGCGCATGTTGAAGAGTTGGGTGTTCTGATAGTTTCAACGGGGTTTAGCGGAATTGAGAGTGAATATTTCTTAATATACAAACAACGGAGTTTATTATCCAAAGGTCCCAACACAGGAATGCCAGACAACCCTTTGTGAACGACCAAAAAATAGAATTGTAATAATTAAATTTTGTATAGTAATATAACTGTGGTGCCAACCGCCTGAGGGTATAACTGTCGAAGTCCATTTAATTGTCGTATCACCCACCGTTATCAAAGGATTATTGAGGCGTTAATCAGGTTTTGGCAAAATGGTGGCCCTGGATCTGTGTTGTAAGTGGCAAGTAGGACAATAGAACCGGCGTAATTGTATACCGTATCTCAGACTCAGTGTGTCAGATCTTATTAAATCTTACCTTCCGGATCTGGGAGCTGTGATCGACATCAGATGCCAATGTCATCCCTGTCACTGGAGCCTAAAGTGAGAACCCCGCAACAACAATACTTCTTAAAATCCCCCTCCCATAACCAACATCCAAGAAAGCTTCATTATTGCTATTATAAGTTCAGACTATAAAGTCTTTTTATAAGTTAATTATAACCCCAGCAAGCCCAGAACAAACCACCATGGCGGCACTTCCAACAACGCCCTTCACTCTCGCTGGCGGCTGCTTTTGCAAAGCCGTCACGTACACCGTCTCTGTCCCCGACGTCGCATCCCGCCCTACTCTTCCTAAACCCCCAAAGTTTCCTCTGGGGCCTCAAACCGAGGACTGTGAACGCCTCCCTATCATTTCTATAGACCACTGCAACAGCTGTCGCCGCATCGCCGGCACCGTGATCCAGAGCTGGTTTATATGTCTCCAGAGCTGGACCACCTTCTATCTCTTGCCCCGTTTCACATCAACCAGAACCGGTGCCAGTGCCGAGATTTTGAGGGTCCGTACCACGGCAGAAGCCCTGATACCCGACAAGGATATCCTAGAGACGACGTATCTGAGCTACTTCTCCAGTTCGAAGGATGTGCACAGGACGTTCTGCGGGCGGTGTGGCACGGGGCTCACGTATCATTACTCGGGAGAAGATGATGAGATGGCGGCGGAGGATAAGTGGGGGCCGTATTTTGATATCGCGCTTGGAACGTTGGATGAGGAGAGCACGAAGGTGGAGGGTTTGAGGCCAACGAGGCATGGGCATTGTGACGATGGGATTGGATGGGTGAAGGAGATGGTCGAACTGTGGGGGATCGCAGGGTCGATGAGAGAAGGTTGATAAGGGGTGAGGAATGTTTTGTAGTCAGAATGGAAGTTGTTTTACATTTATTCCAAACATGGCCGTGAAGTGTTTGCTTGTTCTATGCTTCTCTTAGTTCTCGCCATTCCTTCACAGGTGCCGCCTGTTGGCCCCAGGGAGAACCTAAGGCCTCAGTTTCTGAGTGTTTGCACTCGGAGGTGAGTGCCTGTTGCCAGCAGGGGAAACAAGGGGGATTTCGTGTCGAGCAGCGTTCGCTTGCCGCCTCCGCCCCTTTGTTTCCCCTTATCCCCTCCCACACCCCTTATCCCCAGGCATGAAATATGACCCAGCCAAAAGGTTATAAGGTCGCCTAACCCCCATACTTTCAACAAAAAATTGGTGTTTGGCGCAGTGGTAAGCCCATTGTAAACTTCCACATAAACCTGGGTCTAGCACGTCCAGTGGGATACAAACCTTCCACCGGTTCGAATCCGGTACATTCCATTACTTTTTTACTTTTTTTACTTTGTTCAGTTGATTGAATCATACTATCCTCATTGATTTGTATTTGGAAGACAGCTTCCACAAGTCGGGCACCTCATACCCCTTCGGACTGTTTTTTTTGTACCATTTATCATTATTCATCCAAAGGTCAATCAATACACGTATAATATAGTATTTCATGAGTTCTAAATACCAGTTCCGAAGATTTTCTTTTATATCGCCCTACACACAGATGACGTTCTCCAAACATCCATCACAGATATAGTCTGGACAAAAACTTAGCGGCGTTTCTATCAAGAATCCATGATATTATCCCTTTCTTCTGTTTGAGCCTTTCTTCTACGTGAACCTTTCTTCTACGTGAACATTTCTTCTACGTGAACATTTCTTCCACTTGAGCGATGTTTCCATCAACCTTGTCGCTTCTTTCAACTTTCAAATAAACAACAAGAGCAGTGGCGAGGTGTCATCCATAACACAAGTAATACAAGGCATATCAGCGCCCCCATGACCTTGAAGGCCTGTTTCATGTGCACATTTACAATCATTGGCGGTATCTTCTTTGGATATGATGTGGAATGGACAAGTGTTCTTGCGATGCCTTACTTCATCCACCAGCACACTAGCATGGCCTACACAACTACACAGTGTTCACGATGCGTTTCTTGTTCAGTGCACTCAGTTGAGGATTCACGTACTTACATATAGAAGAAAATATTCTACGGAACCTCGCATTCTGGTTTGTGTAGTTCCGTTGCGGTTGGTTTATTTAATCTCATGTTTGATAACAAATATGTAGTCGACATAGGAATATTCTATTACAAATAAAAAACAAACCACACGTAGCTCAGGATTAATGCCATCAATTTAAACTGAAGAACTTATCAATTCAGCTCCATTTATCAATACCTGGTTTACGGACTGAATGTCTAGGTTATTGAGCGTCTTTAGTTAAATTGGAGTTGCTGTAACCGCTGTCGTTAGCGTGCAAATGTTAATTGTACAGTACTGTATAATAAAAGGCATGGTATCACTGCATCTGCATGGCATTACCGCATCACCACATCGCACTTCTACTCCAACAATTACTGTAATTCTAATTTCCTGTAGACTGATCAAAGATTAAATAGAAGCTCAAAATTAAATAAATAAATCTCAAGGCCAAAATAATTGCTGAACGGAACAACCTGTGCCATAAGACCGACGCATGGTACAGCCGCCTTAGCGCGCCAAGCCATGCAATCGACGGGGCGCCGACGACCATGGACGACGTCGTGCGCTCGGACCACCTCAGCCACGGGCGACATGGACGCTGTCGTCTGGCGTTTAGATTTGTACTTCTTCTCATTTCCTCATCACACGCGCTTCGTGCAGAGAGGCGTAACACGCGTTTGATCCCATGGGCGATTGCGAGGTTTTTCATCAGGACGACGACATTGGAGGACCTTTTCTATTTGTTTGAGGGGAGTTTGGTGTGTACGAAGTGTTCATAGAAGGTCGACCCACGATTGAAGAAGAGGTGGATTGATATATCTCATCACTAGCAACAAGTTGGTCGAAGAACCAGATCACCAAGATGTCGACCGATAAGACAGCCAAGTATAGGACGGAGATCCAGCAGGTTAGTGGACGTTTCGATCTTTGCTATTGTGTCGAGGAGCGTGCTCGACACAAGTGAATTTCACCGCTTCGTTGCTCGGCTTTTAGCAAACTAGATATTCCTGGCGGGTCTCCTTGTTGCTTATTGCTTTTCCCCGTCACTGTTCTCATTCTTTACGTTACAAGCTCCCCACGCTTCGCTTCACGCGGACAGCACCCACAATGGCTCGCAAGGGTAAAGCAACTCTGTTGCTCAAGGAGTCTGTCTCCGACTTTGAAGACCCTGAGACAGCCTATAACCTATAAGGCATTACAAAACTACAAGAAGTGGATTGCTAACCAAGTATTTAAATAGATGATGTACGTCTCTGGTGAGACCGGCGAACCATCACCAGAAACAACTGGAATGGTCGAGGAGATTGTGCGCCAGCAAGTCATCGAAATGGTATGCAATATTCATTGATCGATCTATTGATCTACACCCCTCTTTGAATGCAACCTAACACCTTCCAGCTCCGCACCTGCACTGAGAACGCCGCCCGCCGCGGCTCCAAGTCCATCACCACGGACGACCTCATCTTCCTGATCCGCCACGATGCCGCCAAAGTCTCCCGCCTCCGCACCTTCCTCTCCTGGAAAGACGTGCGCAAAAACGTCAAGGACTCAGACGACAAAGGCAACGAAGCCGACATCGGCACGGGCGACGAACCCGTCGCAGCCGTCGCCGCCACCGGCCCCGTCGACGTCTCCAAGAAGAACAAGAAAGCCAAGGTCGGCCTCCCCTGGGAGATCGCCTCCCTCTACTCCCAGGAGGTCCCCGAGCGCGACGACGAAGACGACGAGGATGAGGAGGAAATGAACTACGCTACCCTCCAGCGTCTCAAGAAGGCTGATGAGCGCACAAAGGCCATGACCAAGGAGGAGTACGTCACTTGGTCTGAGTACCGTCAGGCGTCCTTCACCTTCCGCAAGGGCAAGCGTTTCCGCGAGTGGGCTGGCTTCGGGACCATCACCGAGTCCAAGCCTAATGACGATATTGTCGACATCCTCGGCTTCTTGACCTTTGAGATCGTGCAGACCCTCACTGAGGAGGCCCTGCGTATCAAGGAGCAGGAGGACCTCTACAAAGAGAAGAGCGGCGTTGAGGACCAGGGCAAGAAGCGCAAGGCTGTCAAGGGACTCTTCGATCCCCCTGCGGTTGGCAAGTCCCCTGTTGAGCCAAGACACGTTCAGGAGGCTTTCCGCAGACTTCAGGTGCGCCCGAAGAAGTCTCGCGCTATGCTGAATGGTACGAGGGGCCTGAACAGGACTCCGCTCAAGCTCGTAAGTGACCCTTTGTTGCTTCATCTGGAATATACTGACTATTGCGTAGTTTTGAACTGGCACAGTCCGTCTGGGACAGTTCTTCTAGCACGGTTCTTCCAGGACAGCTCTTCTGGCACGGTTCGTTCACAGTTCTCCTGGCCCAGTTCTTCTGGCTCAGTTCTCCTGGCGCAGTTCCTCTGCTGGGTGTCCTGCTTTTATTGATTTTGACTTCGGCGTGAAGGATGGACATGGGGCCTAATGGTACGGGGACTTCATGGCGTTTATTTTGCGTGTTACTGTTCATAGGATGGATTATGACAAGATGGTTTTACAGAGGTTCACATGCGTATTACTCTGCATGATAGGTCATGGCGCCAATGAACTCATTATATACACTGGTGTGCTATGTGCCTCGTTGCGTGACTGTCTTATTTCGCCACTGCTATATCTGCTCAATTCATAAACATCATCAATTATCCCAACCCAACCCAGCGCTCCAACTCCAACGCCATCAAATGCACAACAATCCCCCCTCATTCCCGCTACCCCAGTCCAACCCCCTACTCCTCCCCCGTCTCCCTAATCCTCCTCTCCTCCTCCCCCTCCAAAAAATCCCATCCCCCAAACGCCCCCTCCGTCTCCCTCTGCTCCCTCGCCCCCCAAACAACCAAATAATGCCTCCCCAACAACCGCCACTCCTCCTCCTCATCAAACATCTGCATCTGTCCCAACCTCACCTTCTCCTCGTCCTCAATCCAATTATCCCACAGCCAGCTGATACTCGCGCCTTCTTGGAACATATCCAGCCCTGCTGCGCGCAGGCGCTCGAGTTGGGCGTCGAGAGAGTCGTAGGTGGAGATGGAGGGCATGGCGAGGTTGCGCGCGGCGAGGTTGGAGGTCATGACGCGCCCGAAGGCGGAGGTGGGGTTCGTGGGCTCGTAGATCACGGTTCCTATCGTTGGGATGCGGGAGGTGAAGAAGTTGAGCACCGCGTCTGCCTGTTCTGTCGTGAGGTAACATAGACAGCACTCCGAGACAAGCAGCGTCGGCAGGTCGGTGCGTATATTATCGATCTCCGCTGGCAGACTTCGCAGGTCCACCGGGTGAAAGAGGTACCCAGCCTTCTTCTCACCATCCGTGAAGTACCCCCACATCTTCTTCTCCGGCTCATGATCCGGCACCGCGCGCAGGGCGTTGAACTCGCTCCCCGGCGGCGCGAGCTTGTCTGAGCGATTGACGAAGGCGAGTTTGTTGGCGGAGATGATGGGGAAGTCGAGCTCGTGGTAGAGGATCTGGTCTTTGTGGCCCCGGTCGAGGTAGCGGAAGTAGCGCGTGTCGGTGCCGGCGCCGAGGGAGATGATTTGCACGTTTTGCGAGGGGTGCGCGTTGATGAAGTTTTCGATGAGGCGGTCGAGTACTATGGTGCGGACATAGGTTCCTGGGGGGTGAGAGTGTTAGTGGGGGGGTCGTCAAGGCATTGGGAGGGGGGATGGGGAAGCACCTCTGTTTATGATGGGCATGCGCAGGGCAGGAGAATCAGTGCCTAAGTCAGCGACGAATTCGCTCACATAAGGGTCCTCCAAATAGCCACAGGCCACTGCACTACGTCTGGAACCGTTGGCGTCAGTATCTGTCTCGCGGATCATTTTGTCCCTGTCTGGCCCCGCGCCTCTTGCGCTGGAGGACCCCCCTCTACCGCGTCCACCGCCGCGCGAGCGATTCCCGCGCATGGAGAGGAGATTGGGGATTTCAGGTGCAGCCATGATGGCTGTGAGGGTATCTTGTGAAAACAAATAATTACAAAGAAATAGAGGGTTATGGGGAAGTAATGTTGGTCAATTCCGGATGGAAGGAATTGGGGGTCTCGTCTGGAGCTTGATGGAGCTTGTTACAGCTACTGTGTACAGCTACTGTGGTGGGGTCGTTATCGATAACGGAGGGGTGGGATAACTAAATTCCAGGTCACGGGTAATTTACAGACAAACAGTTGTATCACGTGATGAAGGATATAATCTGGTATCACGTGATAAAGCATGTGGTTGTACTGGAACTTCCACAATGCAACCACAACAAGCCATCTCATTTCCCTTTACGGCCCATTTTCGGTCATGAGCGTTTCCCGTCAAAGCCACAGCTCCACGCCTCTCCACAGCTTCACGCTTCACTCAAAGGTCACTCTAAGGGGTTACAACTCTTCGATTCCACGACTCCACGATTCCACAGGCTCAGAATCCACCGCTCCAGCTCCGCAGCTCTGCCGGTCAATGCTGGATATCCATAATGTGGACTCAGGTGGATGACCTGTACGGTCTGGACTATACGCGTTCGAGCCGTGCGCGCGCCGTCCTCAGCTCTTCTCCGAAGTTCAAGCGCCGATCGCGACATATAAGGAATAAGGAAAACCTTGGTATACCGAAAATATAAGTGCAATCTCCTCCAAAACTCTTCTTCCGGACCCCATTGTTTGAGAGTAACTACTTACAGGATTCAGGGCTTCAAGGGTTATGCGAGACAATGCCAGTCAATATGCGCATTTGGACGAAACATACATGATGTACTCCATACTTACTCCTCACACACGCTTCAAAAGTATTTCATTATTCCATTAATCTCATTTTTGGTGGAACGCGTGGCCCAATCACGGAAATCCCTTATTAGTCCCCTTGTGCGGGACCTTGCATCTTATTCGATTTCGCTGGTTATGGCCCGTCCAGAGACAGAACTAGTGGGTGACAAACTAATGGTGCAGAAGTTAGCGCCAGGTACAGGTACCGGCTGGTGGGACAACTCAGGGACAACACAGCAAGTAGGGCTTTCACTTGTCTGCCTTGTCGAAGTTGGTCGGAATTGCCAAATATGGACTGTTTGCGACTCGTTACTGCCCAATAGTGAATGGCTCCTTCCTTCCGTTGCTCCCCGGCGCCTTTTCGCTGAAATCCTGCGATCCTATTTATCCCCATTATTGCCATTAATGCCAATTGGTGACCGGAGTCGTTTCTCATCTTATTTCTGGGCACACACGGGAACACACGCACCACACGCACAGGCTCCCCTGGTCCCCTACCCCCTGTACTTCATGGACAGGTCCAGGCGGGACCAAGTGGATTGCCCTGTCTGAACTGTGGGAACTGTGGGAACAACACAGAGTGTGGAAATGGATCGAAACAGCCCCATCACGGCCCGTGACTGGCTGGTTGTCACAGAGAGACAGCTCAGAGCTTTCATCTCGGTTTTTATCGAATCGCCACTTCTCATCTCCATCCCGTCTCCCTCCCGTCCCCATATTCTGTCGCTTCTTCCCCATCTGCACTTCTGTCTCAATCCATCATCACATTCGTTACTATATCATCATCGCATCGCCGTCGCTCTTCGCACGAAAATCAAGACGAGAAATTTCGCACGCAAGCAAGCTCGAAGAAAAGCTACCACTAAGGTCGATCGGCGGGCAAGATCAACCGAAATCAGCGCCGTCCCACGAGCTCTTGGCCGCGATCCTCGCCCTAGCACCTGGCGATAGCACCAACACCACGCGACGATGAGATTCTTGGAGCAGAAGGCTGCCGTCGGCGCCGCTATTGTATTGCTGGCAGCTGCGTCTGAAGCAAGGCACTCTCACAACAGGCCGATGCAATTGGAGACTCTCGAGAGGAGACATGGACATGGACACAGTCACAAGAACGCGCACTCTTCGAGAGCAGAGCACGAGGACCAGCCGGCTTTGGATAAGCGTGATATTTGCTCGTTCCCATTGACCGCCGGTCTGGTTGCTGTTACTCCTGGCTCTCAAAATGCTGGGTGGGCGATGAGCCCCGACCAGCCTTGCACTGCGGGCAAATTCTGCCCCTATGCGTGCCCACCTGGACAACTCATGGGTCAATGGGACGCCGACGCAACTACATACTCATATCCGGCATCCATGGTACGTTCAGGAACCTTAAATCCTGCATTCTAATCAAACTAACGGTCGTAGAATGGTGGCCTCAAATGCGACAGCGGTGGTAGAATCAAGAAGCCATTCCCAAACAAGCCTTATTGCTACCAGGGAACCGGTTCCGTGTCTGCCCATAACGAGTGCGGCCAATCCGTCGCGTACTGCCAAACTGTGCTCCCCGGAAATGAGGCCATGCTCATCCCTACCAATGTGGGCAGTGGTCAAACTGTAGGAATCGCAGTTCCTGACACACAGTACTGGGCATCGACGGCGGCACACTACTATATCAACCCACCCGGATTTTCCACTGCGGATGCATGCATTTGGGGCGATGGATCCAAGCCGATCGGTAACTGGAGTCCGTATGTTGCCGGCGCCAATACCGATGCCAGCGGAGAGACATTCGTCAAGATCGCCTGGAACCCTATCTACACCGGCGAATCGACTTTCTCGAACGATCTCCCCAAGTTTGGTGTTAAGATTACTTGTGATGGCGGTGGCTGCAACGGCCTGCCTTGCTCTATCGACCCCGCCGTGGTTAAAGTCAACGGTGTGACCAGCGGCAACTCGGCAACCGGTGCGGGCGGCGGCAACTTCTGCGTTGTCACTGTGCCAAAGGGTTCAAAGGCGAAGATCGAGACCTTCGATGTAGGCGGCTCGTCTGGCGGCGGCGGTAGCGGAGGCGGCGATGAGACAACTGAGCCATCGTCCTCCGCCGAACCTACCCCAACCCCGACACCAACCCCCACCCCAACACCTACTCCAACACCAACCCCCACACCCAGCCCTAGCAGCTCTTCCGTCGAGAGCTCCTCCTCCTCCCCATCCTCCTCTAGCGAGTCTAGCACGTCTAGCGAATCCAGCACCAGCGAGTCCAGCACTAGCGAGTCCAGCAGCACCAGCGAAGAGAGCAGCAGTGACGATACCACATCCACCAGGGTCCACCCCACTGTCCTGCCACAGATGCTATTCGAGAATGACACCGCCCTCTACAACAACGCGGCGCCCACCTCTGGAGGAGTAGCCTCCGCCGTACAGCAAGGCGACTCCGACGCCTCTAAGGGCGCAGCTCCTTCGACTAGCAGCCCCAGCGTCGCTAACTCCATCTCCCTGCAATCGAGCTTCGTCGCTCTCGCAGCGGCCTTCGCGGCGTGCAGCATGCTGCTATAGGCCAGTCATCATCATCATCGCCATGCATATTTTACGGATAGGGTCTACGGACCCACTCCGCCATTCTATCTTCGTTGTATATACGATATTTAAACTATTTTGCTTCACACATACCCGGGTTTCAGCGACAAGCGAAAACCCCTATTTTCACGACAGATTTATGGGATATTTTAGGATGAATTTTTTCTTTTTTTGAACGTCTTATACCCCCACCTTGATCATAATTCGGCCGGCAGGGATCGGAGAGAAAACCGGATTTTGTTTACATTCACAATTACGACTGGCCGCCCCAGGGGGTTTTTGGAGGCGTGCTGAGTTTTTATTATTTTTTATTTAGCTCTCTTGAGCATATTCTTACATTCTACGATTTTGAGCTTTCAGGATTTAGAGATTTTGGGACGGACTGAAGGGGGGAAGCACAAAATATGAAAAGATGAGATATTACGAAATTAGTGGAGATTGGTGGAAGTTATGAGGGATGTGCATGGCGCATCTCTCATATGTCATCTATATGCTATATATAACCTACCTACAGTACCTTGAAGGGGGGATGGTGATATTTAGGTTAGAGAAATATAAATTTATAGACATTGAGATTGTTTATGTGATTCTGTTTGGTGAGTTGGTATTGTTGGGGATAAATGCGGTCGCCTTGATTGATTGACTACAAGTCGACCGTCGATCTACAACTGATTTTCTGACCGTTATATGAGGCAGCTTTCGGCCTGAGGCACCTAAGACCTCAACTTCTCTGAGTGAGGTTGGGCTGCATCACCTCCTGAGGCGGAAATAGAGAAGTTCGAAAGTGCGTATAGTTTTATAAAATGAAAAAATATTCAAGAATTAGGTGGTGATATATCCAAACCCTCGATGTGCGCATTCTCGCGCAGAATCGCGCAAATCATTTCAAAAGTGCGCAAAAAGAGTGCTGGGCGTGAAGTTTACCGTTATCCCAATCAGGGGAGGAACATTTCTAATCAACGTGCGTATCCAAAATCACGTGTTCTCGCGTCCCTAGTGGCGCGTTACGGCGCGCGGGACTCGAGTTTCCCCGATAAGGCCATCCGACACAAAAGACCCTTGATAACCGCCAGCCTTGTCATGCACCCTTCGCCCCCTCCGCCGACTTCATAAGACCACTTTCTTCCACTCCCCCCCCCATATCCATCCTCTATATCCCACCCCAACCACGACACCTCGAACATGCAAGTACAATCAGCATAGAGCATGGCCCTCCGCACCCCCCCAACAGACCTCGATAGCGACTACGGCTCTGATTTCTCCCCCGAAGACCTCGAGGTCCTTGATCGTCTCGTCGTCCAGACCCCATCTACCGTCGTCAGCGTCCCTGCACCGCCGACTCCCTTCTTTTTCTCCCGCGAGAACACACCGTCTGCTCGCCGCGATGCGCATCCCCCGCGCTCACGCTATGTGGCCAGCATGCCGATCGCGTATGAGACTGAGCCCCTCGCGCCCCCCGCGCCCCCGGCAGTCAGTCGCAGCGCATACCCAGGCGGCCCAAACGGCGCCATCTACCCGGATCGTGAGTCTCCCCTCTCCTCTCCCCCCTCCCGCACGCTGCTCTGACACCTGCTAAGCGGCTAGTCTCCGCCGCGCTCTCCTCGCTCAACGAACCCACCACCACTGCCTCTCAGCCTGAAGCACCCCCCACCGAAGCCCCAGTCCCCGACACCCGAACCCCCCTCCAACGCTACCGCTCCTTCCCCCGCAAAGCCCTCTCCGTCACCGACCTCGTCTCCCCCGCCTGGTGCGAGCTGCAATACTCCCTAACCCTCTCCCTCCACGGCCGCAAGCCGCGCACCGAAGCCATGAAACGGGGAAGCGAGGTGCACGCCGCGCTCGAGGAGGAGGTGTATACGTCTGTCCAGATCGAGGTTGCGACCAAGGAGGATGCGTGGGGGTTGAGGGTGTGGAATGTTATTCAGGGACTGAGGACGCTGAGGGAGGCGGGGATGACGAGGGAGTTGGAGGTGTGGGGGGTGGTGGATGGGGAGGTTGTGGGGGGGGTGATTGATGAGGTGGGGTTTATGTGTCCGGATTTGGAGAAGGAGGAGGAGGCTGTGAGGGCGCTTGCGGTGGCGAGAGGGGAGGCGCTGCCGAAGCCTAGGACGATTCTGCCTACTGACCAGAGGGCGCTGGATGAGTATCTACATCCCACACCCCCACAGCTGGCGAAGAGGAAATTGTACATTACAGATGTCAAAACTCGCTCTGTTGCCTCCTTACCCCGCGGCGCTTCGTTCCGCCCGACGAAGCTCCAACTCATGCTCTATCACACCCTCCTCTCCTCCCTCGCCGCGGGCGACTCACCCCTCTCCGCTGTCGCGGCCCGCTATGAGCTCGACACGCACGCGCAATTCAGTCCTGCGTTCGTAGCGCAGGTAGCCGCTCTCGCAGACGAGGTATTCTACGACGCCCCCTCCAGCGCCGAAGAAGTCGCCCGCGCTCCCGATCCCGCCGGCTCGGAACTATCACGCAACAACACCCTCGAGAAGCTCTGGGCCGTCATGATGGAATTATTCACCGAAGTCATCGGCGAAGGCGGTCTAGGACGCGTGCTCCGCGCGGAATACCGCAGTCGCGGAACGGGAGGGGTGATAGGGGAGCAGGTTTTCCCTATGGATGAGGCGGTCTTGGGAGGGTATATAGGGCATGGGATGGGGTGGTGGAGGGGGGAGAGAGAGCCGGAGGGGGTGGCGGTGCAAGAGGCGTTTAAGTGTCGGAGTTGTGAGTTTGCGGAGGGGTGTGAGTGGAGGCTTGGGCAGGTGGAGGAGGCGAGGCGGAGGGCGAGGGGGGGGTGGAAGGGGTAGAGGGCGTGGTGTGGAGTTGGGTTTGGGGCGTCAGGGCGTGGCGGCTGGGGATACCGGATACGGCGATGAGGAAAGAGAAGGGATTGGGTTTTGGGCAAGTATATAGGGAGAGAAATGTTTCTACTTCCCCTAACTTTGGTCTATAGATTTTCAAGATATAGAAATGGGATTTCCCAGAGTGCTGCCTGCATCCCATCCAGCTGTGATGGTTGCTCCAGTGGCCGAGAGACACGTCCTGGTGCTCGTCGATGTGTTCGCCGCCACCCCAGCGGTGGAGTCAGCTCCGCGCCCCTTTTTACAACAATGATTGGTCTCATACCCTAGCGACATCAAGCTCAACCGTTGAAGCTTCATCCAGCCTCGGGTCTCCCCGAGTAGAACCCTCGTAAACTTGGGATGGGACAATAAAAAACAGCCTGACAGGGCAGAATCCGCGCGAGTTAAAATCGTCTGGTAGAGCGCGTCAGATGTATAAATATAAAAACACATATCTTCCATTTTCGACTTCTGCGCTGTGCGTTGCCATGAAGCAGTGTTCGGCGGATCGTGATCCGGATCTGATCCTAAGCCCTCACGGATTAGGTCATGATTATTTCTAAAGCACATGTTCCGGCCCAACCATGAGCCCAACCCAACCCAACCTAACGTAGTAGTGTAGAACAGTATCGTAGAAAATTCAAATCTATAACCTACAACCTACAACTATAGCAATTATGGCTACTATTGCTTCGATTAATCCATTTCCGCATGATGTGCGCACCTGCTTTTAAGGCCTATATGAGTAGTACTACCTACTATAACCATGAGCAATTTACACACGAAAAATGCCACCATATGCACGTAATACTCGATAATCCTACTACCTATATACAATACAATAAAGAGAGCTCAAACCTTAAGACACGCATACTCTCTAGCTTTATGCTTATTAATAATAAGCTATGTAAGTAAGGTGATAACGGCATCTGCACCCTAGAATTATGGTTCTAAAAGAAGAGGTGTTTGATATTATCATATAAGAACACCTTAAGCTTCTACATGTAGGCTAGAATAAGGTATAGCCTACTATAGAGCAATAGTACTATAGGATAAAGCCTCCGATCTTGCAGCCTTGATCTTGCAGCCTTAATACGAACATGTCGTCGCTACTATAACTCCATGCAAGATATGCTAGGCATACTATATAAGGAGCAAGCAGTGCTCTAATGGGCAGCGATTGAATCAAAGAACAATCACAAAGACAGCAAGGGAACAAAGGCTTGCAACTCAAGAAGGAATCTTCGAAAACCGACAATTCACGGGGGCATAGCAACTCGTTCTACATTACTAAACTTTCGTCATTATTGCTCTATATCCTCTCAATTGAGTGCACAGTGACATATTTCCATTATGCTATGTAAAAAAGGTTAAGTTCTCGGAATTTGAGCCAACGCACTTTCATCCCCCCGACAGTATCTGGAGGAAGAGGCGATTATCTGTTGTGTTGTGACCTATTTCTCCTTTATGCACCTCTCTGCTGCGTCTTTAATGACAGCTTGAAGATAGTTGCCATCAGCTCGAAGGTTGTAGGTGCAGGTTCCACCTTCCTTGCGGGTAATGGTGACTTTGAGGGTACCGTCCTCATTGGTGTCATATGTGTAGGTGTAATGGACTCCGTCTTGTGTTATAGCCTCGCCTTTGCCATGGCATCGGGGATTGCTACCTCCAGTGATGCTGCTTACAATGCAAGCGGCGCTATCGAACGGGCTGTTGATGAGGTTGTCCCCTGAACCAAAGATGCCATGGGCTTGCCTTGCTTGCTCCTGATTAAGATAATGTTAGCGTTGATCCCTGAAGTAAGAAATATAATCTAGATGCCTAGCGGTTATGAAAACTTACCGTTGGGACTGGGGTTGCTAATATAGCCCCAGCAAGGCTGGTAATCAAGGCAGCAATCGCGAATGACTTCATGTTGTCCAAAAAGGTCACGTGTAATTCAATGTAATATGATGTTCGTGTTAACGACAAGGGTGCTAATGGAAATGAAAGTTTGCGAATGGCTAATCTCTGCAGTTTCCATGCCACAGTATTTATATTTTTGCCCGACTGTTAATTTTGCCTACTTGGTTGCCAATGGGCTGCGGTTCTTCCTTGACGCAGGTGTCCTCTTACAACATAAGACACTGTTATTCATTAGTGAGACTAAATTCCGTTAGCTTATCTGTGTATAGAGCAAGGATTTACATCAGCTCTACATTGTCTTAAACCACTTCTTACCTGCTGTGTTGAGAATGGCGGCGTATTGAGCGTTTGGTCTAAGGCAACGCAGAGTTGGTGTAGATCCTAGCCCATGGTTAAATCCCCCCACATATATTCCCGCACGATCATCATAATAAACACACATTCAAAGTGATAGGCGTGGAGATCTGCATAATGTGGCTCCGCACGCTTGGGGGTACGCTAGTCGAGAAAGTGTTGGCTCCCGAAGGTTCGGTTGCTCTCCCCGCATTGAAAAATGTGAGCTAGAGAGTTTAGATGTTACTGGAGAGCTAGTTGACTACTGAATAATCGATTACAGTTATAACAAAACATCGCTATCCTAGGTGAATGCTGATTTTGTTGTGAGGTAGTGGAGACCTAAGCCACCCCGAAGGCTAGTGCCAACACGGTTAGCGGGGGTTTCCATACTTGCTCAATCAAGGGCCTAATCGCACGGAGTTGCACCTTTTCAACGTAAGGACCCAAGGAGCAATATCCCTTAGAGGTCATTTGGCCGTTTGTCGTCTAACACTAAAGGCTGTTGCGCTACTAAGGCGGTAAGGTAGTGTCTATGTGTCTAAGACAGTCCGATGTAAGAGTGAACCTAATAGGGCACTTACTATCAGTTGACCCTAGGTTGACCCTAGGTCTTAACCTAGCTGGCCACTGTCTGTTGATCGATCCTATATTTGACTCGGCTAGTTCTGTGTAAAGGGGAGTCACGTGAGGACGCCCCCACGTGCAGGACACGATAGGGCTTAGTAAAACTAGGAGCCTTAACATAAAAGGGACTAGAGGCGTAGGACTAAGGCCTCTAGTTAATAGTTGCTGTATCTACGTAGACCTATTATGCTTACTAAATACAATACCCTTCCTACCTTCTAACCTAGTTCCCTAGACTTCTATAAGACCCTAGGCTTATGCTTTATAGTTCTATTAACTTAACCTATATCTAGCCTACTAGGTTAGGATAGTAGGTGTAGGGGATACAGCCTAATTCAGAAGGGTGGGTGCAGGGGTAGTGGCGGCCTGAGGCAGCGGCAAAATCCCTCATCGTGATTCAGGGGTGGTGGAGGTTATATTCGAAAACCACAAATCCTAATACTATTTTGGGGAATACTGGTCGTGGGCGACTCACTTGTGTGGGCGACTCGCTTGTGAAATGCGTTAATATAAAGTACATTATTATATTCTAGGCGGCGATCGAAAGCGAAATGCGAAAGCGAACTGCGAAATGCGAAATGCGAATGCGAAAAGCGAGAAGCGAAATGCGAAATGCGAAATGCGAAGTGCTAGTGCGAAGTGCCAGACCGCCCCTAAAATAAGTATCAGATTGCATCAGGGTTTTTGGTCGTGGTTATAACTATTGAGGGATTTCTGTCAAATTCTCGTCGAAGCTTGTGTATTCAACATTGCTCACTTCGATCCATACCACAAGCTTCATTTGCACAGCCAATTGGCAAGCGAGATTCCAAGTGATAAGCACATTACAACATCTGTCACAATGGGCGAGATCAATCCCTGGAGCTATTCGCCAAGCCCTGCGGCAGCGATGATATTCTTGATCCTTTTTGCAATCACTACCCTTTGGCACATCGTCATCATGTTCCGCCGCCACGCATGGTACTTCACCGTGCTGGTAATTGGCGGTGTCCGTACGTCTCCTCCTCCTCCTCTTCATTATCTGCTAGTATATCGCGGCAACGCTGACCGACTTCTAACAGTCGAGATTGCCGGCTATGTCACGCGCTACCTAGCCAGCAAGGAACAAAGCAACATAGCACTCTTCGTCGTGCAGACCCTGTGCATCCTTGTTGCACCCGCGCTCTTCGCTGCCTCCATCTATATGGTCCTAGGGCGTCTAATCACGCTCGTGCGTGCCGAGGCCTACTCGCCCATACGACCGACGTGGTTGACCAAGATATTCGTGTTGGGGGACCTCCTCTCCTTCATCATCCAGATCATGGGCTCTGGGATGCTGACAAACAATTTCACCCTTGGAAAGACAATTATCCTAATTGGCCTGATCGCCCAGATCATCTGCTTCGGGCTGTTCGTCTTAGTCGCCGTTCTCGTCTCGCGGCGCCTAGCGCGAGACCCAACACCGATGGCGAAATCGCTAGATAGACGCAGCAGTAAGAACGGCTGGGTGGGTGTCATGCGCGTTGTCTTCTTTGCTAGCGCTCTGATCTTCATCCGGTCCTTCTTCCGTCTCATCGAGTTCACTGGCAATAACGACTCTCCTCTACAGAAGAGCGAAGCTTACCTCTATGTTTGTGACTCGACGTTGATGTTCGGTGTTCTGGCCATTCTGATCTACTACCACCCGTCCGAGTATGTGAAGGCACAGAGTGAAGTCTGGCAGGGTCAAGGCGAAGAACTCATATAGCAAGCAAACGCCAGAAGAGCTTGGGTACTGCGATATTTGAGTAGACTATTTATCTTGTATAAGCATATAGCGCATTAGAGGCATTGCCATTGTATTTAATAGTTCCTACATTTGTCTATGCGAAAGATACACAGCTTTATTAGCGATACTGGTAGTCGTAGGCGAGAACGTTGCTGAAGCTTTTTTGTTTTGTTCTTAGATTAGAGAAATATGGTGAGGGTAGTGAATTTCTCTTAACGATTTGTAAATCGTTGGTTGCATGGGAAAATAGAGTAGTTAGTTTGTCTCTGTAAATGCGCATTCAAATCCTCCTATCCTAGCTATAGTCGTATGTGATGTGATGTGAATTTCTAAGCCCTATATATCGACAACGGGGGTGATTGTCCTCTTCCTGGTAAGCAGCTCACAAGCATCTGAGCTAGGGCAGTTCTGTCGTTCATCTGTAGTGCTATTTTTGGTACAGACATATACTCCTCCCATGTTGGATCAATGGTATTGTGTATTTCCTTAATGTCGTGACTAGCCACACCTTGGTAGGTCCATGTATCTGGGAGAAACTTGAAGAGGGCTAGATAATATGCAAGTATAATGAGAGCTTGTGGTTGTGCTTGTCGAACCAACTCGACAAACTCGGATGATACCACGTCGAAGGCCCATGCCTTAATCTTTTTCTCCAACCATGACTCCTCGTAAGGGTGCTCTAGGACAGCGATAAGCCGGCCAAGCTCCGTTGCAGCCTCATGGAGACCCTCGGGGTGCGCACAGTCATTCCCCTCTCTTGAAAGTGCGCGCTGAATATCGTCAGGTATGGCTCCTGGCCCTGGGATGTCGGCAAAAGATCCATAGCGGTTACCAGGAGACTCTATATCGTCTTGGCTGGCAGTGAGGGGAGAGTGCTGTCGAAGGGATGTTGGTGCATGGAAATTTCGCTGCCCTAGGGCGAGGATCAGCCAATTAGCTGTCCACAGGCCGAATTGCTTAGTTGTACGGTCTGCTGCTAACGAGACTGTCGCAAGCAGGACGGATGCACCCCTAACAGCATTAAGTGTTTGCGGCGAGATGTCGGCAACGGCTCGGCGTAGAGTTCGCAAAGCCTGGTCCCGATAGAGATAGACGGGAAGGGTTTCTAAGGAGACGGGGTCTGTGCAGCCTAAGTGGATCATTGATACGAGGAGGATGGCGTCCATGAGAAATCCGTGCTTGAAGCCAAGTTGTGGAATGTCGACCGTCAACGCAATTGATACCTTCTCGGGGAACGTCCTAGCAAAGTACTGCGCTGTAAAGATACAGTAGTGATGTATCAGCCGAATATCCAGAAGGTGCTTAGCGCTATAATCTGGCCCTTCAGATAGTTGCTGGAAGCAGGGCACCGGCTGAGTATCGATGCGGTCTTCGAGTATTGAAGGGCTGGTCTGGACCGGGGAGTTGGCCTGCGTACTTGCCGGTACGTTTGCCGCGTACAAGCATTCATCGCCGCGGCGGATGCCTATAAACCGATTAAAAGCCGCGAGAAACACTTTTAGGAGAGGCAGGCATACAACCAGCGCATTGCGGTTTGACTTCGTCGCACTAGAGGCCTGTCAGCCGGTTATCCGCTCTAGGAAATGGGGTGACTCACCTTAACTCGCCTGAGTTTGCAGTTGTTGCAGCCTGTCCGAGACTTTCGATGTGAGCGAATACTGTGCGACATTGTTCTTTGCACTATGTTGAGAGGAAAATTTGGGATCACTAGGGGGTGTATTGGTTCGTATAGTCCAAGGCTCACCGCCTTCCATCATTAAGACGCAGTATATTGCAACAAAATTATTTTTAGTGTGAGAGATCTCTTAAATATAAGGCTTAGTTAAGCTAATGCGTAAGCTAAAATCAGCTATAAATCTGTATCATGATATGTTTAAAGCGGGTGAAGCTTATTATATTACTTTGAGACGATGCTTGTTGTCACGGTAAGCACGTGACTAGGCATACGTAAGACAAATTGTTGTATGCTTAGTAATATCTATATAATCTAGATATATCCTTAGATCTCACAGATACACCAAAATTATGACGGATAGGATAATAGGATATATCTAGATCATGATCTAGATCGGGTCGGGTCATCTACGATCTGTGCCGAACACTGCCATGAAGCGTATTCGCAAACTAGGAGTCCAATCCATAGCTATTATTAACGTATTTCCCGTACGAGTGGCCCACCCGAACGAGTGGCCCACCAAAACACCAAAACGCGTCAATGTGACTATAGTCAACAATGCCACGACCAACACAAGCCAAATCCTCTAATCAAGAGGATAGAATACTATTAGCTATGCAAGCAATTAAACAAGGCCAGTTTCAAAGTGTCCGAGTAGCTGCAGCATCGTACGATATCCCTCGAACAACACTACGTCGACGAATTCAAGGAATGACATCCCGACGCGATTCTACACCTAACTTACAGAAGTTGACTCCGTACGAAGAGTCAGCTCTTGTTCAGTATATCCTCGACCTAGATTCACGTGGATTTCCACCCCGGCCACAAGCTGTACAAGAAATGGCTGACCTTCTACTCTCTGAACGAGGCGAGAGCCCTGTTGGGAAGAACTGGGCTACGGGCTTCATAACACGTCGTACGGAAATCAAATCAAAGTTTAGTCGGAAGTACGACTATAAACGAGCAAAATGCGAAGATCCTAAGATAATTCAAGAGTGGTTCTCTCTCGTACGAAACACAGTTGCAAAATACGGCATCTTAGAGCAGGATATCTACAACTTTGATGAAGCAGGTTTCGCAATGGGAGTTATTGCTACTGTAAAGGTAGTCACAAGCTCAGAAGCAAAGAGCCGTCCAAAGACTATACAGCCAGGAAATAGAGAGTGGGTGTCAATTATCCAAGGTGTCAATTCGTACGGATGGGCACTCCCGCCGTTTATCATTTTTAAGGCGCAGAATCACCTCTCTGCTTGGTACGAGGACTCAGAATTACCAGACGATTGGGTGATTACACTAAGTGAGAATGGGTGGACTTCAAATTCAATTGGGTACGAGTGGATCCAACACTTCGATCGACATACAAGCACTCGTACGATCGGAACCTATCGCCTTCTTATTCTTGACGGACATGAGAGCCACCTCTCAGCTCAATTTCAGCACTACTGCACAGAACGGAAGATAATTACCCTCTGTATGCCACCACACTCCTCACACATTCTTCAGCCGCTTGACGTAAGCTGCTTTGCTCCACTAAAGCTTTCGTACGGACGTCAGATTGAAACCTTCGTACGGAACAGGCTAAATCACATTACGAAGCTTGAGTTTCTCTCTGCATTTAAAGAGGCATTTAAAGCTACATTTACAGAGCAGAACATTAAGAGCGGGTTCCGAGCTACAGGACTAGTTCCGTACGAGCCACAGAATGTCCTCTCTTACTTGA